GAGTTATGAGAGCACCAAAGCACTGTTCCCTACGACATGCAGAGGCGAAACATGCCTTCGTAGTTCAGCCGCTTGGTATACAGTACACCTTACCTGTAGACAAACAAGTTCAATTGTTTGAAATGCATGGGCACTCTCAACCCGTTTTGTTGTGAGATGTACATAATGAGGCTTATTGCGCAGGAAAACAGCAACAAATCGCTCCCCCCTTGTACACTGGTCAAGCTTCTACAAGATAGTTCGTTGATGAGTTAAAGCTTTACATGCTTAGATAAGAGTTGGCTTCCAAGTTGCGCAATGGCTGTGATAGAAAAAGGCTAGTTACAATCTTGAATAAATTCTTCCCAGTTTTCTAACGTTTGCACTTATTTTGGATGGGTAGTATACTATTGTTCATGTGCTTGCGACAAAGCAAGCATGATGCATCTGGAACGTCTCTGTTACAACACTCATCAGAGCATGCTCCCGATCTGTAAAAAATGTGAGCGCTGCACGTAGAAGACCATATCCTTGGAAATTTCTCGAACATAACGCACTGCTCATAAGTAGTCTTCTAAATCTCGCTCTTCATAATTCGGCATGCGAAAACAAACATGATATTTGCCGCCGCAACACAATCAACATGAAAAAGGGGGAGTCCATATCGATTTGTCTTGTAGGTTTCATCAGTTATCGAGATGCATTCAGTACTGTACTTGAATCTAAACTCCTTTACTGAAGTTGAAACAATTAACAATGCGTAATCTGCTGCAGCCTATCAAACTAAAAGTCACTTCCTCATGAGTCATCGTGAAGAACTGATAGCATTAAGACGTTTCATTAATGCTACCAGCTGAGATTTTTCTGCCATCATTCTGTTACGTTCTCCATTGCGCAAAGTGTAAATGCCTTGTGGTGTGACCAATTTGTTGTGATTTTGGCCCAGCACAGTGACAAAGCGACTATGTTCTGCACCAGAACGACTCAGCATCAAGACAATTGTACGGCTTTCCTGCGATAACGCTCGCCTTTAAGGACGGGCTGTTTGGTGAAAAATCGGATCGTGATCTCCACATGCCGACTTGTCCTTGCAGTTAACCCGATAATCAGTTTCTGATATTGGCGCTAGATACAGACCCAGTACTTCGGCGAGATGAAACACACTGCGAGGTCCAGTTTGGTTTACCAATAGATTTGGCTGGGAGCAAGCAAGAACCAGACCTTTTACCTCATTATCTTAGCTATGTCTACCGTTTTCGCGCGTCTTGCAACAACAACGCAATCTTCTTGTTACGCATGTGTATCAATTAATATCCTTGCTTGCTCCAACAGGGCGGTGGTGCAAGACTTTACATTGTCATTGCAGATAGTGAAAAAGAAAATGTATGGATTTCGACCATAAATATCACCCGAACATAAATCGCCGGAGGAGTGCTATGAAAATGGAAGCTTATTGGAAACACGTCATCTATCTATTTTACATCAATTCACGATTTGTCAAAACGTATACAAGGTTATACTAATTACTGACGGGTGTGGCTGATCAGCGAACAATTGAAGATTGGTTAACGAAGTTTAGCTTTGCAAAGCGTGGGTTTATTTGATTTAGCCCCACACTACTTGAGGAGGTGCAAGAATTAGCACTGCAGTCCGGACACTTTGTCTCAAATTTACATTCTAGTGCTCATAAAGTCAAAATAACATGCTTTGAAAAAGCATCGTTTTTAAAAAGCGAGTTTAGAGATGCTTGCGGTATAGAGCCGCGAGTGCCGGTATGTTGGTCGTTAGAAATGATCTTACCGATTGGCACAATATTTTAAGCAGATCGTCCTTTCTGATAATGATCAAACGGGTCAAGAATCGATTGGTGTAAAAAACATAGAATTTGAAAGACCACGATCGTTCGAGGCAGTCGTGAGCATATCCGATTCCGATGTTTATCAAGTACAGAAGAGGACTCATGCGATGAGATTCTTTGATAGCTCGGTGTCTAATATGACGCCAATACGAAGATTAGAGGGAGCTAACACAGAGCACATGGAACTGCAAAAGCATCATCGATGATGCCACTCCGACACCTACTCGGATTTTGATCGAAATAGTCAAACATCGGTAGCCTCTCCTTATATCTGACTACAGCACTAGAAACTTTCAGCTCCAGGCACAGGTCCGGCTATAAAGACGGACATTGGCGGATGAACGGCATGTCAATTCGAAGCGGACCGAATGGATTACCGCCTGCTCCGGTGGTTCTTGATTACCGAACTCAGTGACCTTTGCAAAAATCCGAATGCTTTGCGATACGATTGTCACGTTCAACACAGAAGCACGAGAGCAAACCTGTCAATTGTCCGCTGGGATACGCAGAAGAGTTCTGTTGTGCAAATGCTTGGGCAAGTCCTTGCCTGTCGTCACGGTGAAATAACTACGAAGTAGCTTTGTGTCAAACGGCAAAGGTTCGTAGATGGTGTGAACCGAGCATAATCCGCTTGGAAGCACGCAGTCTGATCAGGTCGGGTCTGTAACTATGCGAGCCACAAACTGGTTCGAGACTGCTTCGTACCCTGGTCGGTTCTACCTGCTACCACACCCATGTGCTCATTCTAACGGTAGAGCTTGTACTGTTTGCATCCCTCACCAATCAGACAGGACCATCGAGCTGCACCGAGATTTATGCATGGAATGGGAAAGAAGAGCGCTAGTAGCTCACATCTCGCCGCAGTCGGTCCAATTCGATAGCTCCATGTGCACCGCCGGTGTCGCAGCTGTAAGAAACGGACATGCGTCTTAGCGTAAAGTGTCACAGCTACGACTATCACTCAGCAATCAGAAGTGCACATCGCTTGTTGTCATACGTGACATCACGCAGTACCACAACTCTACCACAAGCTAACGAACGTATGGCTCCGATTACTACTAGGTCATCAGTGAACGCGAGTAGTGGTGGCCCACGAGATTGTCGGGACGAGGCAAAGCCACACATGCACACGTGTCGATTGAAAGCGTCGTCATCGCCTTTCGCAGAAGATTGCCACGACCGCGCAGGTTTATACGAGCGCACAATTCATGAAGGGAAAGTGCATCCGTGCGCGCTTGTCTCGTTTCAAGACTTTTTAGTGTCAAAATGCCGTCGATCGGGAAACACATGAAGACGACGCCCTGCGACATCATCAAAAAGCTGCGTGAGACTCTGCGTTCGACGATGTGGAATAGACACCACGCGATGCGCTTTGCTTGCGATTTGGACCATTTGTGGACAGCACTTGCCCGAGAGGAAGCAGGACCGCTCCACCTGGCATTACACCCACTTTGTAACGTACCCACTAAACATCTGACTCGAATGCAAAAATGCGACAACTGGTGTGGTCCGTTGCCTCCACTAGCCGGTTATCAAGTCAGACGCGATGGAAGGCCGCCCACAATGTATATTTGCAGACAAGACGAGGGCAACTGTCAAGTAGAAATGGCACCGAGAAGCCCATCGATACCCTACGCAAGGATCGCTTACACATAGATCATCCCTTGCTTTTCGCATGTCGCCTCTCCTGCCTACGATACCATGTCCTTCGGCCGTGCTCTTTCGCTTTTGATCACAACAACTTCATGTCCTGTCCAAAACGACTTGACCGCCTCTTTTTTGATATCTCAACAGCGACTCAAGCCGTACGCGACCAGGTGTGACAGATCGGTTCCTCTGGTCTTCCCGTGAATGGCCTTCTATTCGAAAATTGCGACAGTCCCTGCAGCGGTCTACTCTCGTGTGGCTGGCTCTCCCCTGCTGAACAGGCTGGTCTAAACGCCCTCCTTTGACTAGCTACCGCTCCCTCTCTTGAATCCTCTAGTACACAATTGCACATAAATAGAGCTTTTGAGTCGCTCTCTACGATCCCATTTATCACCTAGACACAAACAACATTGTGTCTGCGTGAGGGCAATCGGCATGCGTCATGATACGCAATGGACGATGAAGTTTAGCGCTGCGTGGAAAGCATTTTGGCGGCGAGAGAAGCATAGATGAAGTTTTTGAAGTGTTGTCGTGGGTGAGAATACAAACGTAGTGAACACAAGTGAGGTAGTGCTGCTTGTGGGACGTGAGTCGTGGTATGGAGCTGCGATCGTCATTGCTGTCGCCTTTGGCTTCGGTAGTGGATCAGATAGCTGTGGTGTTGGTCAATGTTCTTCGTGCACCTCTGCTCATCACTTTGTCAGGCTATAATTGCTGACATTACCGTTGACAGATTAAGTGGTGAGGTCCATGCAATCATCGATAGGCCTTTTCTCGCCCTGACAAGGAAGTTGAGCAGTCGCTCTTAGCTCTTGCTCCCAGCATCTTCATTTCGAAAAGATACTGCAACGCAAAGTCGTGTGCCGTCATCGCGTTGTTCATTCACAATGCGCTTTGAGTGAAAATGTGGGCTGGTATGCTAAGAATCTGCACGAGAACAGTCTATTGACCGAGCGCTCGCACGATCGCCACACTAAACTTTACCATTTAATAATGCTGTATCGTAACCCATGAGGACAACCTCACACAGACCCAGTAATTTTGTGCCTGGGCGATGCTGGGATCGTACAGAGCGACTCAAAAGCTCTATTTATGTGCAATTGTGTACTGGAGGATTCAAGAGAGGAGCGGTAGCTTGTCAAAGGAGGACGTTTAGACCAGTCCCTGCTGAACACACGTCCCATCCGAACCGAGCACGGGATGGGCTCGGAACCATGCATAAACCCGATGCTTTCGTTCGAAAACACTCGCAATGCACTTGGGAAATGGAGGTTCGCCTATCCGAAGAGTTCGGAAGGAACAGGTTCGGCTACCCCTAGTAGAGACAGTCAAGACGCCGCGTCCAATCTCGATCGTAGCCTCGCACTAAAATTTCACCGAAGACCTTTGCAATGCGCTACTCGCCTCTTGTTGATCCTCACTTTGCATTTGTCACTGCACTGCACACCAGCTTCCCCGACTTTGGTACTCGAACCCATCCAACAGTTCACTCCGTCCGCCCGCCTCCGTCTCACTAATGCTGACGTCGTGGCTCGCTCTCGGACTCTTGTCCATCTCGAGCATCGCCAATGCCAACGGCATTGACGAATACGATGCCCGTGCCCAAGCAATCGTCGACAGCTTCTCGGCTGCCCAAGTGATTGGCCAAATGACGCAGCTGACGCTGGGGGAAGTCATGAACGAGACCTCCCGAGAGCTCAATGAGGATGTTGTGCGTGAATACGCGCGCCTCAACGTCGGGTCATACCTGAACTCGTTCTTCAGCGGGCCTGTCAATGGGGCCTATAGCTACACCGCCTCGGAGTTCCGCTCCCTTATCGGGCGCATCCAGAATATCACCATGGAAGTCAATGGCGGGCACCCGATCATCTACGGCATTGACTCGGTGCACGGGGCGAGTTACGTCAGTGGGCCCGTCTTGTTCCCGCACCAGATCAACAGTGGCGCGAGTTTCAACCCCGACCTGGTCTACGAAATGGCTCGGATCACTGCTCGGGACACGGAAGCTGCTGGCATCCCGTGGATCTTTGGCCCCATTCTCGACCTCTCGCAGAACAAGATGTTCGCCCGCACCCATGAGACGTACGGTGAAGACCCGTACCTTGCCTCGGTTCTAGGTGTCGCCCATGTCCAAGGACTCCAGAGTTACAACCAGACGGCAGCTTGCATCAAGCACTTTATCGCGTACTCGAAAACCCCAACGGGTCAGGACCGTGACGGTGTCCTCGTCTCGGACTTTGAGCTGCTGAACGACCACATGCCTCCTTACAAAGCTGCTATTGACGCTGGGGCTCTATCCGTGATGGAGAACTACATCTCGCTGAACGGGGAACCGGTGGTTTCCAGCACCAAGATCCTGAACGACTTGCTTCGTCATGATATGGGATTCAACGGCGTGCTCTTGACAGACTGGAACGAGATCTACAACCTGTACGATTTCCACCGCACTGCTCCTTCCCGGGAAGAAGCCGTAGCCGTCTCGCTGAAGCAAACGTCCATTGACATCAGTATGGTGGCTGAGGACACGGAGTTCATCGGATACGCTCTCAAGATGCTGAAGGAGAACCCGGAGCAAGAAGCGCGTCTCCGCGAGTCGGTGAAACGTATCATCAAGCTCAAGCTCAAGCTCGGACTATACGAAACACCAGTGCCGGGTGAACAGTACGTTTCGATGGTGGGTAATGAAAAGGACCGAGAGGTTGCTCTGGAACTTGCCCGTGAGTCGATTGTGCTGCTGTCGAACCGGGACAATGTCTTGCCTCTACCGAAGAACGCGTCGGTGTTTATCACCGGTCCATCCTCGGACAACATTGGCTACCAATGTGGTGGCTGGACGTATGCGTGGCAGGGGTACTCGGGCAATGAGATGTTCCCTAACGGCACCTCGGTCCGTAAGGGTGTTGAGAATCTCATTGGCAACAGCTCCGTCTCGTATTTCAACGGCCTTGATATTGATGGTAACATCAATGCGACCAACTTGGCTGAGACTGTTCGACTCGCTCGTCAGCACGAGTACACAATTGCTGCTATCGGGGAACCGAATTACACGGAGAAAGCGGGGGACATTAATGACCCGGCCTTACCTGAGGGAATGGAGGATTTCATCGAAGCACTTGCTGCCAACGGAACGAAGGTCATTGTCGTGCTGCTTGGAGGTCGCCCGCGTCTGCTTGGATCGATCCCGGACAACGCTCATGCCATTATCGATGGCTTCCTGCCGTGTGAAGCTGGTGGCCAAGCGATTGCAGAGATCCTGTTTGGTGAAGTAAACCCAAGCGGAAAGCTGCCGATTACGTACCCAAAGCACCCCGCGACCGTCGCTTTTACGTACAACCATCTCGTGACGACGCGCTGCAGGTGGGGCGATTGTGAGGTGCAGTGGGAATTCGGCACTGGTCTCAGCTACACGCAGTTCAACTATTCGTCCGTCGTGATCGACAAGAATTTCATCGGCACGTCTGTTGAGACTTTGACTGCTTCTGTGACGGTCACGAACACTGGTACCCGTGCTGGTAAGGAGACTGTCATGTTGTTCCTCACCCAACCTATCCGCAGGATCTCGGTGCCCAACACGAAGATGCTGAAGAAGTTCAAGAAGATCGACCTGCAGCCGGGTGAGTCCATGGAGGTGTCGTTCACGCTGTCGTCAGCCGACTGGGGAGTGTACAAGCCAGTGATTGGATCGGGTCTCCAGCGGAGCGTGGAGGATACCGCGTACGTCGTGGCTGTCAAACCAGACACGCGCTGTGACGTGTACACGAACTTCAGCATCCCGATGCAGCTCTCGAACCCGTTGTGCGCGTCGTTTGTTGTCAACCTGAGCGGCCGCAATATCACCACCGGGAACGCGCAGGCCTCGTCCGGCGGCATTGCTATGGGAGCCCCTGTGGATCCGAGCTCGCCTTTGTTGGCCCCTACTGCGCCATAGAATGTGCCTGGAACCTCGTACCTCATTTCACGTTTGATAAGGTAGGAGGTGCCTTCAACCGCACCCACCTCTTTATCAACGTCGGAACAACCTGTTTAAGGTTTTTGGGGTAGTGTTGAGGCAAAAGTTTCGTGCTCATTACAATGTGTTTCAACTGTAAGCCGTGGTAGTGACTGCAAAGGGTAGCTTGGGTGTCATTAGGAATACAGTTCATTCCCGTGATACGTTTGCTACTTCTTACGTGCCTTTAGGAGAGGTCGTACTCGATATCTGATGTTGAAATGGTCGTAGAACTGAGGATGTTTTTTCAGGGTTCGCATGAAGCCGCACGGCTCCGTACCATTTCAAGACTTGCAGGATGGAAGATGTGACGAAATGTCAACGAGTTTTCTTTGGACGTCAACGGTAGAGGCAGATGACATGTTTAGAAGAAGTTATCAATGAAAAAGTCGAGCGACTCGCTTAGTGTCGGCAGGTCGTCCAAAGAGCACGAGACGGAAGACGGCGAAGCTCCGTTCGTGCCCAAACTCGAGCACGAAAAGTCTTTTCCATCTCGTGGTACTGGCACAATTGTAGGACGTTGGAACGGAGAGGTGTGAGCTTGAGCACGTGAGTTCAAAGATCCTCCAGTCGGCGTCGATACGGACATGGGTCTGACCTCTGGGTAGTAGTTTTTCTGACGGGCACAATTGCTGCGCAGTTGAGGGTGGACACGGATGAGTGTCGGCTGAGCTAAGACCTCGTGGTCGATGCGGTGTTCACGACGGAGGCGAATCGCTTTACCCGTCTGCATCCCGTGGAGCCGTCGCGAGACCTTTTCCTGATACTTTTGGGCATGGGTTTGCACTTGTCGGACCGACCGCGTGCCAACGAACTTTGTGATGGCTTTCCAAGGTCCTTGTGGGTAGTGCTTGAGCCCTTCGAGGAAGCGGTCGTGCTCTTCACTGGACCAGACGCCTACTGCTCGATTCGAATGAACGGGAGTGCATTGAGTTGCGGCAGCTGCGATTGGGGAAGACAGCGCCATTATTGACAGGCTTGAAGGTGCTGCTGCTGCCGTGTTGCAGGATACGTTGACGGCTGCCTGTTGAGTTACAGTTGCTGCCATGCGGAAGATTGAGGAATAGCTGACGATCTGTCAAGTCCGAGAACACCTCGAGACAAACGCAAAACAAGACGGCCGTGAGTTTAGGACAGGCGACGACAAGACGAGAGAAAGCGTGCGAACGTATTGACGTACTTATTTGCGGAGACGCTGGCCCACACACGTCGATTCAGGCAAGATCGAGGTCTACTTTTTTTCCTCCATTGCTGCCGATCTTAAGCATGACCAGTGCCGTCGCAACACCAAATGATATTTTGACAGGCTTCGCACGAGATATTCGCGTCTGCCCTGTGCGCGGAATGGACGTAAGTTCAGAAATTTGAACACAGCAGGCGGAAAGCACTGACCAGTGTCTGATTCAAGTGATCAGGTGGGCTCATTTGCTTGTCCTGTGGCCAGCAACAAAACTCGAGGCCAAGCCTTTGTCTAATCAAGTCATCCACGAGTTTACCATGATACGGGTCAACTGTGACAATGGCTTGACCACCTTCCTCAAGCACGTGGTTACCTCCTTTTCGAGCATTAGTCATCACTTTTGCAACCAAAGGTACTCACAGAAGTTCAGGATCGATCACTCATGCGCTGCGTTATCGACAGATATCGGCGAGATGCCTGATCTTGCGCACCGTGAAAGGTCAGACGTCCACGGTTTACAAGTTGGATACTACTGACCTTTCGCATCGCCTTTTCTCCTTCCCGCTCCTTGATGTTGGTCAGTCAATATCATTTCGCCATCTCGCAATTCGCGAGTACTCCTTTTGCCAACTACAGACCAGCTTTTCTGTACTGATTAGCACTGGACACGCAAGCACGGACGAGCTGAACGGCGTGCCAGGATGTAGCACGGCGAAAGATATGTCGAGTTTGAGTCGTATCTGAAAAGACGCAAGTAGCAATCCAGTATGGCGCCAATGATAGAGATGTAGCGTGGATGTCGGTTGAAGTGTACATCAAACCTGCAGATTTATTCGACAGAATCCATACCTGGTCGAATTACAGATACTGACGCCTGCCGAACCGCCGCCGAATACCACATTGATTACCGCAGGACAAGGTGGACATCCCGAGCATTTGCAGTAGAAAATCTAGTACACAGACACGCGAAACAAACAAAAAGCTTTCGTCAAAAACATGGCCAATCTCGTCTTGATGCTCTTTTCGTCTCCTCATGTCCTGGCTGCTCCTGCTCGACGCAATGATCGAGTCTTGTCGTCGTCAATGATCCAGAGATCACCAATAGCTAACCAAATTGCCATTGAACACATACCTAGTCTGCCGCTCAATTTATTCTCCAATTCTTTCCGCTTATCAGCATATCCGTCTTGTCAATCGTCCAAACGCACGCTTGTACCCATCGAGCGTTACTTATTCCGGTGAAAGAACGAATTGCGCGGGTTGAAATCACCGCTGTTGTTCCCACGTCCTGAGCGAAAAATACTGGAGCGGTAGCTACTTGGACTACCTGACGACGTGGCTGAGTTCGACTCCATTGGAGAAAGGCTAAGTGTTGAGGCGGATAGCAGATTGCTCGAGCTCCGGCTATTGTTGTTAGCGAGAATCGAAATTCGCTGGAAGTCTTCCACCTCCAATGGTGGCGTACGCTCAACGCGAGCATGCGAGAGAGAGCCCCAACTCGCACCATGCTGCTGTTCCAGCTGTGACAGTGTAATCCGCATGCTCGTTCCAATAAACTCTTTTGTATGCACGTGCACCTGAATATCGGGCCGTTCCGCAAGCTTTGGAATAACGAGTTGCATAAATCCATCCAACATCATCGGAGTCACATATTTGAGCTCGACGCCCATCGGAAACGTGTCCGACACGATCGGACCGCCATCCAAAACGTTTTTGAGCCAACGCGTCATGTAATCCAGCTTCTTTGGGTTGCCCTGCGCCCAATCCGCGAGCAGCCGCTTCCACGGCACCGAGCCCAGATTGTAGTGCATGGATGGAGGAAAATTACGAATCTCTTCCCAATGGTCCTTGACCCGACGCGCATTGCCCTTACTCGAGACTTTGCTCTTGGCGTGTCCGATACGAGCAGCACTTTTCAGTAGCAAGTGATGTGCCTCAGCTGATTTCTGGTCCACATTGCCGCTAGGTGCAGCCATGACGGACACCGATTTTTCTGACGACAACGACGTGAGCGAGCTGCGGGCACCAGAAGCCGGCGAAGTAGTACTGGCTTGTGTGATGCTACCGATATCGGTGGGCAGATCGCGTATTTCACATATGTACGATCGAAGTTTCTCGTACTCTGTCTCGATCGCCGCCAAATATGTCAAGTCCTTGCTTTCCTGGTCACGATAGGCCAGCTTCTGCACCTGCTCGCCAACCTCTTTGGACTGTTGCCAGTTTTTCAGCGTACGGTTCTCGGTCTTCAGACGCTGGATTTCAGTCTCCTGATGCTCCAATTGCGTTCGCAACTTTTCATTCTCTTCGTGAAGTGCGGTAATCACTTCGTGACTTTCGTCCAGAATTCCACTAGTACCACTGAACCGGTGGTTGGGAATCGAGCCACGCGTGGAGCTGCTGCTACTAGTGCCGCGGTCGCTGCTGGTTCCTGTTACATTCGACACGTCTGATGGACCGAGTGAACGAGTCTTGTTTGATGGAGACAGCTTTGCTCCAGTGTGCACTTGCTTTCTGTCCAGCTTCATTTGCAGTTGTGCAACCTTCGAGCCAAGCTCTTTGTAAGCCTTCTCCTTCTCCATCTTACGCAAAAACACAAGCCGCAAGAGAGAGAAACGGAAGAATCCTTGGAGTCTCTTTACCGCTGACACTCTCATAAGGTAACGCTGGCGCTCCATGTGCATACGACAGTAGGCCTGGAAACGAACAATGCGGTAGTCAAACTTGAGCACACGGTACATCTTACGGGTCGAGACACCGCGAGCTTGGGCCTGCAGCTTCACAACACCTCGACGCAGCTTCAAGTACTGCTTGTGAATCACATAGCGGCGCCAGTACTTCTGGATCACCACAATTTGCTGTTTTTGCCGCAAGAAACGCCGGCGCATGAGCCAACAGCGCACGTTTTTCTGCAGTACAATTGCGTACTTGCGTAACGCCCAGCCTCGCTTTGTCTCCAGTTCCTCCAAGACACCCTCGCGGAAGTAAACACGGGTCAAACCTACCTGATAATCCTGGATGTTGCGTCCCGACAGCAGCTTTTCCATCAACTTTTCGCATCGGGTTTTGACATATTCCATGTCTGAATCGCTGATGGACTTTTTCTGCGTCGGAACCGCACCTGTACGCAGCACGCGGAATTTCTTGATGCACTCCAGGTGCGGCATACGGTTCGGGTACGCACTGCGAGACACTCGAATGGCCTCAATCACGCCTGCGCAACGCAGCTGGCTGACGACGTCGCCGTGTGAGAAGCAGTGAGCACTCTTCAGCGGATTTGGCTTGAGACAACGCACATAATGCACCTCTGTAAGTCCAATCTTTTCCATAAGCTGTGACAAACTCTCCTTGAACTGTGTGCCCACCGTCGTGCGGCGGGTCTGGGCGTGTCCTCCTCTTTTGACACTGCCACTGCGCTTTTTGCCACGAGCGCTGGACCCACTGCTCTCTACGCACCTAGCATTCACGTCATCTGTAAACATCTTGGACAAAATTTTGAGTTTGGACATACTCATGCACTGCTTAATATCCGGTAAGATGGCGTCACGGTGTTTGTCCAGGAAGCCTGTTGCATCGTAAGTGACCTTACCAGCGTAGTGATAAATAGAGAAAGCACACTTATTCAGCCGAGGCGTCTCCAGCAGCGGATTGTTCTCCATCACTGCGCCCAATTTGCTTGCAAATGACGCATCCGTGCCCGTGGCAAGCAGCGACTCCTCGTTCAGAAAGCTGATGACACCCAGGCGGCCTTCGATAAGGTTCAGCACGTCCTGATTATCTGCGAAAGTGATGTGAGACCACGAAATGTTTTCTTCTTCGTATTCAATCTGGACCGTCTTCAGCACGTCCTGCACAAACTTCTGCTGCAGCTTCTCGTTGGCGTAGTTGATGCAAAACTGCTCAAACGAGTTGGTCTCAAAGTGCTCGAAACCAAAAATGTCCAAGATTCCAATGAACAAGCCAGCACCTTTGGTATTCACACCAATGGTCTGATTGATCTGTTCCACGAGCCACAAGAACAGCTTTGAGTACAGACTCTTGGCGAGCGCGTCACGACAATCTGCCGCCTGGTCGTGCGTCATCGGCTTCAAGATCACCTCCCGACCAACGAACACGTTACGGTTGCACACAGCGCGTTCCAGTGCCTCTGGACTCACACCAAGCAGTCTGCAAGCCACATTGAAGTGTTCCCGATCCACAAGCTGCGAGGCATCCACATCTCCATTCTGCGTAGTGAATTTCGTCTCGCCTAGATGCAGTACAGCGCCAAGAATACGAAAAATCTCATGTTGTAACGATTGTTCGATGCCGACTAGCTCGAGAGCTTCGCGGGTACGACTAAGATCGCCTTCTTCGTCACCGCCACGACCTTGCGTCTCGACAGGCACGTACTTGAACGAGTCCACCATACCAAGCTCTAGCTCTGAAAACTCTTTGCGCTGTGCTAGCAGCTGGTAGAAAATGTGAAAATTGCTTTCTCCTTGCGCTTGAGTCGTCACGCGACTCTTTTCCAGCAAATATGTGCGAGATCTAGCCCCGATCAATTGGCCTTCGGTCGTAAACTGGAGCTCTGTAAACTTACCGAAACGGCTGGAATTGTCGTTACGCACTGTCTTGGCATTACCGAACGACTCAAGCAGCGGGTTGGCCTGGATAATTTGCTGGATCACTTTTGAGTTCGAGTTCGTGGCCAATGCCGCCAAATGGCTCATGACAATTTTCGTCGTCTCAGTTTTGCCAGCTCCCGACTCACCCGACACTAATATGCTCTGATTCTCCTGCTTTTGTCTCATGTTGAAAAAAGCCTCCATCGACACGGCGTAGACGTGCGGCGGTTTGTTTTCCCTTTTTCCATCACTGAACCTTTCCATGATCGCCTTAGAGTAGAGATCCAGCCATTGATACGGGTTCACCGCAATGCAGATTCGTCCTGTATATGTATCTAAGAAACCGGCATTGCATCCATCCCAATCAATCGGATTGCATGATCACAAATCACAAAAATCAGACCAACTATCAGACCTTGTAACCCCAAAATCTCAAAACAGCACGTCCTACGTACACGGTAATTGGTGAAAAAACCGCCGTCTCAGGTTGTACAAAATCGACGCCTCGTGCAAATGGTCGACGAGGATCATGTCTTCGAAGCCATTAGCACTCTCGCTCGAATTCTGTAACGGCAGCGACGACTTTGTGTTCTCCGCTGCGTCCACTGACGTATTGAAACACTCCAGAGCTTCCGTAAGGTCCACGGACCGCTGGGAGCCCGTGAGCGACTTGAGCTCGCGCTCAGATGGAATCAGTTCCAGCACCGACGCGTCACGCGGTCCCACGACCTCATCAAGCCGCACCGTCAGCTGTTTACCGTCGCTACTGGCCCCACAGATGACGCCAGGGAGCCACACGTGCTTCTCGTCCGGTGCAAAGACCTACAGAAAGAAGGGGTAGGGGATTGTATCTTGTTGTGAGCTCAAAGCGACAGGGAGATAGCGAGAGGTCGATCGATAGAAGCGGGGGAGGTGGACGCACCTTAATTCCCTCCATAGACAGCTGCGTTTGTCCCTCTTTTCGTATGGAGTACAAAGACTTGAATTTGACTTGAGTACTGTATGGTCTCGAGTCGCACTCGTTCGCCCCTGTCGCTTCGCTGCCGCTCGAGGGTTGTGGTCGTCTATACGAGTGACGGCGGCTTTGACGTGGGATGTTTTTTTCGTAATTGCGCTCCCCTGGCAGAGTGCGGATAGGGCAAATAGAAACGGACCAATCAGAGCGCGACGATATGGGTGCGAAATTGTGACTTGAGACTGGTTTTGGTCCATGCGAAATAGCGATCTGGATTTTGCACGAACGACATAACGTGGGACATGGGAAAGGGTTGCCACCGAACAGAAGCTGGCCCGATTGCGCCAAGTCGATATGACGAAGATACCACGAAAAAAAGAAGACGTTTTTTAGCGCTGTATATTTAGAAAAAGACTCAATTCTGGCTAGAACGGCCCAAATACACTGCTTTCCTACCAACCATTGCTTCCACGATGCGTATACAAAGGCTCGCGGCCTGCCTGCATCGACGAGCAGTACGTCGTTTCCATGTTTCTCGAGTGACCAACCAGCGTCTGGAATGCTTTGCCGACGTAGACTCGTCGTGGGAATGGCTCAAGAACCCGACCAATGCTCGCCTGCAACGGTTTCTAAAATTAGAACGGACGTATCTGGCAAACCAGCTGGCAAAGCCAAAGTTCCGCAAAGTGGAACGCATGTTCAATTTGGAACTGCGGAACCGTCTGTTACGTGAAAACTATAGTGTACCCGAGTGTATTGGAAAGTTTGAGTACTATATGCGACAAGCGCCAAGGGACAACTTTCCCGTGTACTACCGCCGCTGTCGCGATGCCACGAAAACTTCCACAAAAGGAGCAGAGCAAGTGGTGCTCAATCAGAACGTCGAGCCTTTGCTAAATTATGAGTTTCATATTTTTGCGGTATGAAAATCTCCCCTGATGGCAGGCAAGTGATAGTATTGATGGAAAACGACAGCGAACAGTGTCGAGCGATGCTGAAAGACCTACAGTCTGGAAAGTTGTGTCCACTAGAAGCCATCGTTGGTATCAAAAATGCCGAATGGAGTTCTTGTACCGCGCGTGTTTTCTATTTTACAAAAGTCGATGCCCACGGTCGGCCGTTCGCGGTATACCGGTATCATGTGGCGACTCAGCTCCAGGAACTGGTACGTTGATGGCGTAATCAGTTGGTGGTCGCTTCATAGTTCGAGCTCGAAAAAGTTCAGAAATTATGAACGAAACGACAAACTGCAACTATAACATGCTGATGTGGGTGTGTCGTTGCTGCAATATAGGTATACGAAGAGCAAGACAAGGCGTTTTTCGTGGATGTTTCGCAGACAAAGGACGCGCGGTTTGTACTGATCAACTGCAACTCGAAGAACTCGTCGGAGATCTACGCACTAGACAGTCACGACATTGACGCGCAGCCTCGACTGCTGCGTCCACGCGAGTCTGGCACGTTGTACTTTGCAGATCATGCTGCTGACCGGTTCTTCATTGTCACTAATGCTGATGGTGCGCTCAACTACAAGATCGCGACGTCTACTTGGGACGCAACAAAAGAAGCAGCTGGACTATGGGAGACGCTTATTCCCGAGCACGAAGACGTCAAGATCGAAGATGTGGATCTGTTTGAAACGTACCTTGTGCTTTATGAACGCGTGAGCAGTGTGCCGCGCATTCGAGTGTGTACACTAGGGAAGCAGGGCGAGGCTGACGTCAGCACTTCTCATTGCATCCCGTTGCCTAAAGAGCATGAGATTTGTCGAGTTATACCTGGAGTCAATCGTGCTTATGCGGCCCACCACGTCCGTTTTCAGGTCTCTACGCCGCTAGTGCCAGAAATCGTGTTCGACTACGATATGGAGAACAGACAGTTGCAGGTACTCAAGGAGACAGAATTGATCGACAGGTCGGTTGCCCAAAAACGTGACACAGCCCGCAAGGTCATTAAGTCGTCGGTTTGCCCGGATCAATTTACATGTGAACGGTGTTACGTGCCCAGTATGAGTAGTGCGGGAGTGCGCATTCCACTGACTCTAATTCACCGCCGCGACATCACGCGGAATGGGCAGAACCCGACACTACTCATCGGGTATGGTGCGTATGGCACTAACCTAGAAGCTGACTTTGAGCTTGAGCATTTAAGTTTACTAGAGCGTGGATGGGTTATCGCACTTGCTCATGTCCGTGGTGGTGGTGAGCTGGGGTTGCAATGGTACCAAGCAGGCAAGGGGATGCAGAAGCGTCACACGTTCGATGATTATGTGTCGTGTACTCATCATCTGCTTGATGCAGGATACACTAGCCCTGAACGACTCGCTGGAAAGGGAGTGAGCGCTGGTGGACTAATCATGGGGTACGTGGCAAACGAGTACCCTCATCTCTACCAAGCTTTGGTGATGAAGGCGCCTTTCGTAGACGCCTTGGCGACAATGCAAGATCCATTGTTGCCACTGACAGTTCACGAGTACGATGAATGGGGAGATCCGAGTTGTCCAGAAGCTTGTGAGTACATTAGGTCCTACACGCCATGCGAAAACGTGCGTGAAAAGCAGGTGTATCCTGCCATGTTTGTGACCGGCAGTCTAAACGACCAGCGCGTGCAGTTCTGGGAACCTGCCAAGTGGATGTACAAAATGCGCAAAGTGCAAGCCTCGCTTTCTAAGCGAGATAAGCGTCTCATGTTGCTGAAAATGAGTGAAGACGATGGTCACTTTGGTGGCGGCGGTCGTCTCGAGCAGCTTGATGAGAGTGCTATGGAAATTGCATTCCTGTATCAGGCGCTACACCTTCCGCTCCCGTCAAAATGAGCAGTGAAGGGTGAGGAGCTGTCCGACATTCCGGCGTTTGTAGAGGTCTCTGTTTCTAGTGGTCATGTCAGAAATTCCTGGAAACACAAAGGTGTCATGATGATGAATGGTCCAGCTGTCATCGATGTCGGCGTGGCACCGTAAGGCGAAACTGGCATTGTGCAAAACGAGTCTCGACCTGCAGAGACTAATCGAGTAATTGCTGAAGTGGAGCACGAAGCGTGGCGTCACAGCTCACGTCTTGGCAGACCGTGAGAAGCAGAACTGGCAGTATCGTCGCATGATGAAGCGAGATGCCCATGATTGTGCACACATGTTAACAAGTTACAAGTGCAAACGTAGTGGTTGAGACTACGATGGCAGTATTGACATGGTGCTTTGGAGTTCGCAAACGGTTTAATGCGAGTCACGTTGGAAAGTATGTGCGTCGTGTGGGCAATGTAAAAAGGCAAGCATCGCCTGGTACCCGGGCTCTCAATCTTGGCAGACCTTTACAACTGCAGAGAGATGACCAATGACCCGAGCCGGACACGTTATCAGATCAAGTTTGTAAAGCTGTAGGAACACTGTCGTCGACTTGGTACGATCATCACTGCCACTTTATGACAACAAGGTGGGCGACTACCAATGATGTGATCGAAACGGGTGCAATCCCGATCTCTTTTAAAGCCGTATGGCTGAGACGGGGCGATTGATCATCGACTATCGCCGTCCACTCTAGCACAAGAAGCTCTTGGTTTTGCCCCCGCTAACTCATGCCTGGCGTATGATAGACAGAAGCCACATCAAAGCCATGGTTTTTTCCTGTGGAACTAGCGTCGCGGAGCGATATTTCCACGACAACAAGTTGAAACCAAAGAGCTCGTTTGGTATGATGAAAGTACCGATGCTCGACGTTTTGAAATCGTCGCTTTGGTTGTTGATGATACATACACGTATGTAATACCGAAACCCATCCTATCCGCCAAACCAGACTGTGACTTCCCAGTTGACCTAAAGGCATCCAATATTGAATTACTCGATGACCATCCCATTGTAGAAACTGCATGGAAGCGGGTTTTGCGACACGTCATTGCGACAGTGGTATGAAGAGAGCTTTCGCATACTACACCCTACGACTGCCACGATCATTGTACTGAAACGTTTGGTCCTATTTTACGCTGCGTCAATTGTTCAGCACAGTCCGTGGAGCCCAAACTTTCTATCGCACATCGTTTCGCTGATCGACGTGAACAGACTTGAGACTGTCGAATTTGTTCATCGGATACAAATGGGCACTCACGATATCACGATAATTGGCATGCTGAGGATATAATCGGAGCTTGGTGCCGAGCAGCTCTCTCTCGCGCTGATGAATTCATAAGCGAGGTGAGAAGAGACTTCACCTTGATCCAGGTGCGTGCAGGTACGTTCAGCTTTACTATATTACGTATGCGGCTACAAGTAGAACACATCGATCGCGCATAGGCTAGTTGTTGATGTTTCTCAGATAAGAGTCTGGCTGCATCGTGCTGCAGACGTGATGCTTCTTGATCGACATCCAGTCAACAGATGAGAGCACCTGACAGTACGCACCAATGTAGATCGATGGTCGAGACGATTGCAAACTGTGCGGTGGACCATCCTTGTAAACGCCTGCAAGTATCTTCGGTAATGTGAACCAGTTTTGTCTTCGCACGATGTGCAATTAGCAATGACCCGTATGTGCTGTCGAGGTCACGAACTGGTCGACGTTAGCATCGTGCAATGCACAGTCTCTGTTTAAACGAAGGCATGGTCCGCGATCACTCGTTGCGTGACAAGCCCGAAAATCGACTAAACACCCTGTTGCGAGCGCGACTGTCAGGCAATTGAGTATTGCGTATCCGATGTTAAAATAGCGTGTCCCACAAACATTTGGGGAAGGTCTTATATTCTGGTAATCATTGCCGAACTAGTCGATTATTATGACCAATATGGTAAAAGAGGGCACACACTAACTCGCACAAGCTTAGCTGACAGAATTGAAGTCCTTTATCCTGAACTATTTGATGACATTCCGCATCCTTTGCTGTTTTCCTCAGTATATGACACTCAAAATGCGATTGGACCTCCTCCCTTTCCTCGATCATGCGACATTCTCCAGCATACCGTCTCGCTATAACCTATACCGATTCTCGTATACAGCATAACAAGAACGCTGCTGCAAGTACTATTCATCGTCAATCGACGTGATTCTCCGATACTAAACGTACATCACTTGCTCACTCGCTCTATATGTCCCATGCACCCACGTACGTTACCACCGTAAACAAATGTCTCTATCCTGAAGTCTTCCCTCTATCCTGACCCGTCATTGTGTCTGTCTGTCTCCTTTATTCTGCTACTAATTAAATGGTCCATAGCAGCAGCATCCAGATGGACTCTTGTGACTCGACGTCTTTTCTCGCAGACCCTTTCCACGGCCACAGCTTCTTTCCTGTCGAGCTCCAGGTCTTGTCCACACTTGACCGCAGTCTTGTGTTATTCCGTCACTGTATCCTGTGTCGCGAGCGCCTCTTGACGCTTACTCGACCTTATCCTGCTACAACAACAATAGTCGTCGCGACGCGGTCTTTTGACGCGCCACAAGCTGTAACTCGAAGTATCTGCCAGTGTCGAAACTGTGGCGTCTTTACCCACCGGAGCTGCATCAGCTTCTCCCACTTACATCGCCATTGTCGAAGCCATGCCAGTCTTATGCCAGTATGTAGCCATGTGCCGGTATGTAGCCATGTGCTGTCAAGAGCTCCAAACGAAGTGCTGTTTCCACCTCCTTTGGTGCCAAGACCAGATGCAGATGAAGAAAAGAGGTACAAGAATGACATCAAACCTGGATCTGGAGTCGAGATATTCACGTTGACAGCTCTGATTGAAGAGCTGGACGGGAGCGCTGTCGTTCGTGTCCATCCGCGTCCCACCGCGTTAGTAAACGAAAAAATGACGCAGAAACAGCACCACCTGGAGACAGCATCCAGGTTTGTCAAGATTATGGCACCAGTGGTTGCTGCTGGAGGGGTCGTTGGAGCAATTGCCATGGGTCCTTCCGTTGCCGTGCTGGCTGGCCTGAACCTGTTGATTACGAGTGTGGGAGCTGAGACAGTCATGGCTGGCATTGGGTTGACAGCGAGTGCAGCAGCTGCAGCCACAGTGACGCATCAGAGCAAGGTGAAGGCAGTACAGCGCAGCAAAGAGAAACTGAGGAAAGGTGAGTGGGCCATGGAGATCTGCTGGAATTGTATGCAGAACTTTGCCGGTGCTGCGTCGGACGACGCTTGTCGGAAGGACGCCGAGTTCCTTCGTCGATTTCAGCTTTCGCGGTCACACTTTGAACGGAAGCAGTCCAGGTCAGAGGAGAGGATCAATGATGATGATGGTTTTACGGATGACGTTCGATCGAGCAATGCCGAACGGGTGACGTCACGAGAGACTGTACCGGATGATGGTGAAGTGTATTGTTTTCTATTTAGCATGTTTGCCTCACCCGGTGAGCTCCTCGGACAGATGAATGTACAGCTATGTGAGGCTTTCCGGAAGCGCTTTGCCGATCGCCATCGAAAGCAACAGCGACGACCAAGTTTTACGGGCAAGTCGAGCTCTGCTGGAATACGTGGGACCCGAGCTTTGGCCAAAGATACTCTCCAGGACACCAAGATGTACGTTGCACACGTACTAGGTGCGACACTGCAGTGTTTTCCGAGCTTAGCCAGTACGTCGGAGTCCGTCCGGAGCTGCACGCTCGCCGTCGAGCGCATCATTTACGACGACATTCACGCGATGGTGTTTAGCGAGTTCCAGAGCGCGTTCAAGGACGCAGAAACTGCTTTTGCGGCGAACGTTGCGGCGATTCGACGCGAACAAAGTTACCACTCGTCGCCCCTATTGCGACTACCTTATCCGAGTCGAGGAGGTGATACGAACCGCAAAGCCTTTCAGCGACCGGTGCTAGCGGACGATCTTCGGAAGGCAGAAGCTCGATTGGTTGCTATGATGCAAGAGACGTCGTCTCCGTTGTTAAAGTTGGGTCTGCTATGTGATGCTTTCCGGCATATCTGCTGTTTTGCGGAGAAGCTGCACCAGTCAGCATCCAACACGGATTTGTTGATTCCGATTTTGTGCGCGTTCTTTGTCGAATGCCCGTCAGTGTGCCATGCAAGCTCGAGTTTTGTGGCAGAAATTGCTTTCATCTCGTTCTTTACGAACGGGGGAGGTAAAGGTGTCGAAGGGTATGTATTGACGACGCTACAAGCAGCTATTCAGGTTATTGTTGCTGTGGATGTGGTGCCAAATGGACATGCAAAGGAGCTGGAGCTTTTCGTCCATGACAATGACAGTGAAGCTACTGACGAGGCCGAACAGAACGATTGCGAGTTCTTTGATGCCTTGTCAACAAAGACCCAAGAGTCTTGATTGACTCCAGAGTAGCCACGTCTTCTGGAATCAGGATGGGCAAACAGGAACCATAGAAGTGTAGATAGATGTGAGTCACGGGAAGCTGAAGTGGATGTTGAGCCAACCGTTTTGAACCCAACTGCAATCGGAATGGAGACGCGTTTTGTGTCATCACGTTCGACTCGTCGGATCTCGATATCTCAGCAAAGCTTCAGCTTGTGTGTTCGACCTGTTGGACTAGTAATGTAGAGCCAGACAAGGTGTACGGATATGTATGTGGTAAAGCTGATTATCGAACGTCGGTACCGTTGCAACGCGTGGTCTATCGAGCTCAATCCAGCAGATTGCGCCATTTTTGAATCCACTGTGTCGTGGACCAAGGCTTCTGTAATGAACTACATGCCGTCTCTCGGAGGATTCATCCGTGCTGTCCATCCACCAAAAGCGTGAGTACTTGAAAGAAGTGACTTCCGAGACCTCGTTAAGCTGTAATCTGGTTACTGGAACAACAGACCATCAAACTCGAGCTTGAACATGGTAAAGCCCCGTCGCAGGCACATCCATCACTATTGAATTTACTCTTCGGTACCAACTACTTCTAGCGTTAACGACGCAACGCACATTTGCCTACCAGCTACATAATGGTCACTGGTCTCTGGTCGCAAGACGAACATGCGAAATTTCTGCTTGCTATCAAACTCTACCCTCAAGGTCCGTGGCGAAATGTCGCAGCGTACGTGGGCACACGATCAGTTCGTCAAGTGCAAACGCACGCCCAAAAGTACCATGAAAAGGTGGTGCGACGCATGCGGGGACTGCATAAAGGTCGTCACTATTCCGGTCGCAAAGAGCACCGCATTGACGATGATATGCTCGCTGCGTGCAAAGTGGGCGAAGGTTTCGGTATCATCGTACCCAAGCCCATTTTTGAAACTTCTGCTTCACTGCAGCAATACCCGGTTCAACCCGTGATTGACTCGGTGGAATTCAGCTTCCCACTTGTGCGGGCCCCTACATCTGGTTCAACAAGTCCCAGTGGGGTGGATTCCAACGGCATTGCAGACGTGATTTTTCAGAGACCAACTCCATTCGGCACTTGTTGCTGGCTCCCGACAATCGACGAGTCCCTTGACTTCCTGATTGATTGCTTACTTGTCTAACGCAACGAGCTAATAAGCATTAGCGGCTTGCTCGCGTGGAGCTTTACCGATACATAACTATGATTTACATGGACAAGTCTTTGCAAGAGGAACAACCGAACGATCTTTTTGAGCCATTTTGACGCTATTGTTATTCCGAGTTGACAATGTGAACATGCCTGACTTCAACCAGGTTCGGCACCTTTTTCGATCTCTACTGCTGCTTTGTGGACGCGGGGGTTCGTTTGTGATGCAAAGGCCAAAGCTCGTGTCGTTGCGTATAGGAGTAGGACGTGGTATGACCAACTGTGTCTGTTTCGAGTCAGTTTATACCGGGGATTGTGAGGTAATATACTATTGTGTACGGGAGGATTCGAGAGAGGAGGGGTAGCGTTTCGAACGAGGATGGTTAGATCTGCCCAATGTAGGCGTACATCCAGCCTACTGTTGCAGTACAACAAACATTACTGCCACGAACACGTTCGTCGATACATGACAGTTCATAAGTGTTACATGCGATACGATGGATGTGATTGCAGTCTTGGCAACCACCGCATCAGAAAGGGACGAGTTTATCATGAGCATGTATCCGGCATTCGTAATTTCTACGAAGCCGAGAAACCAGTCAGCTTCCAGTCTCGTGAGAGTACAGTACAACATACCGCTGTCATGATTCCATACAGCCATTGAGGATCGACACTATTTAGGCCTCGGTACAGTGGCATGAACCCCAATGTGCATGCTCAGCAACTGCATATAAGAGAGACTCTATCGCGCCAGAGTCAAGCTTTGGCTATACATCTCGAAACAGCTCTCGATAACAAGAGGTTGAGCTTACAGTGACATCTCGATACTAGGTCGGGGTCGGGGCCGCCCGCCATCCAGACGGTCGAGCAACCGTCAAAATGTTCAAACCATCCGTCAAGAACTCGTCCTCCTTCAGTAAGTGTTTGTCTGACCACTTCACGAAAATCCACGAGTGTCGGTTATATTACCGATGTCACAATCTAGTTTCCGCTCTTGACTCAAGCGTGGCACTGGGAGTACACAACATGGTCAATCTCCACGATTCTTTGCTGACTCGCAGGCATAAAGCCGACGTCCAGATCTCATCAAGTCCTGACAGAGTTTCGCAACCAGCACTACTTGACGCCGGTTGCGTGTCAGGGAGTTCTGGCAACGTAACGTCCGCGGCTGTGCAACGCACTTTCAGATGTCCATTGTGTCCAGCCTGAGAGCAAACCATAACAAACACCACCTCATGTGTTCGGCACCATATCTCAGGTCGGGTGATCCCGATTTTTCAGTGCTCTTGAAGTAGCTGGTAGAGATGATATGGATGTGTCCTCGCAGTCTGAAGTGGCAAGCAACAGAGCGCCTATCTCACATGCTCAAGCAGCTATGCCGCCCGCGACTGAACGTAGTTCGTGTCAGCCTGGATTTTCTCGGCCCTCTTTTTCACACAATCCTGTTGCCACATGCTGCGATTCATGCCCTTTTCAGCCCCCTCACCAAGGTGAACCTATCACTTGTCCCACGAGGTTTCTTGACTTTTCTCTATTCACCATCAAGCTTCCAGTACTTTGCTGTTTGCCAACAAGTCAAACATTCACCTTCCAACACGTCCACCGACAGAGAAGAGGCCGCTTACTCAATGACGTGTGATCACCTGTCATTCCACAACCTGCCGTGCAAACCACATAGGCTCAAGAGCAACTGCAACTTCGCGACTCCTGTACATTCCATCTGTCCGCCGACAACCGTAAACCATTGCAACACGCTCATCTACCAGAAAAAAACATGAAGCACGGCGTCTGGTCCGAAGACGAGCACGACCGGTTCCTGTTTGCGATCAAGAACAATCCTCATGGTCCATGGGGCTGCATCGCCGCAGCTGTCCGCACTCGCTCCATCCGACAAGTGCAGACCCATACACAGAAATACTATGAGAAGATAATGCGGCGAGTGCGTGGACTACGCAAAGACCGCAATACTTGGGCACGTGTGGAGCACCGCATTGACCACGACATCCTGACTTTCTGCGACTTCATGAAGAATATGGGCAGCAGCAAAGCCATGGTGGGCGACGCCTATACTCTCATCATTGACAATCACTTGACTGTATCACCTCCGTCCAGCAACAGCTCCAGCCTCTGCAACAATCCCAAGCAATTCCATCTTAACGTTGACGTAAGCAGCTTCATACCGGAGAAGGAACCCGAAGCTGTCGGCAGTCCCAGCAATGCACCACAGCTGGACTTACCACCACTGGACGAGGCACTCGACTTTCTGATTCATGTCATGGAACAGCGACTCCAACACCCAAGCGTAGCCAGTCTCGTATGGAGCTCAAACTACACCAGAGAGCAGCTACCCACCGTGCTAGTCAACACCACGCATTTCCAAGACTTGTAATTAATTAGTACGAGATCGTTCACACTTTTGCCATTTCTCTCCATCGAAAGCAGAATAACAAGTTGGCACTTGTTGTAGTCATCCGTGTCTTTACTAAGCCACAGGAACGATATTCTCTTCGTCGACGACCAGCGTGTAGCTGTAAAACTGCAAATATTTCGAAAAGAAGGCGCCTTCAAGTGTAATGACTACCTTGAACGTGTGAGTATTCCATGCGAAAGTGAACTCGCTGCCGGAATCCCAGAGCATATCCGTCACGCTGCGGTTCTGCAGCAGCGGCTCGCCGTCCAACATAATGGAACGGAATCCACCACGGAGACCGTGCTGTAATTCCACACTATGCTGCTCGGCTGACCCTTGCAGCGAAAAGATCCACCATACTTGTTTCCACGGAAACGTAAACAACAACGCGCTGGCCGGGTGCTTGATCTCTTCCAGAGTGCAATGCCACATTGTGTTGCCGTTGTCAAGGCTAAGCGTTCCCTTTCGTGACAGGGGAACACTCTCGCGGCCTCGCGAACTCGACGCTAAGATGTTGCGGGATTCAAAGACGGACATCTGCAGCATTGTCTCTTCCGCAAGAATCGAACGATTACCCGCATCGGGAACTTTAAACCAAGTACGATTCGGATGACCAATACTTACCCAACTCGGCGGCATTGTATAGAGATTATACACCTCTTCGGAAATTCGAACAAGTGTTCGTGACGGACTACCAGCATTTTCACTTGCACTCTGGACACTGTGAACACTACGATCCGACAAATTGTCTGTTCGCGCATGTGGTGGGTCAAGCCCAACCCAGCCTTTTTCTTTTGTAAGCCGTACGTAGGTCTCTCGAGTTCGTGGCAGCGTGTACTCCATCTCGGCTGAGAAAATCGTGTCCGCAAGCAAGTAACGAACGACTTCGCTCGTCCGCTCCGGCGAAAGCAGCACCTCCTTCTTTTCACTGATCACACGGAAGAAAAACTTGCCATTCTTCTTTTCCGGATCTTCATCCACGGCCTCCAGTACAAGGTCGCCCCGGGGTGTTTGATCGAACAGCCAGCCACTACAAGCACTATTCGTGGCTGGATGAGACGCACTGGCCACCTTAATGTACGTGACGCGGCTACCCGGTGGTGTGTACTGGAGACTGCTTTCGAACACGGTGCCTGCTATCATGGGAGCTACGCCTGGTAATCTCGGGCACTCGAAATCTGGGGCCGATCGCAAATATACTGGCACTACCACGCGGTAGAACTTTGGCAACTCGCGCGTGACAGCATCTCCCACGACCTGCTCCAATAGCAATTTATACGGAGGCTGCAGCTGTCGTTCACATACCCAACCCACATCGTGACGTAACTTCACGAAACCTATCACCGGCAGGTCAGAGTCATCAACATCTGCCCCGATAGGCGACACTGCCGGCACAAGCCTCTCACTGCACTCAATAAGCGTGTCTCCAAGACGCTTGCGTCTGCTGGGAGGACTAGAAGGGTTCGATGAGCTCGAAACTGCAATTGTATTGCCACCTGCCGGCGTAGACAGCACATCCACATCTTCCAGGACGCGGTAAAAGAGTCGCTCAACCTGTCGCATTCGCGGCTCCACCATTGGTTCCAGCACCACTTGTCCGTCCATAGTAGTCTCAAAGATCCAACCCCCACGGCATGCAGGAGGTGCCGACAACATAGCAAGCGACTTGTCGTCCGTCGATGATTCACCACCACTGCCACCATCACTATACTTACGCGCCATCGACGTTGGGCTTGCCGCACTACCTGCATGGCTGCGTGCACAACCACAACTAGCGCGTCTATCCTTGCACACTCGAACATACGTGATTTTACTTCCAGGCGGCGTAAAGCGCTGTGAAGCTTCCACAATCGAGTGCAACTTGAATCCCTTTCCTGAACGCTGAGCCATAATGTGCGGCGCGACACGTATTCCTACTGGAATCTTCACTACGTAGAAGAAACGTCCATTTTCAATATCAGGCTCTGTGGCTAGCCTCTCAAGCACCTTGACCCCAGAATTCAGCGTCTCAAAGAGCCACCCGTCTTCGTACGCCAGCTTCACAAAAGTCACTCCACTCTGCGGACAGCGATACCTTTCGTGGCATTCGATAATCTCTTCTGCATTCTTAAGTACACGTCGAGAGATCATTGGTGCCAGCAAATCCGGCGCTTTGCTCAGCTCAATGGGCACCAGCACTCGGTAGTAAAATCGTCCCTTAGTCACCACTGCTTTCTCGTCTTCCGGCAACAGCTCCAGCAGCTGCAACTCCGGCGTTGCATTATCCGTCTCCGTTCCTTGCTTTGTCATCTTCATCGATAGCATCATAAATGCGTTTTCCACGTGCGCAAGGCGGATAAACCACGTCGGCGCGTTCGCTTCACCGACCAGACACTGCAAGCGACCACTGCTCAGCACCACCTCCTCGGGCATCTTCACAACACTGTAAGCTACATCAGCAACAGGAACAGAACCACCAACGACATCACCAGCAACAAGAACAACAGCAATCACCAACACACGTCACAACCCCCACTGAAAACCTCACATAAAAAAAGCCACATGCATTTTGACACCATCCACGTGCATTTTGACACCATCTGCTGTGAATGCATGTCTCGTCTACGCACCGTTGCGTTCTTGGTGCAACATCTGGTACCTGCTCTTGGCTGAGGCCGTGCGTCCATAATTTGCTCGCGGTAGCTCCTGGATGCGCACGGCTTTGTAGTCGCTCTGGGCCATAGACAGGGCATCTGGAAGGGAATAGTGGTGGTGGTGTAAATTACCATCTAGTGTCGACCTCCTGTCGCCTGGCTGCTGATGACCTGTGGGTTCAAAAGTGGGTTCATTGCAAACCCCGTCAAAAGTGATCGAGAACAGCTTGGACTCGTGCAACACGCGGTAGAAGCGCGACTCGGGCAGCACCGCGTTACGCAGCGAAGAAGGTGCAGAGCTCGTGCCTGGAGCTTCGCTAGCGGCTGTATCCTCGCTGAAAACCTGCTCGTTGTCGCTAACTTGCGGGATCAAACGCCCGTAGAGCGCAGGAGGCGCTGACCGCATGATTGCGCTGAGGTGGGGAGGTGGAGGTTGATGGAATGTAGACGAGTTGGGTGGGCCACGCAAAATAAGGAACATGCGGTGTGGTAGTCAGTCAGTCGGTGTGGTAGTCAGTCAGTCGGTGTGGTAGTCAGTCAGTCGGTGTGGTAGTCATTCAGTCACACGAGAGAAAAAACAGGCGCAACCACCACAACAGTCGAGCATTCTTTCCAAAAACCAGATGGCATGAGAATTTCACGAAATTACAAATCTGTGCGCTCGCCTCCTGTGACAGGCGCCGCTGCTTTCTCACTAGAAATGGCCATGTCCTGCATGACGGTCGACAGTGCCGCCTCTTCTTGCTCGTGTCTCTTCGTCTGCTGTTTCTTCACGCGCGCTAATAGATCAGGAAGGTACTCGTTTTCGTACTGCTTTGCAGCTTGATCGACAGCAGCAAAGAACTCGGGCATCCCTTCTCCAGTGGCAGCAGACACCCCGACAGACGTCAAGTTGTTGTAAAACTCTTCGAGCACGAGACTGAGCGAGCGCGAGAGACTTCCCATGTAGCTGTCGTCCTGCACGTCGTCCAGTGCTTTCTGAAACGCTTCAAAGTCCGTCATCCACTCGGTCGCAAAGTCGTGCCGCAACACGTCAATCTTATTGAACACAACCACGAACGGCAGCTTCAGCTTGTACAAAATGCTGCAGGCGTACAACATGTTGGACATGAACGTATTGGGACTGGCCGTACGAGGCGTGTCCACCACGTAAGCAATCACGGATGGAAACGTGGACGCGAGCGATTCGGTGATGATCTGGCCCGACGCAGACCACGTAAAGGCTTCGATTTGCCCAGGCGTGTCGACAATAGCATAGCTGCAAGAAAGACACACACATGGAGAAAGAGAGAGAGAGAGAGACAATGTTACCACCAGGAGCTCTTTTCAGCATGATTTCTCCCTCTCGTTGACGTGCATCTTAAAGGCAAAGAACGGACGTACTCGAGGTCAGTACTGCGTTTGGCCACTAGATCAACGACCTGGTCGAACCGTGTGGCAAATAAATTGAGCGACGTCATAATGGCGCCATTCGGACCTAACCCGTACTCTTTCATCACTTGCTTGTAGTCCACCGTATCGCGAATGTCGATGTTCGCAGTGTACCCAGTTTTGCGCACGGCGGGGTCCAAATTGATGACGTAATTGCGCAAGCCTGAGTCCATGCCATAGACAGCAAGGCGCTGCATGAGCGTCGTCTTGCCGCTACCGGCCATACCGATAACCAGCACGGTCACGGGCTTTGGGTGGATCGTAGGCAGACTCGGGTCAGCAGCAGCGGCAGTAGCGTACGCATTCGCGGCGTCAGGTGATGCGGTCGTGGTCGCCATTGAATTTGGGTCAGTGGCTCGACAAATGAGGTCAAAAAATGAGTACTCTCGATGCTTTTTGGTCCCGAGGTTGGTAGGCCTACGTCATCACTCTTTTTATAAAAGCCGAAACGTAATCAAGTTGAAGTGAAGGTCTCCATTTGTATGGTCGTATGCTGTCACGGTCTCTTTTGATACACTTTTCAATACTGCTGACAACCAGCAAGTGGCTGGGAAAAGCTCGCGTAGCTCTATAGCGTATACTGCTGATACTTGCGTAAAAGTTTCTGCAACTGATAGTGCACGTTGGCAGCATCAGGTCTTGACGTAGGGTCCACGGCCACACAAGCGTGCCCTAATTCCACCAGTGCCGTAGGTGTATGAGCTGAGAATTCCACTCGGACGCGGCCCATCGCTACCATCTCCATTAGCGCTGTCTCGGATACCTTCTCGCCTGCTTCAGCAGTGATAGTAGCAATGGCACTGGCATATGGAGGCTGGTGCGAGTCGAGCTCGGACAGGACCACCCCGAAGGAAAAGATGTCGGCGCTCGTGTTGTAGCGCTTCCCCATCATGACCTCAGGTGCCATCCAGCGCCTTGTACCGACACCTGCTGTCATTGTGTTCACGGTGAACTTGCGCGAGACACCAAAGTCCGTGAGCTTCGCCTCGAGCTCTTCTGATAGCAGAATGTTCATTGACTTGAGGTCCCGGTGTAGTACAATGGGGTCCAAAGAGTGCAAATACGTCAGTGCTTGGGCCACGTGAAGTGCGATCGTGGCCTTGTCAAGGTCAAACCCTTGGACGCGGTGCTCGACGCGGTCAAAGCGTCTCAATAGTGTGAACAAGTCGCCTCCTGGCATGAACTCGGAGACAGCACAGAGATCGCTCAATGCATCCCACGCCACCCCAACGAAACGCACGATTCGGGGATGCTCGACACTTGCCATCATCTTGATCTCAGCCAGAAAGAGGTTGATCTGACACATGTCTTTCCGCTTCTCGGGCAGCAGCACCTTGATTGCCACGTCTTCATCACGGTACAATCCTTTGTACACTGCTCCATGTCCTCCTTCATTGATGAGCTCCTTTCGAAGGAGCTTCTCCAGCGGAATCCGGGCTGCTGTAATGACTTCGTCTTCCGATAAGCTCGAGTTCGACTTGGACGATTTCTTGGTCGGAATCAACGTCGCGCTGTTCTCGAGCCGCAGGGTCGAGTCCAGGTTTACTGTGCTGTCGAGATCTACAGTCCGATCAATACAGTCCAGGTCCCGGATAGTAGTTGCAGCTGCTGGCGTGTAGCTTTCCAGCGTGATCGGGTCCGCCGCAGGTACCGTGAAGGGTCCGACAGTGTAAGAAGCTTCAAAGGACGACGACCCGGCAGTCCTCTTGCTTCTCCTGCGGCGGCAAAGCCACCAACTAACCCCTATAGCCAGCAAAACTGCTGCAATGGAGCCTGCAACCACACCCAGGATACTACCAGTGTCCAGACCTATCCATCAAAACAGAACGACCGTGAGCAGAGTGTTGCCGAGCGAGGGTTCAAGCACATGAGGAACTCACCGCCATCGTCGGTTTGCACTACGATAAACCCCGAAGAGGCAGCTTCACCATCACCCGAGTGGGAGCTCACGGTTATTACAACCGTTGTCGAGGCATTCGCACTCGCTGCGGCTGAAGAAGGTTCGTACGATGCAGCAGGACCAGCATCCAAGCTGGAGCTAGGACTATAAAGCGGTGGAGCCGTCACCGTTGTGGTGACTGAAACTGCAGTACCTGGTGAGCTATCGGATTCGGGGGCGGACGTGTCACTAACCACCTCGATCACCGGCGACGGAGGTGGAGGTAATGAACCTGCAGATGTGATCGACGATTCTGGTGCTCCAGCAGTCTCTGGTGGTGACCTTGCGGTCCCTGGTACCGGTGTTGGCGTCCTTGTTGAATACGCTGGAGTCTGGGCTGGAGTCGCTGAATCAGGTGTCGGTTCCCTCGCTGGGGCACCACTTGGCGTCGTGCGGGTCAACCTATCCGATGTGCCGGTCAGGGTATCCGTTGTATCCGAGAGAGCTTCGGTTGCTGTATTGAAGAGGGACATCGTGAAAACGATAATTGCTAATGCTCAACCGAGCGAGGTCGGAGTCAACCTGGTACGCACCTGAACACTTCCTTTTCCTGCCGGTTCATCCCCGACGTAGTAGTAGTACATGTGAGACGCACATTGCACTTCCATGCGGCCTAGGAGGGAGAGTACGACGCGATATTCAGCAGAAGTGGCGGCTGAAAGGGCGTTCTGACCGTGGCAATGACATGGTCAGCAGGTAAGCTGCTTCAAAGTCTCAAGTTCTATGCACGCTCGCATCGACCGTCACGTTCGTGGGTATCATGGGGCGTCGCACGACTTTCAATGGGTGCACCTTTCAATGGCTTTCCTGCCGATCTGAAGCGATCCGAGCCTTGGCAATGGTCTCGTCCACACATCTCGCTCGATCGAGTTGACGACGGGAGACATGACATGCCCATTTGGACTACTGGAGGTGGTCGTCCACCTCCCTCAATCTCGCAGGAACGACCGGGAGTTCCAAGTGTTCAAGGATCCGTCCTGAAGAATGTGACGACGATTACTCTCGCCAGCGCCACGAGCTGCAGTTGTGCTACGTCGGGCAAGCAGGTCCACTGTGTGTAGTCACTAGCTCGAGAGTCCGTGCATGGAGCCCAGCTCCTTTCTGAGGTTGGTCGAGTCTTGACTGCTGCTCTCGCGAGATCCTTGTCGGGTATCGAGTATTCCTGAAGAACTGACGATGCTCCCACACGACGAGACGGTGTCTTCTGCTGCGAGGTTTCTCCGTAGCGTGTTCAACACGTGGCATTTCATCCTCAAACTGCTTGTGAGTGCAGCGACATTTCAACCAGGTACAGTGGCCGCTGCGTCTGGAGCTTCGAAGCTCAGCAAGAGCAAGTCACGGCGTGCTAACTTGCACTTAGATCCCCTCCTTTTCATGTGCGAATCGTACCACATACTTGCTCGTTATGCTCTTTCGACTCGAAGGGATTCTACATGTCGTTGGTGTATTTGAAAGCAAGCCGCGTCGTCTTGTCTTGCGATATCTGCTCGGCACGTGACATACTCCGATAGGGCTCTTCTACCCTATCGGGGCACGCATCCTAGGTGTGTTCCCACCTCGGCCACTTGCGTCGAGCATCTATTGAACTACTTACGCTTTCGACTTCATGGTCGAACACGGCGGTATTTCGGGTGAAGGAATGCTTGTTGAGCCGTGCTTGAAGCTATCAAGTTGTATCTATCGTCTTGTTGACCTCCCTAGCTCCCACCGTCGACAGCGACAACATGCAGCACCACCGACAGAAGCTACAAGATACGCGGCGTCAAGGGGTGATGACCTCGGCGGTTGTGTACCGCTTGAAACGCTGTTGCCACAGTAGGTGATACCCTGATTCTCTGTTCGCGTCTCAGCAATGGACCGAGACAAAGGTAACTATCATGGTCGCATCCTTTCGTTGACGCTGTAGCTCAGCGGGTGCAGCAGCCAGTTGCAGTAAGAGGATCGACCTATAGGTCTACAAGGCGAGTGGATCCCGCGAGTCTCGCTGTATACTTTCTGCGTGAGGTGTCGTGACATCTCAAGATCAGACACGACCAAAACTCCCATTGTCGCCTGTGCGGATCTTGCCTGGCTTCGCAACGAACCCACCAAGAGGACAGTTGACGCTCCAGCAAGCACAACAACCATCCACTACCCAAAGGTGTGTATCGAAGACAAAGTCGCATGATCTTTGGAGTAGACAGGAGCACTTCTCGATAATAACCAAGCGGTGCATGCCTCTTCTCAAAAAAAAGCGGGACGAAGATGAGAGAAGTTATTTCCGACGCAAAGCAAGCAGCATTCGTAGGCTCGCTAACCTTCTCACGGACAGGTACCATACGCTTATTTAAGTATGTTCTGCAGCTATCAACAAGAGCGGTGTACATTTCCGAACGTCTTTGTAGCATTACATTGTAGCGCTATCGAGAGGATACAAGTCGAAGTAGACTGTCATTGCGTTAGCTTAATCTCGAGCAGAGACGATGGTCAGAGAGAGGGCTGAAGCAACGAGGAAACTGGGCGAGTATATCGGTCCATGGGTAATGTAGAGAGTCACATGACTAGCAAGTTGGGATCATGGGACTCCATGTGCGTGCCTTTTAAGAGGCAGACGCAGTGATCTCATTTTATTCACGTCCTTCCCTCGATCGCTTCCGAGTGTAAGCGCTGTGGTCAACGCGCCCCTGATAAAGCCCGAATCTTGTCGTGCTTGTATCAATTGCAATGCATTGCACTCGGATTGCACCGTTGCGTGAGGCAAAGAGGGCGCGTAAGCGTCTTCAAAGCTTACAACTTTACCGATCACACGGAACGTGCCGAGGCAGCTGTTGGCGACGAACGTTATCGGAAGAGGTTCGAGTGTGATTGTAGCGCCTGATTACGCGTGAGCTCAGACGATTCGCACGCTTATGTTGCGGCTGGACACCTGATTGTCACCATAGAGCCGGACGTAGCCCAAACTACATAAAAATACAGGATACAAAGCTGCGCAAGTAGCCTCACATACGAGCACCACCTCGACTAGCAGCATCTGCATAACACACGTAACGAATCTGGTAACCGTTATGTTGCATGAATCCGCACACCCTCCGTCCCGCTACTCTTGATGTAGCCAAGCTCGTACACGTCAGTATTTAGCGTGGCATCCTCGGGTGCGTACTGTGAGCGCATATGACGATCCCAGCTGCTTACCCATCACCTTGTGCCTCTCCAGCTGCACTGAGCCAGTCCATTTCTAAACTGCGTGCTCCGGATAGTCAAGAGCTCTCAAGGCGAAGTCGCTGCAGCCGTCTGTTGACAATACAGGATACGGCAATTATCCCTGCTGTCTCTTTTTTTGCATAAGAGGTAGAGATGTGATTACGCTTGGGCACATCGAGTCGACAATGTAGCCACAACATCACATCATGTCACTCTTCAATCTGCAGTGCTGGGTGGGGGAGTATAAACAGTACACGAACTGGCGTTAGCCAGCTTTTCTCGAACGACGGCTCTGGAGCCGCCACCATGCCCCCCTCCCGACAGGGGGGGGGACGCGGCTTTGCCAAGGGGCCAGCCGGACGACTTGGGAAACTCTAGCCCGGCCCTCGACTTACCGGAGGACGCGGGGCCTCCGGAGAAGGCTCCTTCTCTCTCCGCTGGTAGCCCCTCATCCTCTGCAAACGGGGCAAGGGCTCAAGCACACGCCGCATCTGCTGCTCACGGGACAGGGGCTCCAGTACACGCCGCATCTTCTGCTCACGGGACAGGGGTTCCAGGGCACGCCGTATCTTCTCCTCTCGCGGACTCTCAGATGCCGACCCCCTCAGTGGCTAGGGAGTCAGGCTTGGCAGGGGATGCTTCCTTCACCATGGCAGACCAGCCGCTGCGTAGCGGCAAGACAGATGCAGTAACGCCGCGGCAAGACGGACCCACCGGGCGCGCTTCGGGGGAGGGTTCCGAGTCCTCCTCGTCGCCTTCGCAGGCTTTCACGCCCCCAGTTCATCCGCGCGACATGTTTGAGGCCCTTACCGCGGCGATGAAGGCTTCTTCGGGGCCCCCGTACCTAGATGTCTGGCGCCAGACCATCCAGGAGTTATTTGCGCTGGAATTTGCCCGCCTTCCAGTCAGCTTCGACGCGTTGCCGGCCGAACGCAAACGGTATCCCAAGCTCACAAGTACCGAGCTGGTGAGTTTGCTGGATTTGTTTAAGCAATGTTTTGTTGTGACATCCGGCCGCTACGTCGACTGGACCCGTTTAGCCCACCAGATCAGTAAGGAGATCCTCGTCACGAAGTGGGCGTTCAAAGAAATCTTGCGCAAGCTGGCCAGCCGACAGAAATGGGCTGTGGCTCCAATCCCGCGGCTGTGGTCTCAAGTCGTGCAGACAGGCAGTGCTGCTGCACCTGCCAGTACGACAGGCCAGCAGCGTCCCGTGTTCGATGACTTTATGTTTGATCCGGCACATTTTTCGGAGGAAGAGACGACCACGCTCCGAGCCATTTGCGCAACGCGCCTTAACTTGACAGGTACTCACCGTCTGCGCGAGGGTACAGATGATGAATGGCGCATCATCATTGGGATTGCGGAAGGGCTTATTGCCTGTCGTCGGCTGCCTGATTTTCTCAATTCTGTCTTCGACAGCGACGAGCGGCTTCGGTTGTGTCGGACTGTTCAGGCGCAGGTCGAGGGACAGTTAGTCTTACAACTTAGACATGGTCGTGATATCCCAATTGGACGCCGGACGACCCACGCTATTACGGAGAAGATTTTGGAATCGGCGGAAATCTTGCGGGTCTGCTTGCCGGATCTTCACCGTTTCCTCGGGTTGGCCAAGACGATAAGCTACAATCGTTCTACCCGTTCAATCCACTTCTATTTCTTTACGCGAGCCATTGCTAAGGCGCACCAGGATGTCGTAGTGCCTTTTCAGGGGAGGGCGTACACGCTCGAGAATGTTCATCACCCGGTCAGGGGCTCGGTCTGGTTGAATCAGCGGGGGACCAGACGGGCGGTCGAGCCACCCTCGGGCAGCGTACACCATTTTGCTGTATAATCTCACCCGGTTTGATGATATTGGGCGCATTGCTGCCTACCTCCGCTCCAAGATACCAACGGATTTTGAGCTGGAGGATATGGATACCTGCACCCCGAACTCACGTACGTCCACTGCCTGGAAAGTCACCTTTCATCTGGCGGGTTGCCCGACCTTTCTCCAAGGAGTAGTCAGACTGCTTTGGTTTGGGACCCCCATTATCGTCCGGCATCCGGACGTGGGCCGTCGCCTCCAATGTTTGCAATGTGGTACGCTAGGGCCACCCGGCGTCGAGGTGTCAGTTTACTGATGCGCAGTTGCGGGGGCCGGGCGGGCTGGAGGTCCACGAAGCCGAGCTTTTAGCTGTTGAAGATCTGGCCAAACCGTTTAGTAGCCCTGATGAAATGCGGCAAATGGCGCAGCGACGACTGGTTGTGCAGCAATCAGCCGATGCAGCGGCTCAAGCTGCGGTGACTCCGGCGGTACTGGTCGCCACTTCCAGTCCACCGCCGGCCGCCGAGCCCCAGCCAACAGGTATACCTATCCAATCGGTGTATACTACTCATGTCGCGCACGCGGGCCCGCCTCCTCCGGCCCCAAAACCCCGGCCCGAACAGCCATGGATGAGACGCCCCCTTCGAGGGGGTCGTCGGCCTTGGCCCCCCAGTTCAGCCTTCCCCGCCTCAGCTGAACGTCAGCAGCGGGAGTTATCACGTTCTCCAGGAGGATGATAGGGCAGAGGAGGGTCCGTCTTCCCCATTTGAAGGCAGTGTCGCCTCTGCACCTCCGCAGCCGGGGACTGGAGGCTCCTCGACTCCTGCTTTTTCGGCACGGCTGTCCCACTCTCGGCTTCTGCCGGAGGATCAGGCCCGGAAACAAGCAGCCGGTATTCGGGGCCCGGCGGTAGTTATCGCGGGTCCGGCTCTCCTGACCCAGCAGCGACGGGAACGTCTGACTTGCGAAAAGCTTTTTAAAGCTGCTGCCGGATCGGCAATGTCACTCGATACCCATGGATCCTAAGCCGTTAGCGGAACCCATCCACATGGGCGAGCTTGTGAGTATTCTGGGACTTCGGGAAATAAACACTCCAGCGAACGGCAATTGTTTGGCGATAGCTCTTGCTCAAGCGGTGGCTGAGTCTGCCTTGACCGCCCCTACCAAGGACCAGGAGCTTCTCACGGCTTGCATTAAACGAGGTATCACGTGTACAGGACTCTTGAACTTGGAAGATCAGGTCCCTCACGACTTGCGGGTGCAGGCACTTAAGAACGTGGGCCGTGGGTGGGCGTCGATGACGCGCACAGAGTCGGCTTCTCAATTCCGCTGGTTTTTGACGGACTTCGCGGCCACCCCATCGGGGCGAACTTCGCATGTGCCTACGGACTGTTGGGGGGCAGTGACACACTCGGCATGGCAGCCACGTTTTTACAGAGAGACATCTTTGTCGTTCAACGCGAAGAAGCCACCCCTCAGTGGCGTTGCCGCAAGTATCACCCCGTTTCGATGACTGTACGGGGACGGGCGGTGGCTTCTGTAAAAGAGTACCCCCTTTCTATTATGGCGTGTATCGACGAGCTGCAGGCTACCAAAGTCGGGGCGAGTCAGGCTCTACCGTTAGTGTTGCGGTTTGGCGGCAGCCACTACTCGGCATTTCTCCATTCAGCGGGAGTGGCCGATCCGTTAAACCTTACCGATACCCAGGACGGGCCGAGTGCGTCGACTCAGGATCCGGTCCACTCCTTCGGGGACACTAGAGCCACAGCGTTGGTACCATTGGAGGAGAAAAGCGCTTCAGCACTGCCCTCAGACGACAAACTCCTTCCTGACAGCGGTGACCGGACGTCGATCGTCCTTTACGACGCTGGAGACGCGGTCGCTCGAACCTCGGCACAACCCTCTGGTCAATTGGCTTTAACTTCTACTTCGAGCAGCTGTCGCGAACGCGGGATGGCCTCTGCGGCGCGGAAACGGGGCCACGGCGGCTCTCCCCCGCTCCTGGCGGCGTCTGCGGATCCAGGTGCTGTCGTTCCGATCGGCTCTCGCCACAAGAAAGGTCGGGTTCGTTCAGCCCTTCGGAAATCTTCACTAGACGCGCCGGACGACAGAATCGATCGGGACGAATGGCCAGAGCTCTGGAGTTATCTGGGAGCCGAATGGCCGCCGTCAGCAGCAACTCCGTATCCTCTAGTATATGGAGACTCCAACGGGTGGGAGGCTACGGCTCGTTTGGAGCCGGAATTGTTACTACATCACTTGCGCCGCTTCGTCTTTCCAGACGAAGTACTTGCTAGCTTGTCCGACACAGTTTTTGTACAGTGGACGGCGCTGTGGCGCCAGGAGTGCTTATTATCCGGGCTCCTAGAATTCCGACAGCGAGTGACAGAGCTACCCACGGGTGTTTGGCTCGACCAATGGATTGCTCGATCGCAGCAGCGCCTTTCGCCGTCTCTGCTGGCCCCTCTGATTGACAATTCCGACGATTGGAGAAAGTTGCGAGGGATTAACTATGCGGGGGACGACATTTTACGATTGTGTGACCCGCACAGACGCGTCCGAATGAGTCACCACCTCATGTGTGCCATCGTGTTCGACAACGAGATTTTTGCTCTGACGGGGACTGGCGGAAAGCCAGTACGCCCTCCCGAGCAACTCCGTTGCCACTTTCGCTTACTTCGGACCAATAGTACCTACAAGGATACGTACTACCCAGACGGGGATGCTCCGATCGACTGGACTGCGCTCGTTCGCTATTTTACTACTGCTTTGGCCCCGGCAGAGCAGAGGTTCCTCCTCGAGTACTAAGGGCAGCTTACAGCAGAATTTCGTCTTCAGCCCCGAAGTTCCTTTCTTTGAGGAAGCTGACGCCTACAGCCGGCATCGCAAACTTCACGACTGGTCTCCGTCCTGGACTTCAGCAGTTGATCCACTGGATTCTCGGGGTGGGGACAGGCTCTTTATTTCTCAAAACGTGAGGGGCTTCAAGGCTAGCGCTCGGGAAGGGTGGTTGTCGGCGTGGCGTAGTGCGCCTCAGATCCGTCGCCCGCAGGCTTGGTGTATTCAGGAGACGCATGTACATACTGACGAAGAGGCGGGTAGGCTGAGTTCCAGGTGGGCTCAGTTATGGGGTCAACACTTGATCCTGACGCTCCTCCTCTATCGTTCTGGAGTATTGGCTCTTCTAGCCGTGCTGGTGTTGCCATTCTTCTTACCCCCTCATTCTGCTCGTACAGCTTCGGCCTGGGAACCGGAACGCTGGTCACCCCGGGCGATCGCAATTTCCATTGGGGAGGATGTTCTGATCAATGTGTACGCACCTACACTGCGAGGTGAACGGGAAGACTTCTTTACTTCCCTTCTCAGCTGGAATTTGATGGCCTCCAACACTATTATGGCGGGCGACTTTAACTGCGTCCAGTGCCCTCTCCTCGATCGGTACGGCAGTTACCGATCGCACCGATCGGAAAGCCCTGCCCTGGACGCGGCAGTTGCGACACTGGGCTTGGCGGATGCGAGAGATCTTCGGGATCATGCGGATGACGAGGGCACTGGCGATCCTACTGATCATTTCACTTACTGGAATGGGGACCGTGCCAGTCGCATCGATCGTTTCTATGTGCCTGAGGGGTGGGTAGGTCGCGTGCTGTGGATTGAAGCGCGGGTGCCATCCAATCAGTCGGACCATCAGGAGGTTGTGCTACACCTACGTGACCTGAACAAACCTCGTTCGTCATGCCGGCATGGGCGTGTAACATATCCGATTCATTCATCGAACCCTGGCAGGATCGTTGACGAACTCGTCGCGGAAATGGACGGAAGGGCTATAGGTCAGAGCGTTTCTACCCTCACTTGGGACGCGGATGTCACAGAGTGTCAACAGTGCGTTCGACGCATCCGGAAGCGGGTCAAACAGCGCAGAGCGCGATTTCGTCGGAAGATTCAGGGCAGAGCTCGGCGACCTCTCCTGACCCGGCCGCAATTTATCTCCTGCAATATGGAGGAATTACGGCAGGAACATCTGGTGCGACTGGGCCAGAAGCTCGCCAGGACGGCTGACCAGTTGCGCTATTTTTACAAGCGGGTTGCCGACTGGGAACGCAATCAAACAGTCACAACAATTTCGCGCATCCACGGCCCGCATTTTACCCGGGATATGACTAATGCGGATAAATTTGCCTCCGAATGGTCTACAGTCCTTGGCAAAGTTCATTGCCAGGAGGAGAGAGTGGACTTGCCGTCAGCCATTCGCCGTTTTGTCAATCTACCCACAGACCGAGTCTTGTCTTCTGCCGACAACCGGGCTCTCTTGGCTGATTTTTCGGAAGCGGAAGTCCTTGCAGCCGTTTCTGGGCTCAGTCGACATAAGTCGGCGGGACTGGACGGGCTCAACAACGATTTTTACAAGGATACGTCTGCACTTCTTGTCCCCGCCCTGGTCCAGCTCAGCAATCAAATTTTGGCTGGAGCTGATCCCCCCGCCTTCATTTCTCGAAGCTTTGATCATACCCTTGCGAAAAAGGGAGACTCGGCGGATGCGATGGATTACAGACCGATTTCTCTACTCCAAACCAGCTACAAGATCTTTGCGAAAGTGCTGGCAACACGACTGCAACGCGTATTACCAAAAGTCATTGGTGACTCGCAGCAAGGCTTCGTACACGGACGCCAGATGTCTAAACTAGTGTTGATGATGCTCGCTCAACTGGCGACAGCAACATCGGATACAACTACATCCGCCGACGACAGCCGAGTGATCCTCCTACTGGATTTCCGCAAGGCTTATGACACGGTCGATCGCGAATTCCTGTATGAGGCTCTTCGCCAATTTGGTTTCGCGGAAAGGTATGTTCAGCTTATAACTCGTCTACATACTGGTACTTCGGCCGCGTTCCTTGTAAATGGGGAACAGTCTCGTCCCATCTCCGTCGTTTCCGGTATCCGGCAAGGCTGTCCACTCGCCCCTTTGCTTTTTCTCGTCGTGGTGGAGATATTGGGCGTTGCGGTACAGCAATCACCAGATTTGTCTGGGCTTCCTGTCCCTGGACGACATCCGGCAACGCACGTTTTCTCGGCATTTGTGGATGACTCGACGATCTTTCTCGAGAAGGCCAGTCAGCTAGAGCCAGCGATAGCTCTTCTCTCTCAATTTGGGACCCTATCAGGGCTAGTTGCCCAACCCTCCAAGAGTCAGATCATTTGTCTTAATCGGGCTGTGCACGTAGCCGATATGCGGGGCATTCCGGTCCTTCAACATGCGGACACGGTGCGATACCTGGGCTATCAAGTAGGACTGAGACCCTTACACAATTGCAACTGGGCGCTTCGTATCCGGAAGCTTCAACGGAGGCTAATGACAGCTTCCAGGGTGGCGACCAGTGTGGCGAATCGGGTGTTGATCCTCAACTCCATCATTCTCCCGTCTGTTCTGTTCACGGCGGCGGTGTTCGATATGCCTGAGTGGGCACGACTTGCTGTCCACAACCTGTACAAACAATTTTTATGGGCTCATGCGACTTCAACGGAAGCCAGCCGACACAAGATTAACCCGGGACTACTTTTCACCCCCAAAAGGCAGGGGGGATTGGGTTGGCCTCTTTGGAGGTGGCTATTAAAACGCAGCGTACCAAGCACGCTTTACAGTGGCTCACACAAGCTCAGGACAAGTATTTTGGAGCCTGGAGTGCGTGGGCTTATCAAGGCCGGCCGACAAATTCGAGTCTGGTTCTCCATTGCAGGACGCAGGCAGCTGGGGCTGCATCGTGTGTCGGGGCACCGTCCCCAAATTCATGGGTACCGGACGTTGACAAGCTTCTACACCCTACGGTAGAGCAAGCCACCATTCTCAGCGAGCGGGTACGAACGTACTACCACCCCATCCTCCACGGCGCCAGTAGCTGGTGGGAGGAGGAGGAATGGGTGCTGTCGTATCATCACCCTTTCCCGGCTGGGTTACCTGCGCTCGATCCTCAACAGTGTGCGATTCATCGCTTTTGGGGGACACTAGGCTGGAGTAATAACCCGTGGATCCAGGACGGCAATGGCCTCTCGTTAAAATCCGCTACCTATGACAGGATCGCCATCTGCCCCATCTCGGACCTGCACATTCGGCGAACAGGGCCAACTGAATTTATTTTTCGCATTAAGCCGGTTGGACCCCGATCTTTTCACCACTCGCAGCCTAAACTCCGTCGGTGGGCGACGGCAATCTTGCTGGCATCCCCTACGTTCCCCATTGGGGGCGAATTAGCGCTCGAACCTGAGCTGGTTCTTCGCCATGCACCACCTTTTCGACATGAATGGACCTGGGCCTCGGTCCAACAAGGTCGAGTGGTCGGGAGGCGAGAGGGGTACTTGGAAGTCGCTGACCAGCCTGTTGAACTGCAGCAGAGTGCGGATGGAATTCGCTGGTTTTTCACCACTCACCTACCAGAGTTATCTACTAATTCGGACGAGGACAGATCCGTTTGGGCCCTACGCTTGCGTCGTCACGGCGTCGTGTTTTACTCCCATCCCGGGCATCATGGCTTTCCTTGGGCCGTCGCCGAGTCGGTCGCGAACTTAGCTATACGAAAAGCTATTTCACGCCTGGCGTTCACGTTTCACAAAAGACTTCTTGCAGTCGCATTGCGACCGCTGGTGCGGCGTCTGGAGGCCGTCTGTGACTTCGATCAGTGGCAGCGGGCTGCCGCAAACCAAGACCCGGCACACGTTTGGAAGCATGACAATGGCCTTTCCGACCATCAGGTCTGGACGTGTTACCGTATAGCCACCAAGCAACTCAACTTGTACCATGCCGGCCGTCCGGCGGACAATAGTTGCCGGGCGTTATTGGCGTGTCACGGTTGCAAAGAAACGCCGGCTCACATCTTTTGGGACTGCCCCAAGGCGCGCGCGTGCTGGGGTCAACTCATTACCCATTGGACAGGTGAACGGGCTGGGAGGCCGTGGGAAGAGCGTTGGTTCGTCGGGAGTGTGAATCGTCACGCGCCGGAGATACCGTCCAAGCAGCGTCTTCGGATTTACCATATGCTCCCGGAGGACTTAGAGGCTGGTGTCGCGGTTTGGAAGCGTCTCTGGTTTATTATGAGCAGCATTTGTCTGACTCACTTATGGAATGAGCGGAACGACGCGGTTTTTCGAGGAGTGCAGTCGACGCCTCTCCACAGCGCCGCGCGTTTTTGGGCGCTGGGAATTCGACATCTTACCGCGTTAGCAAAACGCGAACATCGCGGTCCCGCCACAGCTGTCACCGGGGCTATCATGCATACCTGTATCGACCTCTTTATTCTCGAACCTCGGGATAAGCCGATACCTTTAGGTGACAGCCACGACAAGCTACCAGTTCCGGAGCTATTGTCCTGGCTTAGAAGTTTTCAGACATCTTTAGCATAATCATATGTTAATAGACGGACATGACAACAAAAAAAAAAAAAAAAAAAACATCACATCATGTCGAGGACGGATGGGTGATGAGTCAGTTTTGGCCATTTGGCTCTAAAGCGATCGTGGGGTCAAGTCCGTCCATTCTTCACGGATAACTAACGACTGAAGTTTCCAGGAAGGGTGATCCGAAACCGGATCTACAACGTGGATGCTCCGAAGAGCCGGGGGCGAGAATAGCGGAGGTCAGAGACATCCAACCCAAGCCAGAGTCGAGCCTATCTTTCAAGCGCTCTCAGTGCAACGCTGCCCTATGCAGCAGAAGATATCAAGACGTCCAAAAGGGCAACCGAAGTAACGTATTACGCGCCGGGAGAATGCCACTAAAATCGGCGACAGACTCCATTGTGGCCACTTGAGCGACCGTACGAGCTGGATGTCGCTATCACCGAGGCGATGACGACGGCGGGGGGAATGCCAACCCGCCGTAATATCTCTTCAGGGAGCTCATCCATCCGCGATGGTGAAGCTCCGTTTGCCGCTTGCGCGGCCCATCGACATGTAAGCATAAAGAGCATGTACGTGACAAACGCCGTCATCGCTTCTTCGTCTGCAGTGTCTTTTATTCCGTACGAGATTCCGAGCTTTGCCGAACCCAGCTCGTTCAGACTCTTTTACAGCCCAGCTGTACAGCAGCAGCTCCTTTGGTAGGCAGCTCATCTCGGAGTAGGCGAAGACGGAAGGAATCTGTTCCAGGCACACCGTCACGCAACTACTGGCTGTGTCACGTATCGCGCATTTGGGAACACAGGTGAGAACCACCACGTCTACCGGCGTCCCGATCCAGGCATCATCATTTCGGTGACTGCATCTACTACTGAAAGGTCTCAAGTACCCACGCACTGCTGCATGTCAACTTATCCAGCTGCACTACGCCAGCCTTCCTCTATCCGGTAAAGCTGCAGGCAGTCACGACCTTCCAAAGCTTCAATTGTTTTCACTGGACTTGCGACACTCACGCTTGCAATCTGGGCTTGATCGCCAAAAAAGTATCGATCGTCCTCTTGTAGCGTGCCCGGAAGATGGGGCTCTACGTCAGCTCCATGAAGCCGGCTCCGATCATGTTCTGTCACTTTACGATTTGTGACCTGATCGACGCGTGCAGAGCATCTGATGAACGTTCGTTTTGTTTTCTCGCTGGTAGCTGCTGCCGCTGCAGTTTTGGCCCACGTCGACGGGTTGCCCCACCCAAGCGGAATGACCAACAGCCCGTCAGCTAAACAGGGTCGAGTCACCAAGAGCCAAAGTGACGATCCTGCTGCAAAAAATGTGCGAACTGTTGAGGTCGTCGACACTGTCGATAAGAAGACGACAAGCGAGACGAGGGGTTTTGCCGACAAGCGCATGTCGAGGTTCAGGGAGATTGTAAACAAGAAGTTCCCGTCAAAGCTGAGCAAAACCATGTCGCGCTTCTTTCCATCAGTCGGCCCGAGTGGGCCGAAGCTGACTGACCACTACCTGCACATGTTGTTGAGTCCTAAAGTGCAAGAAACTTCGATTTCGTCGCTCCAGGATCGTTACGGGGCCGATGTCGTGCTAACAGCGCTCCTAGAAGCGGAGAAACATGGCAATAAGAAGATCAAGCAAATCGCTACGAAACTGTGGGATCAGCAGTTAGCAAAATGGCTGGACGACGAAGTACCACCTGAAGAGGTTATGACGAAGCTCAAGCTGCATGAGCATCCTACGAACGGAAAGCTGAAGACCTTGGGAGCGTATATCGGCAAATATAACGAAAAAAATTTCGACGACATTAAGCTAATTGACTTGTTGAAGTCGATGTTGGACGGTGAAGACGGATTGGCGCCGACTTTGCTGGTTAAGGCGTTTCTTGGGGGGAAGGTGACTCGTTTTGGGGATGAAGCTGTGGTGGGAGTACTGCTGGGAGCAAAGATGGTTCATTCGTCGGATGCAGATGTGATGGAATTGGAAAAACAGCTTTTCAAGTGCTGGATCAGTGGTGAAACGACAGCCGCCAACGTCTTCGAGTGGCTGGAGTTTGGCAAAACCGAGACCGCTCATGCTTTCGATACACAAGTGGAGATATTGGAAAACTTCATCAAAGCTCTCAATAAAAAGCAGGAGTCTACTCAAGACGATCTATTGACGGTCATGCTCAATGGCTATGGAGGTGAGGACAAATTGGCGCGTGCTTTGTGGTTGGCAAAGATGCTCTCTCCAGGCAAGAAGTCAAAGGCTTTGGACCTGGAGGACCAGCTGATTGCGAAATGGAAACACGAGAACTTGTCGCCATCCGCGGTCGTGGAAAGGCTGCGATTGACTGAAAGCCTAGCGGGGCTGACGGGCTCCAAGCTTGGGATATTGATAAAGTACATCAGGACGTTAGACGCGGGTGACCCAGGACGTAATTTCTCGCTGATCGAGATGTTCAAGAGGAAGAACTTCAAGGATGAAGAAATAGCAAGGGAAGTGATGGGCGCACAGGAGATAGATTCGACAAACACAGACGTGCCGATAGTCGAATCACAGCTTTTGCAGAGTTGGAAAGTCGATGACAAAACAGCTGACGAGGTATTCACGCTGCTCGGTGCGAAAGGACACACTCTCGATAGCCCAAGAGTGAAGGCGTTGGAAACGTACATCGCCTTGAAGCAAGAAGGTCCGTCGATCTTTGAAGTCCTCCGGAAAGGCTACGGGGATGACATCGATCTTACGCTCATGATGTTGGAAGGGTCGGAGGACACTAGCAAGATAGGGATCGCTATTGAAGTCTTCCACGATCTGTTTAAAAAATTGTCCGCGGAACCTACAAGGCTCAATGCACTTTTCAAAAACATTGCGGAGAGAGATGCGACGAAAGGGGAGCTGCTCAAGAGCTGGTACGAGGCGTATAAGATTGAAGAAACAGAAGACTGGCACATGCCCAGGGCGAGGCCAAGACGAGCGTAAGCATTTGATGCATGCTCAGCTCGTAGGCTAAATACATAACGAGCACGTTACATGAATGCGCGTACGTCTTTGTGATAGCGTACCCGCTCTTTCCCTAGCTTCTCATACGAAAGGACCCTGAGTAGGAAGCTTTCCACACTGAATTCCAGGACACAAGAAGTTGGTCTCACCTCTCCGATAGCAACGTCCACGATCGTTCGGAATCAAAATGCAGGCACAACACCACGGGCTCACTGTCTACACGAATGGTCTGCAAGATCCGGAACTCCTGGAGATCACCTCGTGCACGATAATCAATTGTTCATGCAACGCTACGACTTGTTGTATCCGATCGTGTAGATCTCGTACATTCGGAAGATAGTCTGCAGTCTGTAGAGAAGCTCACTGGCACTCGGACGTCTAGTTGGGTCCAGGTCCACGCATGCATGACCTAGACTTACGAGCTCCGATGGCACGTTGGAGGTAAACTTGATGCGTCGCTGTTGACCCGACGTAATCATCGTGAGTATGGCGATGTTGGAGAGCTGCTGTCCGTCCTCAGACCACGTTTCACGGTACGGCAGCAAGTGCGAGTCCAGCTCCGATAAAACGACACCAAACGAGAAGATGTCGGCACTTGTCTCGTAGCGCTCGCCCATCACGGCCTCAGGTGCCATCCACAATGCGGTAGCCACACCGGCAGTCATCGTGTCGACGTTCCATTGCCGTGTCATCCCAAAGTCCGTGATCTTCGCTTCGAGCTTGGCCGAGAGCAGGATGTTCATGGACTTGAGGTTGCGGTGAAGAACGATGGGAACGAGAGAGTGGAGGTATACGAGTGCATGGGCTACCTGGAGAGCGATGCGAGCCTTGTCGTAGTCAAACCCGTGCGGCCGCTTCTCGAACTCTTCGAACCTTTTAAGCAACGAGTGCAAGTCACCACCATGCATGAACTCGGACACGGCACAGAGATCCGTGAGCGAATCCCATGCTGCACCAATAAAACGCACGATACGCGGATGTTCGACGCTCGCCATCATCTTGATCTCTGCGAGGAAAGTGTTGACTTCGCGCAGTTCCTTCCGCTTGTCAGGAAGGAGCCGCTTGACTGCGACTTGGTCACCGCAATAGGTGCCGAGGTAGACTTGACCGTGGCCTCCGTAACTTATGAGCTTGGTGGACGTGACCTTCTCGAAAGGAATGCGTATCGCCGCAATCTCGTCGTCTTCCCACATTGCAATCGGCGTAGAGGGATTTCGTGGCGTGCTGTTGTCCAGGTTCTGGTTTCGAAACGGAGCGTAGGCAGCTTCGACTGGTGTCTCGGGCGGAGACACGATGTTGTTCCCTGGTATTGCGAGCATACTCGACTGTGACTTGCGACGCCGACGTTTGTGCCGAAAGCACCAGAGTAGTGCGAACAGTACTGCGAGGATCACTGCACACGAAAGCGAAACAGCGACAATGGCCCCGGTGCTCAAACCTGTAAAGACAAAGCGAGTTAGCTAGAGGCAGGTGAGTGCTACGAGCAAACCAAGACATACCTCCGCCACCTTCATCTTGGTGGTCCGCCCTTTCAATCGCGGCACCGCTGTTGTTGTTGATGCTGTCACTGTTCTTGTGGTTGTTCTTGTTGTTGTCGTTGTTGTTGTGACTGTAGTTCGGTCTCGAGTTACGTGGATTGTCGACCTCGTTGTTGTTGGAAGCGGTGGATGGTTCGACATTGTTAGAGACATCCTCCACAGCAGGAGAGCTGCCAGGTTCACTAGCATGGTTCAAAGAGCGATCGACAGCAAACGATACATTCGAGACGTCTGCTCCTTGTGGTGGTCTCAATGTCGCTGTTGACGACCTTGATCGGTTTTCGGTCGAGCTCGTCGGTACAATGGAAGCTGCTGACTCCGGGATGGTCTTTGCTGTCCGAGTTGCACCATCGGCCATGCTCTTCACTGTGTCATCATTGAATGGCTCACGCATGATGCCGTGTCTCTAGATGCAGCTCTGCTTCTGGATGGTCCCTTCCAGCAGAAAACGAAAGCGGAATGAGGTGACACTCGTGTCCCGATGCTGATGAAGTGACCCGTACTGGTCTCAGTAGAAGTCTACCTCATGGCCTGATTGTCTACCTTGCCTCTCAGCTTCCGACTTGGATTGTAGATGGTGAGCAGCGCGGTCAACGCACTTGGCTACTAAGAGGGGCGCTCACACTCGAACCCCTTGAAAGTCACTGCAACTATCTGCACTTGGCCCAGAGAATCGAGCACGACCGTACAAAGCTCGACACGGTCGAGCTGAGGAACGGTCAAGCTTCTTATCATACGTGCTTCGGATGATCTAAAGGCGACATTGCGGCGCTGTATCTGCTTTTCTTGCTCTCGTGGAGGGGCATACAAGCATGAACGAGTTCCGGGTTGAACGGGTAATTGGAGGGACATTGGAGACACTTGTTGCACATCTCCCGTTTGTGGATCAGTCTCACCTTAGCATCCGACGACCGTGCGTGCACGTCCAATTGGAACAGGAAGACATAAACAATGACAAGGTATCTGCACTGGGACTGTATCGTCCCATCGTGACTTCAGATACGAGGAGGCGAGCGATCCCACGTGGACCGTGGTTGCGGTGCTACCGTCTGTAGTCGTGCACGAAGGATGCATCGTCGTTACACCTAAACTTCCCGCTTAACAAGAAGCTTTGAACATTCGCATACAGGTCCATCTCCTACGAGTCGCAGTTGGCCGCAAAGCGTCGATCGACGTCACATGCCTGGCGTGAACTTTGTAGCTGAGGGTCGGCCAACCGTGACGAGCAGTACCCTACTGAGTCTGTTGTTAATACTTGGCTGTCATGTTGACTTGCTGGATCATTCGATGTGCTGGACACGTGAGTTTTCCACCGTGTGTGTATTGAAAGAGGAGGCCGTAGCGCACGATCTGATCTTGTAAGGCGTGAAGAGGCAGATCGTGGGTTGTCGACCAGCTTTCGATAAGGACAGACTGAAGTGATGAGTGCCCTTGTGCGGGTGCGGACAAACGTAGCCGATGACAGGTAAAAAGCTCACTCAAAGGTGGTCAGGTCGATCATTCTGACCAAGAACGGACATGCACTTCGCTTTTCATGCCGTGGTTGTCTCAGTCAACCGACCACGGCTGAAATCTTGGAGCTGATGGTGCAGCAACTTGGGTCAGGGATGCATTAACATGCAGAGTTGAGCTGCCGATATCTTCGAGCCAATGTACTGCGCAGGTGTATCGTCCAATCTCCCAAAGACAATTTACTGCTCCATCTTGGTGACAGAAAGAGTCGTCGATCGAGTCCTGCAAGTGGATAGTGCGGTGACTGAAGGATAGTGATGGCTGCTGTAGTGATCAAGTGTTGGATCCTGTTCAAGTTTCATACCTAACGGCTCATCATGACATTCTTTCCATCGCCGTCGTGCTGACTAGACCGTCCTGTTGTTGAATCATGCGAACCATACTCGCTGAATATGCCACAGTCTCACTACGCCATCCGTCCCATAAGACTCACCCAGTTTTTGTTATCAAAGCTGTGCGTGTAGTTCACCTCCAGTAAAAACAATCCACCGAGGGGGGTGGAGCATCATTGAAGCGTAACCAGTACATGCTATCGATGAGCTACTGCATCGGGGAAATGGACAGGATGATCGCTGGGGCTTTTGCTTTTGCTGCATCGACATTTGAAGTTCAATTGCAGCCATCAGACACGACACTACAGCGTATGATACGTGAAGAGCGAGTTTAGATTCGCGATAGCTTTGAGGTGGCATAACCACCGATGTAGTGTGCAGAAGGAGTGCTAGTGTAGTAGCAAAACCTTGCGAAGACTCGGAGCAAGTTCCCTGATGCTGTACGGGATTAGTATCTGAAATTACATGGCACGTCTAGATTGCTATAGCGCAACTTGGGTGAGGCTATCGGAAAAAAAGACAACTCACTTGGCATGTGGCGGCTTCAGCGCCACTGCGAGGTTGCTTACCATTAGCTCGTAGCGGCATTGTTGTACACATGGTACTAGTCAAGATACTGACCGAGCAGCTCGTTACAGCTTTTGTACTCTGTATATCAGGTGTATACAGTGCGAGTCGTAGTGGGTAAGTAGGCAAGCAGTGTCTGGCTCGGAGACAGCCGTTTTCCATTTCTATATACAGTATAAATAATGGGTGTTGGGATCATTTGATTAATTCGACTTGATGCCCACTTGGTGCCGACCATGAACGTGTATACATCATATCGCTCTGCTGGCCGCAAACCGCTTTTCACATGTATACTTGTCCATGCAAGATGTAAGTGACTGGAAACCAAGTCATGTACTGATCTAGATGTGTGCATGTGACAATAACAAATCACATCCGGATACTTTCCTGGAGTAACAATCCACGGTCTCACTTGCATTGCCCAATCACCCCCACCCCCTCCTCCTTTCACTAGAATACCCTTCATCCGCAATACCATCACGCCGTTATACCAACCAAGAGGTTCTCCCACACCCGCTCCACACGAGTTACCGTTACTTTTGTCCCACGATCACTCTCTCTCTCTCTCTCTCTCTCTGTGTTTGTACCAACCACCGACTCCCGTCCTCACCGCCAAGTCACCAGTAAAACTATTTGACCTCATCTGTCCGTCACCTTTCAAAACTCCCGTCCTTCCAGTCAACCAACCAGTCAACCAACCAGTCAACCAAGTAACTAACCAACCTCCTCCCTTAACCGCCTCAAGTCGATTCCTTTCAAGCCAGAACGACCACCGCATCGCACACAAACACCCGCTTCTGTACACTGCAAATCACGCAAACACATGCACCCATCCCGTGTCAAAAGCGCTTGCTCACCCATACAAACTCCCATACAAAATCGCCAACCTCCCAACCAACCTCTCCCCATCCCTTTCACGCTTTGCGACCTCATGATGGAAAGTATGCGAAATGCCACCGCCCAAAGACCCGCTCGCTCGCAAGAAAGAGCAGATCAGGCTGCCCCCCCCTCTCGTCAAGTCCCTAATATACTCCTCCCTCCCCAGGTCATTTGGACGCCAACCCAAGGCACCTTCAACCTACCAACCTGCCAACCTGTCAACCTGCCAACCTGTCAACCTGCCAACCTGTCAACCTGCCAACCTGGACAATGCCCAATGGTCGACGCTATGCTGGACTTGCACTCGCACTCATCTCCATGCAAGTTCCAAAGCTGGTGGTGACGTCCTCGAACTCCCCGACCTTCACGCTCAGTTTCGCCTCGGAAGCCCTTGCCGGAACCGAGTTGCCTCGGAACGATTCGTCCTTTGCCTTCAATGGCTCGACGTCCGACATTGCGCGCCAGCTCTATCTCCGACATCAAGCAGGGGACCGGATTGCTCAAGTGGTGCCGAATTCCATTCCAGCAGCTGTTACCGCTCGTCTAGTGCCTCTGAACATCGCGTTCAAGCACTTGCCCGGGTTGCTCCAGCGGGCCTTGCTATGGGACTCGGGGTACGTCATTTCTCCAGTGAATGACGCAGTGCAGATCTGGACGTTAGGGGGTCGACCGATGGCTCACTTGGCGGTGTCCGAGGTTGAGTTCCACACGACGGGGTGCACGGCCTTGAACTGTAGCCAACCGGACGGAACAATGTACTACGCCAATGAATTTTGCACAGGAACGCAGATGCTGACAACAGCCAAGTGTTTAATGGATACCTTCGAGTCGGACTCGAGTTCCCATCTCGCTATGTGGTCGGACGGAGGAGATGTTGACATGGTCCCGGAACTTCGAGCGGTTATGCATGGCTGGTTGGATGCGTCCACGAATAGTTCGTACCTCCTGGCTGCAGTGCATACTGCCAGGTTGGAGTCAGAACCAGCCTATGGAGTGTGCAAGAAAGATGGCTATGGATCGCTTGTGGTGCCGTGCTATTCGTTGAAACACGCTGCTGCAGAGATTGTGGCAGTGATGGCAGAACCGGTTGAAACGCCGTGGATTACGACCTGGATCAAGCAGTATCAGGTGACTACTGATACATCGGTAAGCAGCGAAGGCAGCAGCAGCAGCAGCAATCTCGGTGCCTTTCATCCCTGGTTACTCATCCCGATCATTATCGCCGTAATTGTAGCAGCTGGGTTGATCTTCTTTGTCGTGTTGAGGAAGCGACGACAGTTGCGATCCGTGTACTGGCAGCACGACTCGTTTCGAGAAAGTGAAGTCGCGGAACTTGGACGGAAGACGAAACTTACTGTGCCTCTTGCTACGCCGTACCAACACGGGACTGGGCAGCGGCAACGTCGCACCGAGCAACCGGTGGTTAATGAGCAGGTTCCAACGCTTTGCTGCTCACCTGAAGAGAACGATTGTCCGGTTGAAGAAGCTGTGCCTATGGTTGGAGAAGTGGTATCACGTTCACGACGATACACGGCTCCTGCGTCAAGAATCGACTTGGTAGTTAAAGAAGAACTTCCTGCAATCTTAACGGATGTACGATCTACTCGAAGCAGCACCATGTCAACAGCGCAGAGCCCTGTCTCAAGAGCATCCAGTCGAGCTGCAGCTTGTATTGCAACAGCAGAGCGCAGTCACTCAGCTCGTGGAGTTTCACCTCATGCAGCTCGTCAAGCTGAAGCTCGGAGTGGGAACCTGAGATCAGAAGTTCGTTCTACTAGATCCTCGACGTATTGTTATGCACCTACTGGTCGAGAGTATCTCCCGCAGCTTCGTGAGTCGGCGTCGATGCCTCCGATTCGAGAGTCAGTGTCAACTATCCGCGATTCCATTCAAGCTGACCGTGCTCTGATTCCTGCAATGAGGGAGACGTTCTGTCGTTACTCTGCAGCAGACAACGTGCAGTACACGTTGACAACTGATCCCAACCTTATCGGGAAGCGAATTGCATGGGAGCGGATTGAGCTGGATCGCTTACTTTCGAGTGGTGCATTCGGAGAAGTGTGGCTGTGTCGGTATGCAAGCAAGCAAGTGGCTGTCAAGCGGTTGTTGCAGTCGAAAAAGCCCACGTTTCGCGAGACAGAAGCGTTTACAAGCGAGATCCGACTGACTGCTAGCCTCGACCACCCTAACATCGTGCGGTTCATTGGTGTGTGCTGGAGCAGTCTCGAGAGCTTGGCCATGGTGGAAGAGTATCTGTCTCGAGGAGACTTGCAAAACTATTTACAGCGGAATAGCGATCTCATGACTTGGGCATGTGATAAAATTGACATGGCTATTGGGGTAGCAAGAGCGATTGCGTACTTGCACGGCCGCCAAGTCATTCATCGTGATATCAAGGCTCGAAACGTGTTGCTTACGAAGCGACTGCGGCCAAAGCTGATTGACTTTGGGGCGAGTCGGCTCTGGGCTCCCAGCGACATGTCAGCTGGCGTTGGGACACCTTTTTGGACTGCACCAGAGGTGCTCGAGAGCTCCGAGTACACTGAGAAGGCAGATATTTATTCGTTTGGAGTGCTGCTATCGGAGTTGGACACTGGTAAAGCTCCTTACCACAACATGTTGCGGCCGAACGGGGAGAAGGCAAAACCTTTTCTCATTTTGAAGAAGGTCGTCGACGGTTCATTGCGACCGAGTCTCGTGACAGGGTGTCCCCAGCGGATCCGCAAGGCAGCTGAAGCATGTTTCCAACACGATCCAAAGCTAAGACCGTCAGCTGCAGAACTGGTCAAACTCCTGGATGGCTAAGGAGCACAATAACAAATGATGGGACAGCGAAATGACGGGTATAAGTTGGCAGATGGACTTGCTGGAGCAATGGAGATGGAGCTATATAATGTCGCGATGCATTCGAGGCGGTTGGTCTTCCAAGGAACGCTTGGTGTTCGTTTTGAACTTGCTTGCGACCGCCACGTTTACTTTGATGGTTGGGGGGACGTGGTAACTTGTTCGAGACAGGTAAGCTGGACGACGTTTCTCGTCATGTCGATGAAGTGTTGTACAGTAGTTCTAGCATGTTAATGGACAAGTGTCGTGTCGGTGTTACGATGTACCGGACATCTACTAGCTCGTAGGCGAATGGAGTCCTGTCGAAATAATTATTACCCTGCACGACAGACACACAGTGCCGACTGTCCAAAGTTTGGCACATGCTGCCGCTTTTGAGGTCTTCCTTAGGGACATCGTAGCTCTTCATGGTCGAAGCTGATTGCACCCGGACGAAGAAGGACGTGCTGACCAAGATTACAGAAAAAGCTGAACCGGTTGTTCACTCAACCAAGCGACGACGTCATGACACAGTGGTGTCGTAAGTATGCTCGATATGTTGCTCCGGAAGTTCTACTGGACTCCTTGGTGAAGCTGATTCAGCGGCTGCAAATGCACTGACCTCGGCTGCATGGTGACGCTCGCAAATAACTCGTCGATGATGGTTGTCGTGCATGCACGAAAGGATCAGACAAAGCATCTTGGAACTGATCTCGTGAGCGAAGAAACTCCTGTTATCGCCTGCTGCAAATGCCAACCGTCACTTCAGTAACTGTACGGTGGAAAGGCTACTTGCATGTCCGAACAAACCACACGTTGCAGCTGCTGCTGTCAAGAGAAAGTTGTAGTCGGTCGACTTTTGATCGGTTCAACAAATGGCGCTTGTCGATCTCCATTCACAGCGTAAACGTCAATGCTCAAGTAATGAGTCGAGACTTACTTGAGCTGCAACGATAGACTTGCTCGACATTAGTCAACAGGATGATCGTGGTTTCGTCACTGAACATGAACATTATGAGGCTTTCGGCAAAACGAACGGACCATGAGTCGAAAGGATGCTGCCACTTCCTGGAAAACGATGGCGATATCGTTAAATTTAGGGCCAACAATCCAGAATTCCTGTCCCTCGTCGGAACTTGAGACCGAGTACTTTGCAGCAAATGACCACGTTTTTCTCCAGTCACCACTTGGTAAGCTTTTCGTTGCAAAGTTCACGCACTAGAAAGAGTGAAACTGCTGACGCCTTTTCGGAAGGCGTTTCATGACAGGCGATCGACGTGGCGTAACGCCAAAAGTGTTCCTTCCTGAACCGGAAATCGTCGTATCGAATTCAATGAGTTCGTTACCGGAACTGGTCATCCATCCGATATGTCCGTTACTGCTTGTTGTTATCGACGATGAGCTCTTCTTCCAGTTCAAAACATTGCGCACATCGATTTCAGTCTCAGAGATGACAATGCGACGTCGGAATGGCTTTCGTAATCTTCGCTCCACTTCGTCACGTCCACTTTTCGACACGAATTCGTTCGTCTTTGACGGCAGCAATTCCGACATTGCACGTCAACTTTACATCCAGCACGTTGCAGGAAAAGTCGACGATCAAGTCAACCTCGCAGTGATCCCTGCAGTAGTACAGCGCAGACTTGACCCCTATAATATCGTCTTCAGCGACTTGCCTGGACTTGTCCAACGTGCTGTGCTATGGGACTCTGGCTTTGCTGTCTCGCCGTTGAATGAGCCCGTGCAAATCTGGACGTTGCAAAACTTCACCATGGCAGACCTTGCTGTACCGGAAGAGCAAGTGAAAACTGCTGGCTGCACGCTCAAAAAGTGCGAGCAGCCGAACAACGTCACCGGCTATTACACTCAAACTTGCTCCGGTACCCAGATGCTCAGTGCTTCGCGTTGCGTCATTGATACATTCAAAGACGATGGCGCAGTTGGTTTCTTGGGTGCAATGTGGTCAAAAGGTGGTGACCCTGGCATGGCGCCGCTCATCCGTTTGAGGGATCACTCGTGGACCGATCCAATCTCGAACGACTCATTCAGTGTCTACGCAGTTCATACGGTACCCAACGCGTTGGATGCAGTCTGGAACCAGTGCCCTGTACACACCAAGTATGCGTCGCTGACTGTACCTTGTCACAGGCAAGACATGATCACCGATGAAGTGAAGATGGCAATGTCAGTGCCAAGTGGAAGTGACTGGGTCACGACGTGGCTCGAGAACGACTTTGTCGTGCCATCCAGATTCGATACATCAATGGCGGTGGCAATCATCCTGGCTGTCCTAACGATGCTCGTTATACTGGCCTTCGGATGGTACTGTTGTCGTCATCGGTCAAGTCGCTCAGTGAAGACCGCTTCGAGTGCCTATAAACTTGCTGGTGATGCTCCACAGTATTCAGATGCGTGGACATCCAAAACAGGGAACAGGTCGACCGATCGCTCTTTGCGGCTTACCCACCAATCCTCTCTCTTCAGCTCCTCGGGAGACTTCGAGAGTGCAGGCTCGAACAGAACGCTCAAGATACTGCTCGGTAGCAAATGTCTTCAACACAAACGCATTCCGTATGAGAACCTCATGTTGCAGGAACCCATTTCCAAAGGTGCCTCTGGAGAAGTCTGGATCTGTGCTTATCGTGGGAAAACTGTCGCTGTGAAACGGTTGATCCAGGGAAGTCGGAACGCGGAGACTGTACGAACCTTTGCGGAAGAAATCGAGCTGAGTGCTAGCCTTGTCCACCCTAACATTGTCGAGTTCATTGGAGTGGCGTGGAATAGTCTGGACAACTTGGCAATGGTACTTGAATACTTCCCACGAGGTAACTTGCAAAATTACTTGCACAAGAACGCCGACTTGCTGTCCTGGGCGAGAGACAAGATCCAAATGGCCGTCGCAATCGCGCAAGCGTTGCAGTACTTGCATGAACGCTCTCCTGCCATTATCCATCGCGATCTCAAGTGCAACAATATTCTGCTGTCGGACAACCTTCAGCCGAAGTTGATTGACTTTGGCGTGAGCCGCGGACTCGTAGACATTACCATGACAGCAGGTGTTGGCACGCCTTACTGGGCAGCCCCTGAGATCTTGGAAGGCAAGCGGTACACGGAGCAGGCCGATATTTATTCCTTCGGTGTCGTGCTATCGGAGCTTGACACGGGTGAAATTCCGTACCACAATGCTGTGACTGAAAGCGGAGGCCAAGCCACATCGTTCCAGATCCTGCAAGACGTTATGGCTGGTTCATTACGACCCAGTTTTTCACGGGACTGCCCTCCACGCATTCGACGAGTTGGCTTGGCGTGTTTGTCTCTCAACCCTTCGGATCGACCAACTACAAACCAGCTGATCCAGGGGCTTGAAGGTAATACTGTCGAACTAGAGCTTTCTCCTTCAGTGAACGTTAGCACGCTCGCAATTTAATGGCAAAACGCTTGAAGTCACACACCTTTGATTTTTCTTCAGCTCTTGATGTCTCACGTGGCGATTCAGTGATCCAGTGCTGCAGGCGAAGCATTGTAAAGCTACGCAGCATGAATCCCATTGACATCAGCGTGCATCATGGATACTAGACAGCTCAGGATATCTTGATCAACAAGCGAGTGATGTTGTAGCTGGACACCAGCAGCATACTTGACCATCCCTTGCAATCCGAAGTCAGCCAAACGCATTGCATAAAAGCTCACCTAAAACTAAACATCATTACTTGCTGAAGACGGTCACCGGCCTAGTGAATCTCCTCAACATACATTACCAGGCATGGAAGCTCTTGATAGGTGTCCGAGTACGAAAAGCTTCAAAATACCTGCCAAACAACACATACCCGCTATTGCTGTCCAACACAATCGATACTTGCAGCCGATTTACCGGATCCTCAAGTCGCACGATACCATGTTGTCGCAAATGCTCAAGCTGAACCTGGTTCACTCGTCGCGAGTGAGCTGAGTAGCCATGGTGTCAGCAAAGACTGGCAATCTCCAGTGAGTTCGGACGATAGCATTGACACCGAGAAATCAGGTGCAAGACTTTGTCGGTCGGCGTTCGGCTGACAGAAAGCTGGGTTGACGAGTTTCTCCATATGACAACTGGTAAGAGGAACATGCAGCGCGAAAGCCGTCGACGTTTCGTAGCAGGCGTGCTGGGACCATCTTCTCGGGGGATTGGCCTTTGAATGGGTTCAGCTTGTGGAGCCTGGGGTCCATCAAAGTCAGCCAAGCATATCAGCAGGTGGAAAGACTTGAGCGTAGCAGATACGAGCACGACGACAACTTGCACGACGCAGCAGGCAATTCTCGCTAGCAAGATGGCATGCAGGGAGAATGAAATACACACAGACACACGAGGTAATAAACGAGTGGTAAAAGGCTCCACGGCCATTCATCTATCCGTCGTCGTACAGCTCCCAGATACGTACTACCTGCAACAGAACGATCGCGCTTCTAGTCAAACTCGTCGTCATCAAACTCATCGTCGTCAAATACAACTCCATCGTCGTCGTCGTCATCATCATCATCTCCACCAACTTCGTCGTCGCTATCGTCATCCTCGTCGTCTTCCTCCCAGTACTACACACACCCCGTCAGCAACAACAAAACACACCGCATCAGTCCAACACACGTTCCAACAGCAAAAAGCAGCACCAGGTCACCAACTCACTCCATCTGCTCTCAAAGCATCGTTCACATACTCCATAAACTTGCCTAGTCTCTCGACATTCGCGGCCGTATACTGCTCTTGCGACAGATCCACCAACACATCGTACGTCTACAGTGTCCACCCCCCCACAAACAAAAAAACAAAAACAACAACAACAACATGTTAAACCACACACAACACCATCATCACCCTCTCTCTCCCTCTCTCTCCCCTCTCTCTCTCTCTCTCTCTTACCTCTGGTGAAAACGCCACGGCATGAGCTCGTCCATGCTCAATCACGTCCACGACCTCCTCGTACCTCTTCTGCTGCATCATCGCCACCAAAACAGCTTCGCACGTGCGTTCGGTCGGCCGCACACTGTCGTGCTGGGCCACGACGTTGTGCAACAGCACGACCGCTTCGTCCACTCGACGGGCGTCCACGAGCGCCTGAAGGAGCGCCTCAAGAGCCGGCAAGTCCAGCAGCACCTGCTGCTCCGTAGCGGCTGCGTACAGCACGAGGGCTTCGTCCAGTCCCCGTCTCGTCTGCCGCTGCTGCTCGAGACAGGCGTCCAGGGTATAAAGCACCGCCACTTGCAAGCGATCGTCAGCCTGGCCGCGAGGCGGCGCCTGGCGCAGGATGGACGACAGGATCGGAGCTGCTCGGAGCGCTTCGTGTGGCCGGCCGTGCTTGGAGAGGAGCAGCGCGAGGCGCTGAAGTAACGGTACGCGCCCCGCAAGACTGTAGCCATGTGCGTGGTCCGTTGTTTGGAGCTTGTCGAACGTCGCGAGCGCGCGCGACGCGTCGCAGCGCACGATGCTCTGCTCGAGGAGCAGCTCGAGATGGTGCTGTTGCTGCTGCTGCTTCGCTGCTGCTGCTACTTTTGGGGCGGGAGCGGCACGGACGGCAGCGGTAGCGAAGCGGCGCACTGCTTTGCTTGCCATGCGGGGCGGAGATGGGGGCGAGGTGCAAGTGGAGGGAAGGTGGGCGAAGTAACGTTTGGTGAAGTAGAGTTACCTTGGTGCAACAAGGACTGGGAAACACATGGCCGTTGCGGATGGACATAGCGGGGAGACTGTGCTAGAGCATATGGAAGGTTTTGGTTATGTTTGTGACGAGAGACAGGCGGGGGGGGGAGACAAACTGGACTATATTTATGTGTGTGTGATATTTGGTGCGCCTTGTGTTTGTGATTTACGAGCGATGTGGGAGGGTCTTGTGACACATTTTGCAGGGAGGAGGGACCCGACTGCACAAGGCGTAGGAAAGAGAGCAGAAGTTATGGCACAAGTCGTGTCTGGAATGAGCGAACACGCACGTATGTGTGCAATTGATGGACATTGCGACAAGTGGACACTGATCCAAGTTGGTGTAAACGTGCATAGGAACACGTGCGAACGTCTCGCTCTGACAAGCTAGTAGCAAGATCGCCGTCTCTCGTATCGACGACGTCTTGGACTAACACATGGCAGAGGTCCGGGCATGTCCAATAGAATCGCTCGATGAGTTGCACAAGCAGCAAGCTCAGCTGTGATCGCTATCGGCGCTATTGATCTCACTGTCCTCTGTCTCACTGCAGTGACCACGACGTGCGAGGCGCTTCTCCCATTTGCACGGTCAAAGATCGTTTTGCTGACCACATTTGACGACCACTCGACGCTGTACTGTATAAATGTATGCATGGGCGAAGTCTCACCAGCGGCCTCTTCGATGACACGCATGACGTCATCGCTCCACCCAATCCCATTTTAGCCACTAAGATCGCACCGTGGATGTAACGGCCGTCCATAAACAGGCGCGTGATCCACTTGTGACGTGTCATTTTGCATTATCCAACCCAGCCGTCAGTGCTCATGGCTACATCTTCTGTAGCCGGGGCTCCTTGTCGCAACGTGACGCTACGTCATGTGCTGCTCTTCCACCGCCATGGCGACCGGACGCCCGTGCTCACCTCATTTGGCACGACGGCCCCGCCACAGGAAGATGAGACGGCGTTCTGGGCATCGAAAGTGGCTACACCCGAACAGCTCAAGCTGTTACTCGAGACTGCCAAGCCCGTAGGTGCCACTGCATTAAAGGCGCCAGTTTTCACTCCATCCAAAGACTCACAGCATCCGTACGGTCTCTTGACCTGCAAAGGCGTCCAGGATATGACGCAGAAAGGACGTGCACTGCGAGAGCGCTACGGTGCGTTCATCGACAGCAAAACTGTCCAGCGCGAGGACGTCTACGTGCTTTCGAGCAGCGTTCCCCGTACGGTCGAGTCTGTGCAGAGTCTACTGCGTGGCTTCTTCCACGATGAAGACGTCCAGGTGCCGCAGTTTCACGTGCACACATATGAGCACAATGTGCTGGCGCCAAGACATCCGCGACAAGTGTTCAACGAGATTGAGCTCCTGGTGTATGACGAAGTGCTCAAGCTTCGAAGCGAGAGCGAGCGGGAGATCACGAAGCAATTGGCGTCGCATCTACGAAAGTGTCTGGCAATCCCTAGTGACCAGCCCCTGTCCTGGACGGCCATTCGGGATACACTGATGTGTCGAGCAGCCCATGGCTGGCCATACCCGGACGGTATTGACCACACGATCTTCCAGCAGGTCGAGGCGTATGACACGTGGCTCTGGCAGCGACTTTATCGCGGCAAAGACTTTTGCTACCGAGCGTTTAAAGAGGGTGTTCAAGAAGTGTACAGCTTTGTCAAGACTGTGGTCGAGAACAAGCAGTTGGCCAAGTTATCCTTCTTCTCGGCACATGACAACTCAATTGTGGCATTGCTGGGCGCATTGCAGCTTGAGGTGGGACCGCATCTGCCGGAATATGGCTCCATGTTGGCCTTGGAGATATACGAAGACGAAGCCACGCACGAGTTCTTCGTCTTGCCACGTTACGACAACAAGGAGGTGACGTTTGCAGGTCACGAACATGACGCGCTATGTCCCTTCGCACACTTTGAATCGCTCGTCCTTGACTTTTTGTCGTACAGGCCAAGTGAACAAGCTCGAGCGAAACATTGACCAATTCGACTCGATACTGCAATCTCCTCAACAGCCAGCAACAGCACGTGTGAGTTTGTAAGTAGCCTGGGGATGGGTTTTGCGACTAAGGGATCGACAACGAGTAGTGTGTTTAACCCGCTGCACAAACTGAGGCCAGGCGACAGCAATGACGACGATAGACGACTCTTTGGTTCCGGTGGTTATCGATGCAGGCTGCTCCGATAGCTCCATAAGATTAAATGCCACGCATATCGTTCACTGGTGCTTCAAAGACACACACGACTGTCGCGTTCTTAGCGAGAAAGTAGCATTGACCTTGTTGACCTGCCGCATGCGCTGATCATGACGATGGTGTAACCTTGCAATGGTCGAACGAAAGTCATTGACAGCAGCGTATCTTCCACTCTCAGATCAGTTCACAGCCTCCATGTCATGCACGAACGAACCAATTGCCAATGGGTTTCTCTATTCACACTCTCTAGTACATCTCCGCCATGATGTTGACCACAAGTGCTGTCCAGCCTGAAAACGGATGACAACGTTGCCCTCGACCGTACTGCTGTCCGCCATGAATATCACCACTGTACTGTTCCCATAGATACCCAGTACGCTCGTACTCCCGATATACATTGGCAATCACGTTCACCCGTAGTGCAGTGTATGCTTTCCGAAACTCCAGGTGATACGGACTTCCCGTGATCGGCTGCGCATAGTGATGCAGTGCATCTAGTGCCAGATAGTTGACGTTCATCCAGATAGCTCCACGCCAGTAGGGATTGTCTCCAGGCGCGTTTTCTTGCTCGAAAAACTGGTCCTGTGTCGACAACGAACGAAGCCCGAAAGGAGACCATAGCTGTGCGGGGTCGATGATCTGCTGGAGCAGCGCAAGCAGCTTCGGCGAGTCCGGTGGCAGCAACTTCAGGAGAAGTGGGAACACGCTGACGTACCCAACGTGCTTTACATGCTGCAGCTTTGTCGTGCGAGGAATGAAGACAGGCAACAGTTGTAGCCCGCCACGACCGTCGCCCAGTGGAAACATGAAGCGGGGGTGACTCGCTGGACATTTCACTTTCTTTGCTTCCACCAGCGCCTTGGAAGCAGTCGCATCAGCCACCTTGCCCTGATCATTGCGGCACCGAACAGCGACTTGATACTCAATACTACCGTCTTCACTGTGCTCCCCTACATCGAAATACGACTGAGCCTCTTCGTTCCAGTGGTGCTTGTCCAATCCAGCAAAAAAGTGTGCACGGTTGGCTTCAAAGTAATGGATGTCGCTATCCTGGCCGAGGAAGTCTGCAAGATGCGCCATAATATCGCTTGCTCGGATCATCCACGAAAGTAGATCCACATGCATTTCGTTTTCACTGGGAAGTGACGCACGCGGATAGTCGTCCAGACCAGAAGACAGCGTGTTTGCAATCAGCTTGCCATCATTCAATCGACGACCGCGCCAGCGAAAGCTATCGCTGTGTGGTCCGTACTGCGTCGCCAAGAACCAGTTATACCAGCGCTTGAGAAACGGGAACATCGTACGCACAAACTCTTGCAGTTCGTTATCCAAGGTGGCGTTCGAGCGCCGCTGCACCATTTTTTCCACAGCCAGAAGAAGTGTAGGAGGGTTTGCATGTTCCGCATGTTGAATCAGAAACTCAGCCGGGACGCGTTGACGAGCATCTTGGCCAAGGATCTGTTCACGAGCGATGTAACCGTCCTTTTCCATGAGATTAAGCCAGTGTGCGGTCACGTCCCGCGTTACACGGTCGTCAAATACCGACACTCCAAGTTGGTGAAAGCCTTCGTCCCATATGAAACCTCGAGGGAAAAACGACCGCGATGGAACTGCTGTGAGCAGCGGCTCCATGGATGACTCGACAACGTCGGGCTTTTCTGAGTCATGCTGCACCAACGAACTTCCATAAAAGTAGCCCGTGCCACCAATCAAGTTACTGAAGGCTGCCTTTGCAAACGTCGTGAGGCTTTCGTTGAACGCAGACTCATCGTCGCTGATGTCGTCGTCTTCATCGTGTATCGGCCACGTTTTAGTCGACAAACGAAAGCTTTCCTCAAATTTATCCGTAAAGCGCTGCGAGGACTCAGCTAGCTTTTCAGTGACCACATGATCAATGGCAGTTTTCGCCACGTCAGCCCCAGTCAAAGACGCATCAGCCTCATTGAACAGTACATCCAGCGTGATATCTCCCGCTTTGAACGTGGCAACGTCCACGTCAACAATCGCTTGTACAATCACCAGCGTGCTGCCTTCTTCAATATGATCATCGAGCGAAATCTCCTTGTCCACTTGCCAGTTCTCGACCGCCTCTTCCTCACCATCTGGACGACGTGCGAGTGACACAAGTCTCTCCTTCACATTGATCACATTCGTGTCTTTTAGTCCAGCATAGTGCAGCTGCACGCCACGCACAGCCTGTCGAGTCTTGAGCTGCATACGCATCTGGAAGGCCAAACCAGGCGCAACGTCAGCTGTCATCGCCTCGTCCGTCTCCAGTCCGTCACTTGCCACCACCATCTGCACACACTCCGCGTCTTGCTCTTCTTGTCCACACGGCACCAGCATTGGCTCAGCCGTCACTTGCACGAGGTTCTGCAGCTTGTAACGGCAGCTCGCGTCCAAACTCTCGTCTTCACAGCCTAAATCCACGTAGAAAAAGAGCGAAACTTTGTTTTGACTCGGGACTTGTCGACGACGGAGCTTCTCGTCCCGCGGCATCAAAGGTGCGGCATCCACTCGAACGCCCCATCCCTGCACGGTCTCTGTCTGCAACCGGACGTAGCTCGTCGTAAGATCAAGTCGATTGAATTGGTCCTCGATGCGCTGGCGTCCGTAACTGGTCCCGTCGTGCTCGAGCCACCCATAACGTTGAAGTTGGTCCTCTTGGCGACATTCGTGTCGGAGTTGGGACACGTCGTCCAGTTGTGACGTCCATAAGAGTCCTGCAGACACAAAATTAGGCACCGCACGGGATCGAAGACCAAAATAGAGTCCTGGACGATATGTGCCCCACACCAAAGAGCGTGAAGTAGCTCGAGTCCATGCACGCAGCGACTCTGTATCAAGTGGCGCACTTGTTGATGACAACGTCGACGTGGAGGAGTCAATGTACAATCCATACAGCGCGGTGTACACAGCGACAAGCACCGCAGCGAGCGCCATCATTGCGTAGACATGATCGCCACGCATCGCGTCAGCTGTCATGACGCTACGTATGCCGCGATCTGAATGAGCCAACGAACCCCGCCCGAACGTTACTTCACAGTCGTAATCCACAGTGATTGGTCAAAAAGCCGTCACCGCGAAACAACTACGTGGCCGACGTCACGTGTCAACCGACCAAAACCCCTCGCATAAACCAAAACCCCTCCAAAACAAATACAACCCCGCCTCGTCCAAACAACCCACACACCAATCGAAACAACCCACACACTTTCCACCCACCCACCCACGAAAAAGCTCCAATCACAAGTCTCCCTCTTCCTCTCTCTCTCTCTTGTGATTCGTCAGTTTTCGATCCGCGTCCACGTGGCCAAGCGACCCAAGCCGATCGAGACGATGACGCCGACTCTGACGCTCCTGGCGACGCTCCTGGCCGTCACGAGCTGGCAACGCCTCACTACAGACGCCGTCACAAGTGGCTCCAGTACTGTGACTGTACTCAAGGGCAGCGAGAAGCTGGCGAAGCTGCAGCAGCGCGCGCGGAATGGCGTCGTGCCCTTCACGAGCGATTTGTTCATGCGCTTTGCCGTGCGCCCCGAGCGTCCGTACCATCTGGTGCTGCTCCTGACCGCCACGTCTGCCAAGCACAAGTGTGACGCGTGTCTGCAGCTCGCGCCCGAGTTTGAGCTCCTGGGCCAGAGCTACCAAGCTGCTGCTCAAGTGAAAGTGGATACACGCGACGGCTTGGACGTGGTCTTTGGTGTCGCGGACTATGAGGCGAACCAGGGGGTCTTTCGTCACTACGAGCTCACGTCTGCTCCTTTCGTGGTCTACGTGGCTCCCGATACCAGTGTCGACGTCGGGGCGGCGTTACCGACGAAGGAACGGATCGATCCCCAGCGTCTGTATAATGTATACACACAAGGCCTTCAAGCGGAAGGGATGGCGACATTTGTCCACCAACGCACGGGCTTTGAGGTGACGGTGTTGCGGTCCAAGACGTACTTGTACGTGCTCGTGGCGGCGGCGAGTGTCGGTGTTGCAATCGCGGCGAAGCTCGCGCTGGATCACTTGGACTTTTTGCTCATGAAATTGCGGCGCAAACAGCTCTGGATGACCGTGTCGCTGCTGTTCTACGGCCTCTCGGTCTCGGGCATGGTCTACTGTATCATTCGTAACCCGCCGCCGTACGCGGCTGACCGACAGGGTAACGTCCAGTACTTCCATCCGCAAGGGAGACAGCAGTTTGTGTACGAAGGACTCATTGTAGGCAGCTACGACGTCGCTGCTGCTATGTGTGTCATTCTGCTCTCGCAGTGGGCGCTCTACGTCCGCAATCCAGTCGTGCGCTATCTCGCCATTGTTGGCTGTTCGCTGGGCTTTGTCTTCCTGTACCGCCAGATGACGGACGCATACAAGATGAAGAACCATTGGTACACTGGCTGGATGGGCTTTTAGATGTCGACGTTGGTGTCAGCGCTGCTGCTGTTGCTACTGCTGTGGTCAGCAAGGACAAAGCGTCAGCACTTGTAAGTAACCTCATCTTCGAGACACTTTTAGTGCCGATTGAAGCACACTAAAGCACAAAAGACGATACTGACGAAGACGACGACGTTAGTGTTGTCACATTGCAATGATGCGCATACGTACGTGCTTTACTAAACCGCTGCGGCTCTTTGGTCCAAGACAAGAATCCATTCGCATAAACTGTTCCTGCAAGAAAATCCACAAACCTTCACAAATCGTCTAAATTTATCGCACATCGTCACAAACCGTCGCAAATCATCGCAATCCGTCACAAACCATCACAAATCGTCGCAATCCGTCCCAAATCATCGCAAATCGTCAGGAATCCCTGACCAAAAGTGCATCGGCCAGCCTTCCGTCCGCCACTTGGCCTCCTCTCTCGCTCGCTCTCCCTCTCTGCTCGTAGCCATGGAGGGCTGGCTCACCAAGCGCCGCGACCACATGAACCTCATATGGCGTACGCACCTCCTCCCGTTCCTCCTCCTCTCTCGCTCTCTCTCCTTTGTTCACTCTCTCACTCTGTCTTTGTATGGACTTTTGACTGTAGGGGACCGGTACTTCCTCTTGGACGGCAATCAGCTGCGCTACTTCCGTAAACGGGGCGACTTGGCTCCTCGCGGGACGTACATTCTGACGGACAATTGTGTCGTGAGTCCCGTGTTTAACTCGGAGGAGAAGCACAAGCACCACGGACCTGTCTGGATGTTCCGCATCACGTTCTGTGCGGTCGGAGACGCTACTCCCAGCGGCAGTAGCGGCATGGAAAGGTCGTACAAGAAGGACCGGTTCTTGGACCTTGGTGCCAAGAGTGAAGAGCACGCGAGGGAGTGGAAACGCGCTCTTGAGAACGCCGTGCGCTCGCTCCAGGAGCTCGTGGCGCATCAGCGCAAACTCAAGACGGACGCCGAGATCTTTCCAACGCCCACGCACGTCCCGAGGATGCTCAAAACGGACGAAGATACCGTGTCGCTGTTTAACTTGGACGCGGATAATGTCAAGGCCGAGCAGGCGTGGTGGCTCGCACGGGTGGAAGGGGGACTGCGGATCATGCAGGAGTGTCCGTTAGGGCCAAACGTGGCGGCGAATTTGTACGCGCAGCACGCAGCAACGACGAACGGACTGATCCTGAGCGCTCTGCTCGGTGCTGCACTGAGCTTCAGCAGCATGTACTCGTTCGCGAACAACATGCTGCTGAGTTTCCTGACTGCTCTTGGAGCGATTGTCGTGTGCTGTGTCGCCGTGACGCCAACACAAGCGCCTGAGATCCCGAGCTTCCGTGTCTCTCAAGTAGTGCACGGATCGCCGACTGAAGTCTTTCGACTTATTATGAACTCGAAGCGATTCCAGCGATGGGATGCAGCAACTGCGACGTTGCGTGTGGTACAGCAGCTGGATAACAATGCGGACATTGTCTACGTGACACAACGTCCGACACGCTTGTGGCCGCTGTGGCAGAAAGCTCGTGATCTTGTGTTCATGCGCTACTGGCGACGCGAAGAAGATGGATCGTACTTTGTCATGTATCAGAGCATTGACCACCCTGAATGCCGCGTGCGTCACAACTACGTGCGAGCAGATATACTGGGTGGCGGTTTTGTGATTGCGCCGCAACGCGTTCCCAGTGGATCCATTCGCACGCTCGTAACCTACGTGCTCCGGTACGACCCTGGCGGCTGGTCACGCATTTACCATCAACTCGGCATGGATGTGGACTTGGTCATGCCCATGTTGCGCAGCGTGATTGGCATTCGTGACGAAATGAGCGCCACGGACTTTATCACTCCTAACGTCTCAATGGCGCCCGATGGTGAGGACGAGGAAGCAGGTGCGGACCGGGACTCGGCTGTCACGCAGCGGACAAGCGTGGACTCGATGGGTGTTGTCATGGGTGTGCAGAAGCTGCCGACCACTAGTCTACCGGAGTCAATGTGGGCCGAGCCCGACGCGTCGCTATTCAGTGTGCGTGGACACAACTACTTGAATGACAAGAAGAAGATCCCATCAGCGCCAGCGATGTTCCACGTCGTGGGTGTGGACTTGCTGTCGTTCGAGAGCGCAGCTGAGCGATACGATATTTCGTCTCGTGTCGACAGCATTGGCCGCACCAGCCCCAAGTTTACGTTTGTCGTGAACATGATCATCCCGGGTCCAGAAAACACGTGCATGGTGTTCTACTTCCACCCTGCACGTGACAATGTGTTCGAAGACGGCTCGCCATTTTCCGAGCTACTGAACGACTTCTTCGATGGCGACGACCAGTTTCGGAACTCGCGCTTCAAGCTCATTCCTACTGTCGCAGAGGGCAGCTTTATCATCAAGCAGTCTGTTGGATCCAAGCCGACACTGCTGGGCAATAAGCTGAAGTGCCTGTATTACCGTGGCGGGAACTACTTCGAGGTGGACATCGACATCTCGTCCAACTCGGTTGCCAATACTGTCGTGGGAATGGTACAAGGTGTAACCAAGTCGTTGGTGGTGGACATGGCGTTCCTGCTCGAGGCTCAGTCCGATGAAGAGCTGCCTGAAATTATCCTTGGTGCAGTTCGCTTGCAGCATGTTTCTCTAGACAATGCCCGTCGCGCGCCAAAGCTTTCGTCATCGAACATTGAGTCGTAACACAAGTGAGGTATGGTTGGACTTGTTGTGGATTACTTGCACGGTCCCAGTAGTTTCCCGAACAAAAGGAGGCGCAGTGGAGTTCTGCGCTACAAACCTGCGCATTCATCGTTGGTGTGCATAATACGTTTCTTCGGCTCGCAGCTGATACAATTCCTTCCAGTCTTGTACTTCTGTCTGCTACGAGCTAATAATAATGTCTAGTTAGTAGTACACACAGCTTACCTAGAGCACGACAAGGTTCGGCTCGCACTCAATTCCCGTCATTGATCCGTCCGACATTCTCTTGTCAGAAATGCCAACACACGGTTCGTGCCTCACCGGAATCTCTTGCTGTTTCTTCTTTCGCGAGAGTTGAGCACCTGTAACGTTTTGCTCCGCTGGAAAGAAGTTGGCGTGGTCCCAGACAGTGTCGCCCAGTGCAACCTGATTCCAGAGATGGCTTACCAAGCTGGCACTGTACAGGTCGGCATTCGTGAGGAAGCAAAAGATCTTCGCACTGACGCTGCTCTCTAATGGGGGAAGAGCTGCTCCGAATAACGGCAACACGAAGACCCATTCACTTCCAGCTGACGATCGAACCACCGCTGATAACGCAGCTATTCCGACAGTACGAAGGCTGTCAGCAACATCGGAAAGCTGTAACTTGCGCTCTTTTGAGGGCAACGGAGTATTGTTGGCTTCGCTGTTACCGCATCGCTCTCGTTCATCTTCCTCTCGGACCGGTGACATGCCACACTTCGCATCAGTGTGGTATTTGACTAGAGGCGTGGACGGCAACTTCAACAGTGCCGTCTTCATCCGAGTGCCAGTCTCACCCGCACTCCTCAGTCTTGTCTGCAGCCGCTGAACGACCGGTGAGACAAAGGTCTCGTCGGATTCGTTTGTAATGCGCGACGGAGTATCGGTCATTGTTAATCCATCTATTGCAACAGCACTGCCATGTGACACGCATGGTGCATGGTTCTGGCAATCCTGCAGACATTAGAGGCAACAGAAGGGGTTAATAAAGCAGCAGAATCGGGACCAGCACCATCGATTACGTACGATGCACCGGCAGTTTTCGCCGCATAGTACCCCAGCCTGATAACATTCACAGTACTTCTTCTGACACGCTGATTTTTTGCAGTGACAGCCGTGCTTGTGCATTTTAGTAGTTGTCATGCTTGCACTTGGGGTCTGCTGCCGTTGCTGGTAGCTGGTTTGATCCTGTGGCGACAACATCGATCCCGTGGAGACATGGCTACCGCAAGATACGCGGTGAGCATTTCTCGGTGTCAATGTTACTGCGGCAGGTGTGGCACCGATCTTTGGTTTGAACGCATTCGGATTCTTCGCCAGACGCGAGGCGATGGCTTGCTGTCGCACCTCTTCCATATCCGTACTATTGGCACAATTGTTGCAATTACAGCGCTCATCGCAGTAACCACCACGGCGAAAACACTCACAGTACAGCTTCAGACACTTGGACTTTTTGCAGTTGCAAGGAGCCTTTGTGGATACTTGTGCTGATGTCACCGTGACTGCAACATCAGATGAGACTTTGGATGCTGATTGTGATGGCAGCGTCATCGAAGTGGACAGTCTCACGTGCGTCGGCGTTTTGTACGAGCTGTCGGACGCAGTCACACTACGCGCATCGTCAGTCGCCATGATGTGTGACGTGAACATGCGGTACGTGATGCTCTTGCCCGAAGTTGCTACTGCCTCCCGTTTCATTTGCTTTGCAGGTGTAATCGCTGGAGCTACCACGTGGCGGGTTTCCGGCACAAAATCGCACACCTCATGTCCTGAGATGCCGGTCATTGACGAAGGCATCGGAATACGCTGCGACACTTTCTGCTTCGTCTTGTTACCGCTAGGTGTAGAGAGTGCTGGTTTCGTGTCTGTTGCTTGAATCGGTCGACGTGCTACTGGAGAAGAAGACGGTGTTTCTCCGGCAGCGAGCTTCGTACTGTGATGGCCTGGTGATAGCTTTTGAGATGTGCAAGTCTTGGAGATACTAGCTTTTTCCGGTGTTTGCCCGTTCCAAGGGTACAGCGGCGATCGAGTGCCTCTGTGTGGCGATGAAGATGACTTCACCGGAGTATGCAACAATCTACGGTGGACGTTGCTCGCAGATAACGTCTGTTCACACTTTTCTTCAGCTTCGCGTCGGATAATATGCGTTTTTCGTTTCCTGCACAGATCCAAGTTTTACAAGCACACCAATGAGTCCACCACCTGACCACAGCATACACGTCTGACCGCGGGCACGATTTGCTGCAATACACGTACAAGCTGTTGTTAATGGCTCGAATTTCGCGGGCAGGATGCAAATCTAGCAATGACGGAGATACTCCAAACAGTGTGTGGAGCTTCATCTTCATGACACTGTGATCCCCGAGCTTTATACGCTCGTCTTTTCCTGGTGTAGCCCTTGTAGAGGCTTGGATGTTGGGGAACGATTCAACAAAAGTGGTCGAAGGCACCAATCCAAATGCGGATCCTGGAGCTGAGGTTCTGCCTTCACCCGAAAATCCAGTCGACGCACCTCGATCGGGTTTACTCTCAGGTATCCTAACAAAAGGATGAACGCGACCCCTCAAAATCGGGTCTTCGTCATCATTTAACTTCTGCTCAGGAAATGGTGGAAGTCTGTACAACGCATGAGCAATGCACAGTTAGAAGTCCAGTCGAGAAGGCGCCAGCGAAATTCTACGTACAATCTCGGAAGTTCGTACGAGACAGCCGACACGAGCGGTGAAAGCTTCACCGACGTGAAGCTACTTTCGAATTCTTCAGCAGCCATTAGCGGTGAGAGAGAATTCACGAACGAAAAGAACGAATCGTGCTCGCTCGGACTAGTCAGCTCTCCGCTGGGAACATACTCGACATCGTCCGTGCAAAGACTCGATACAGAGGCATCAACTAGGAATGCGCTTGCAGCACTCGATATTTTCCCTGCTTCCTCAACTACGTCATACTCATCACCATCTTCATTACAGCCGTCGATATCCACAAGCCGATGAGCAAGCAGCTGCTTCCGTCGAGACGGCGACGGAGTGCGTGGAGACGTGCATCCAAGTCGTCGCTTTTTCCCACTAGTTGACCTAAACTCTTCACGGTAACTCGACAGCTTCACTCCAGCACCGCTGCACTTTCCACCAGCCGTAGCCGCAGCACAAGGTCCCGACCGCTCGTTCGTCGTTAGCACCATATCCACGTTCTTTTCCTGCTGGCACAGCGGATCAATCGCTCCCAACGCATTTTTCTTCGGTGTCACAAGCTCCACAGATCCACCAACTTGCTGCAACAGCGTCTCCACTGTCCGGACACTCGTGTCGACAGGAGACCGAAAGAAGCGAGATGGAGAGCACGCCGTACTTTTTGATGCAGAGGGAGATTGCAGCGGTCTATCCACAAGCTCTCTCGCCGGTTGTTGCTCCTTTTCCATCTCCATCGTCTCTTCCTGATCAGGATCGGCTGCGTCTATCAGTATTAGCGCGTTGCACGCTTCTGTCTCCGGCCTTGGCTTCTCGTTCGTCAACGTGCCGTTTGTCGTCCATTTTTGGTCCTTTTGCTGCGCTTTGGCTTGTCCAATAGCGTCTGCAATGGTCTCGAATACGTCCGGCACTTGTAACGCCACAGCTTGCGGTCCGTTCAGGCTATACACGCTCATGAACCCGCTGGGTCCCGCGCCGACTTTGAGTTATGGCGCGGACGAGTGGAAAAAGACGCGGGAAAGGTCGGGACAGAGTTGTGACCAATCAGCGATGGACAATTTGTGTTGTGTGTTATCTTTTGCTGAGTTGTGACCAATCAGCGCTACGTATCACCGATTACAAAGAAAACCCGTCTTTTAGCGGCGACTTGTGCGGTGTGTCCAGCGGTCGATTAGCCAATGCAAAAGGTCCATAAATTAATGCGTGGACTATTTTTCGGTCACAAAAAACGGGATCAACTTGAAGCCTGAGCCTCCAGCGCTTGCGATCCCACTGTTAAGTGAGCGTCATCACTGTCACTGTAACGGGGTGAATCGTTACATAACAATTTATAAGAAATTGTTAATAGAATATAACTATAAGAGTTATATTCTCAGAATATTGTCATAAGGACAATATTCTGTAGCACTTCCAAGTAGTTCCTAATTGGTTGATATAGGCCATTATATCAACCAACGAAGACGCGCCACGACAGACGCACGCAATGAGTGGTGAGCAGATAACTGATTTACACATTTGTATTTAGACATAGTTAGATGAAGATAAATAGTGATTTATTGCAGACATTAACTATTATAAATACAGTTCTACTTTTTTACTCTAACCGAGTACTCGCTTCTTCTTACCGTCTTCCTCTGCACGTACGAGTGTACGTGAAGTTACGAGGCACCGCCTTATTCTGTTATCAGAATAAGTAGCTTGTACTGTCACCAGTACAAGCTTCAGGGTGCCCCGTTACACCTGGTAGCACTTCGTAGTCCGTCCAAGGACCGCGTTCACATCCAACATGAATATGTTGGATGATGAAGATGACCAAAGCTTTCACGCTACGCGTGACGGCTACTCCCATTTGAGCGATGTCGAATGGGATGCGGTTGAACGAATGGGTTCGACCATGGGCATCCATGCTGTTAGCGTCATGCTAGAGGCTCTCAATAGAGATGCCCAACATGCTACTATCGCCAAGTTCATTCAAAATGAACTTGACGCAGAACGCGAGAAAGTAGCCTTGCTTCACCAACAAGGTTCTCAACAAGCAGAGTTGTTGAGAGAACAAGGTGCTCAACAGTTTGAACTGTTGAGACAGCAGCAGGCTGCTGCTGGCGGGTCGATGCACTCGCGTCGGCCCGAGACTTTGAAGATTGACATCTCAAAGTATAGGGGGTCGAAGAAGACTCCCTCTTGAGATGGTTCGTCGAATTGGATGACGCCATAAGGGCGCGTCGCATCGACGACGGGGATATGCAAGTTGCATTTGCCCAGTCAAATCTGGCAGGACGTGCCAAGACTTGGGCACTGGGGCTCAAGCTGCACGACCCATACGCGTTTGGGTCGTTGGAAGTCTTCAAGTCGCGGCTCAGACAAACGTTTGAACCGCCTAGAGCTGAGTTCAGAGCTCGAACCGAACTCTTGAAGCTCAAGCAGGGTAAGCGTGATGTGCACGCTTACGCTCAACATATACGACATCTCACGAGTTGTATAAGTTCCAATCCGGTGGATGAACACACGTTGGTTTCGGTGTTCATGCAGGGTCTTGCGGATGGTCCCGTCAAGACTCACCTGTTCCGGCTTGAACTAGATTCACTAGAACAAGCCATTTCCATTGCGGAGCAGGAAGACTTCAGTCTGAGACAGGCTCGCGCCAGCTCGACATCATATCGTCAACCGAGACGATATGACAACGGAGGTCCAGAGCCGATGGAACTCTGTTATGTAGAGAGCGAGAAGGCTCGCTCTACAGGCTACAAGAAGTTGCAGAGATGCAACAGATGTCAAAAGACAGGACACTACGCTTACGAGTGTAGTGCCCCTCGTCCAGTGTCTCGCGACACTGGGCGTAGTGACCGTCCACCCATGAGAAAGGGGCAGGGACGAGGGTCCGCAGTTGGTGCAAAGACGCAACAACGGGATGGACCGTCAAAAAACGGACAGGATCAGTAGGTGCGGAGCACCCTACTGATCCAGCAACGTCAAGAGAATTTGTAGGCCTCTTGATGAAGGTTGCTCCCAACACACAGACATTGTGCGTTGCTGCTCTAGGTAATGAGATCTCACTCATTACCTTGAAACTCGAAGTGACGAATAAGTTGTCCCTTCGAGCTCTAGTCGATTGTGGGACGTCCAACAATTTTGTGCGACGCCAATCGCTAGAAGATGGTCACTTTAAATTCAGTGAATGTGACACACCTCCTACGAGGATGACGGTACGTCTTGCGACAGGCGCATCCGTAACCGTCATGAAGCGTATAGTGAAGATTCACTATACGCTAGAAGATACCCAATACGACGATGACTTTATCGTATTGGATTTGGATGACAAATTTGATGTCATCCTTGGAATACCGTGGCTCAGAAGGTACGAACCACGGGTAAACTGGCAACATCGGACAGTAACGATGCCTGCCGCTTGTTCATCAGATGGCCATCTGATGAACGTTTTGGAGAGTCCACAAGCGTGTGGATGTACTGCGAGTGAGTGCGATGGCCTCACTTGTGGTACGGTCGTTAGTACGACTGCACAAAACCTTAGTGTACCAAACGGTTACACTTCGGAGCAAAGTTCCGGCGGCTGTGAGGAAACACAGGCTGCGCCGAAGGTCCACCACTCGAATAAGTCGGGTGGACTGGGACAAAGATGTATCCCTAGAGGGGAACATCTAGAAGAGAAACAATCGATCGCTCAGGTTAAGCGAAGCGATAATCCTAGATCGACTGGAGAGTCTTTCGTAGAGGATCTCGCTGTGGTTGCGCAACCCCAGCTAGAGGAAGTAAAGGGAATAAGTCCCAAGATTACAAATACGGCGGAAATAAGTTCCCCGAAACCCGCGGGAATAAGTCCCCGGGAAGACGAAGGAATAAGTCCTTCGAAGCCTGAGGGAATAAGTCCCCAGGAAATGACAGAGACATTGAATGTCATAGTCAATAACGGATCATGTGTAGGCGCTTATACACTTGATCTGATTGCGCCTCCGAAGTTAACTTCGGAGATCACTCAGTTGCCAACGCTCGAACATAAAAGATTCTTGCGTGATCTGCGTAGTGGCAAAGTCAAGAAGATCTGCATACTCGTCGCTGAAGACGAGTATGTAACCGACATAAGGTCAGCAACAGTGTTTACTGAGAACGAGAGAGTTCTCAGTAGTTCATCTATGGACGAGAGTGTCCTAGATGAAAAGACACGAATTGAGCGATATGAGTCCCAATCATGGGAATCGCTCAAGGAAAATCCTCTCTATGAAGATTTGGTTGAATTCAAGGATGTATTCCCTGAAACTGTTCCGTGCGAATTACCGAAGGATAAAGGTATTCGACACGAAGTCGAGCTTAAACCAGGCTCGAAGTACTGTGTCATGAAGCAGTGGCCACTGCCTCGTGAACAAGTACTTGCGATCGACAAGTTCTTTGCCGATCGTTTAGCAGCGGGCCATGTGAGGGAATCAACTTCCCCACATAGCTCTCCGACCTTCTGTGTGCGAAAAGCAACAGGAGGGTGGCGGATAGTGCACGCGTTTAACAAATTGAATGCTGCAACGGTACCGGCTCAGACGCCGATACCGAGGAAGGACGTAATCATTGATGGTATGTCAAAGAGTACCATCTTTTCGTCCATGGATTTGATGGATGGCTTCTATCAAATCCTAATGCGGGAACAGGATATACCCTATACCGCAGTTAGCACGCCTAGCGGCATGCTCTGGGAATGGCTAGTAATGCCACAAGGGCTCAGTAATGCCCCTGCCACGTTCAACAGGTGTGTATCACATCTGTTGAGGCCAGTACGAGAATTCGCGCCGAGTTATTTCGATGACGTATTCATCCATAGTCGAGCTATGGATGGAAAGTCGGACGTTGAGGTTCACAAGTACCACGTCCGACAAGTTCTTACAATCATGCGAAAGCATCAATTGTATGCAAACCTCAAGAAGTGTATATTTGCAGCAAGCGAAATACCACTTCTTGGGTGCATCGTTGGTAAGAACGGTGTACGTCCTGATCCCGAAAAGATCAAGGCGATCACCGACTGGCCCGTGCCGGTCGATGTCAAAGGTCTTCGAAAATTCCTTGGGCTAGCGGCGTATTTGCATAAGTATTCACGCAATTACGCCGAGATGACTGTACACCTCTCTCGTTTGTTGAAAAAGAACGAGAGGTGGTTATGGAACGCTGAATGTCAACGCTCCTTTGAGGGTATCAAGCAGAGCTTGATACAATCCCCAGTCCTAGCAATAGCCGATCAGGACAGGCCATTTCATGTGGTCTGTGATGCCAGCGATTTCGCAATCGGCTGTGCATTAATGCAGTACGACCTTGAAGGCGTTGAACGCGTCGTCTGCTATCAGTCGCGTCAGCTGCAACCAGCTGAGCGGAACTATCCAGTGCATGACAAGGAACTCCTTGCCATGAAGTATGCACTCGCGAAGTTCAGAGTCTATCTATTAGGAGATAGACCCTTCGTTGTTTACACTGACCATGCGTCCTTATGCACGGCAGTGAACAGCCCGCACCTTTCACAACGAATGGCGCGGTGGTTGTCATTCTTTGCAGAATACAACTTTACGGTCGAGTACAAACCAGGACGACTTAATGTCGTCGCTGATGCACTCTCACGTCGTCCCGACTTTGAAACAGTCGCGAAACCCAACAGTGAGACAGTCACTGTTGCGGTTATGACGTCCTCAGTTCCATCTACAACGTTGTATGATGATGTGAGGCGGGCATACGCCCAAGATGGTGAGATAGTGAAGTTGTTGTCACATCTCTCCCAACCATCTCGAGAATCGTTGAAACGATTGTCGTCTGCGTATCGATCTGCATCAGATCGATACACTACTCGTAACGGTTTACTGTACTATACAGCCGTTTCTGGTGACACACCACGTGTTGTCATTCCAGATGATACTGATCTGCGTTTGCGGATCATGTTCGAGTATCACGATGCTCCTATAGAAGGACATCGTGGCCGAGAGAAAACATATCTCACGGTAAGTCGAGACTTTTACTGGCCCCGCCAGTATCAGTTTGTGCGAAAGTATGTTCGCGCATGCGAAGTCTGCCAACGAGTGAAGTCAAGTCCTTCACTGCGTGCACCTTTACAGCCTCTACCGGTTCCGGCTGAGTGCTGGGAATCCATCTCAATGGATTTCGTCTTCGGGTTACCCAAAGACGCACGCGGGAATACAGGTATTCTCGTATTTGTTGACAGATTCAGCAAAATGGTACACCTTGTGGCTGTACCAGAGACAATCACGGCAAGTGGCTGTGCTTGTGTCTTTATTGACACCATCTTCCGACTTCATGGGTTGCCCCGTGAACTCGTATCAGACAGAGATCCACGATTCACTGCTGATTTCTGGCGTTCCGTGTTCAAATCACTCGGAACGCGCTTGAAGATGTCAACATCTGATCATCCAGAGTCAGATGGTCAGACGGAACGTGCCAATCGTGTCCTTGAAGAGATACTTCGAGGATACGTACACTCCTTTAAGAGTTGGAGTGAGTTTTTGCCGATGGTAGAGTTTGCCATCAACAACTCGGTGCATGCGTCCACGACACATACACCGTTTTACGTGAATGGCTTGCGCCATCCGCGTGTACCCACCTTACTAGAGTGTAACTCTGGTTTAAGGGGGGGAGGGACTCGCGCGAGCAAAAACCGATTTGGTTCACGCTCATCACGCTCTGACGAAGAAGTCATTGCGTTTGATGCCGATATCGATAACATCAATATCGAAGAAGATGATGCCAGTGAGAGTGCGGAAGCCCTCACTGAAGACAATTATCCCAGTGAGAGTGCGGAAGCCCTCACTGAAGAAAAGGTTGTTGTCGCTGCAGTGCGCTCACAGCACACTGAAGCTAACGAGTCATCAGATGAGTTCATACTGGCTCGTGAAACGGTAGTCCGTTTTGTGCAAGACTCCATCGCCGAAGCGGTGGATAAGCAAAAGCAAAACGCTGACAAGAATGGAAGGGCAAACACTCTTTTATTTAATAAAGGTGACTTAGTCCTACTGTCTACGGTTAATCTACCAAAACATGTAGTGACTAACTTGGGTAGCAGTAAACTACTACCCAAGTACATTGGCCCATTTCGTGTATTGCACCGCCTAGGCAATGCATACACGATCGAGTTACCACGTAAGATGCGAACGCATCCCACGTTTTACGTTGGTCGGCTTAAGCCGTACCATCAGTACGCTGCTTCTTCCGATGAAGAACGCCCTTGCGCTCAAGCATCTCGCAGAGAGCCTTGTGCTCCCGATGGTGGGCATCAACAAGGGTATGAAGAGCAGTTATCTCAGCCCGAGACCGATCAACAATCCCACGAGCTACCCTTAGCTCGTCACGAAGAGATGTCAGAGATCTCTCGTTCTCAAGCTGAGCAAAGGCAAACTCAGCTCGATGCTTCGAGGCAGTGTCCACCATCTGGAGACGCCTATTCCGCTCATGCTCGAGATCGTCGCGTAACCCTTGCGTTACGCGATCAAAGAAGCTCTCGGGAACACACCGATCCACATGATCGTGTGGAGAGCGTCTTTCCTCCTCCTCCACCTCCATTAGAGGACTCTCGCGGTGGCCAGCGCTATCTAGTAGAGCAGCTGTTGAACCACCGCGACGTGAACACGGACGTCGGACGAGTTACCTCGTCCGGTGGCGCGGCTATCCCCCGTCCTGGGATTCTTGGGAGCCCCGCTCCCAATTGATGGTTGACGTACTGGGTCTGGTCGAGCAGTACGACGCGACACATCCTGTGCCGCAGAAGGACCGCCGGAGAAAGTCTTCCCGGCACGGTCGTAAAGGGATTTCAGGTTGTCAATCCCTTCGTACATCTCAGTAGAGACACGTACGCGCCACCACGGGCTGGTAAGGAGGTAAGCCTCCTTAGGTGCTCGTGCAGAGTTGTTCACACAACATGGGCACGAGTCTCCCCAAGAGAGGCAGGGTAATCCTTTCTCCCTTGACAGACGATGCAGCTTATAGCGTGCACCTGTCGGGGTTCGCTTTTCAAACTTATCACGAGCTTTGATAAGTTTGTCGTTCCAAGCGTCACGACCTACATCCTCGAGATTATGGATGTAGGCGTTCCACGCCTGAAGTAGTGAGGGACCATCACGTTTGTGATTCCCACTGTACCATCGATGTCTGAAGAAAGCATCGATGAAGAACTCATGTTCAGCGCGATAGTCTTTCGCGCTGGGGTCAAGGTGATGAATCCTCGACGAATCGAACAATCGTGTTCGATAACGATCACTCGTCGTCGCCGACAAGTGATCCATGACAGATTTAGGAGGCATCCATGCCTTCTTTTCTGGAGCGAGACGCAACACATTGCGGTCCCGCTCTTCCTGCGACGTGCCGACAGAAGTACTGGCACCTCGCTGTGAAGTGGTGTCCATTGGAGAAACGACACCACTATTAGCGCCCGAGTCTCGCGACCTCGAGCGCCTTCGCTTCGGCGATGGTTCATCTGACTCATCAGATGAACCAAAGATGCTGCGACGCAAAGCATCGTCCATGCCACGCTTGGCAGGCGGCTTGGATTCAACTGCCGTCGATACGGATCCGTCATCCGTATCAGGAGAGTACGAGACACCGAGCTCGTACTCTGTGAAGACACGAGTGTCTTCATGACCAGCGCCTGCATCACCAGGTGATACAGGCTGAGTCGATTCAGCAACCGATGGGACATCAGTTGCTGTAGTTTCTGCTTCGGCGTCCGCACAGAGACGTGCAGACGCGCTCTCGGCGGCCTTGCTCGCGCATCGCATGGGCTTGTTTACCATGCGATGAGATGTTGGAAAGTGGACGCGGACCAACAAGTGCAAACCCCGTCCCAAATGATTTGGGACGAGTATCCATTTAGTCAATCAGTCACTAAAGTGACTGATGGTTAAGGGGGGTGATGTAACGGGGTGAATCGTTACATAACAATTTATAAGAAATTGTTAATAGAATATAACTATAAGAGTTATATTCTCAGAATATTGTCATAAGGACAATATTCTGTAGCACTTCCAAGTAGTTCCTAATTGGTTGATATAGGCCATTATATCAACCAACGAAGACGCGCCACGACAGACGCACGCAATGAGTGGTGAGCAGATAACTGATTTACACATTTGTATTTAGACATAGTTAGATGAAGATAAATAGTGATTTATTGCAGACATTAACTATTATAAATACAGTTCTACTTTTTACTCTAACCGAGTACTCGCTTCTTCTTACCGTCTTCCTCTGCACGTACGAGTGTACGTGAAGTTACGAGGCACCGCCTTATTCTGTTATCAGAATAAGTAGCTTGTACTGTCACCAGTACAAGCTTCAGGGTGCCCCGTTACAGTCACGACAAGTGATCGAGCCCGTGATGTTTTACTTATGCGTTGTTCTCGTGTGTGTGGTATTGAAGAAGCAGTAGTCGCTGCAAAAACGTGGCAGTCGGCCGACCACTTCAGTTGAATGGCAGTTTCTATCCTGGGATGGTGTAGTAAAATCAGGGCGAAAATGGTTGGTGTCGAAGAGATGGAAGCATGGTAGAAACTTGGTAACGACAATAACACTTCTACATTTTGCATTGGCATCTTCCTATTCTAACAGGTTATGAGCCCAAACGGTGATACTGATGCCGCTGGTGCAACTGGCGCGCAACCTAGGGCACTGACTGGTCGCGAAAGGGCCAGCAGCCTACAAGGCGAAAATTTAGAAGTCAAGGCAGAGGCGGTGCCAGGGAACACGGAGCAAAGGATGTTGGACCTACTGACGGGACTAGCGGAGCGGATGGCTAAGCTAGAGGCGTCACAAGGGACCAAGGACCAGCCGATGGACAAGGAGTCCAGTGTGTTCGGGTCAGCAATAGGCCTGGGGCAACCGATGAATCGGCGTGCTCTCGACGTGACACCGCCGAGGGCTCCTTCTCCACATATGTCGCCGGGGACGTACTTCGGGATGAACCAACCGGGGTATGCAAGGGCGGCTGAGAACGTCGAGAGGGCACAGGCGCCGCAGCCGGGGTTACCACAACACTTTGTTCCACCTCCAGTGTGCCAGCAGGCGCAGATACCGCAGCACGTCCCGTCGTATGCGAGAGTGCCGGACGCTAGACAGCGCAAGCTGAACATCCGTCATTTCGATGGAAAAGAGCTTTACCAGGGGCTAGGGAGCGGTTTTCTATCCTGGGGGAAGAAGTTTGTACGGGAAGTCTCTTTTGCTGAGCGTGCGAGCGGATTTCCGTGGAGTGAGGATGTCAAGATAGACGTCCTTGGACACAATCTCACGGGAATGGCTGAGCGGTACTATAATCGCCAAGTTGAAGGGTGGTGGCAAGAAGAGCCAACATTGGAACACGCCATGCAAAGGCTGCTTCATACATTCGCAACTAAGATAACGCCAGCGCAAAGTATGAAGCTATTTACTGCTGCCAAGAGCCCCAAGCGCAGCTGGACAGAACACTATTTGTATTTGGTCGCAGTAAGCGAGGCATGCGGTGGAGCAGACAACTTGGTCCAAGACAACATAGTCCACTACGCTGATCCGGCAATGAGAGTTTCAATGCTGGCGCGTTTGAATCTAACAAGATTTGATTACTTGCGCCAAGCGGAGGAGCTGGCTCACTTCGCGCAGTCGACGGAGATCGAGCTGCGCGGAAAGCACATTGGAAAGGACGTCGTCAACAACGTTCGACATGTGCGCGAAAAGACACGAAACGGGCGTAAGGACAATCGCAAGTGCTACAGCTGTGGGAAATCTGGACACATAAAAGCTGCGTGCCCGGGGAACAAGGTCTCAAGAGAAGCAAGCGTCGACGTGGACTTTGTGCTCGCAGTGGGCAACCCGAGCGCTAACCACGGCTATTGGATACTGGACAGTGGCTCGAGTCGTCACCTGGTAAACGATGTGAGCATGCTCGAGAACCCAGAGGACTGCCAAAGCGAGTGTATCGCAGCTGACGGAGGGCCCTTGCGCATAACGAAGCGAGGAAGCGTCACAATCACGACCACTGTAATGGGCAAGGTCACTAAAGTGCGACTCCTGGACGTGCAATATGCCGAGAACCTCGAAAGGAACATTATATCCTACGGTATATTGGAGGCTAAAGGGTTTGGGATAGCCTACATGGGTGATCGCAGGGTCGTCGGCAACATTGACAGTGGGGTGGTTGTCTTTGACGTGGAGAAGAAGAACAACGTGCTAATAGTGCGGGACCACGATCGCGGAAGTGTTCAGCTACCATCGGACATACTAATGACGGCTTTAGCGCAAGGAGAATTCGAAGTGAGTCAAGACGTGCAACGGGGCACGCTTATGCATTTTCACAGAAGGTTGGCTCACCTGAATTATGACACGATCCTTCGCATGGCAAAGGATCCAGCCTCAGGGATACAGCTGACCGATGAAACGCGTGAGAACTGTCTAGCTTGCGCTCAAGGTAAACAGACCAAGAACCAGCAGTCGAGAAAAGACACTGGCACGAATGCGCCGATTGATGTTATCGGAGGAGTCATCTGCTCTGACCTGAAGGGTCCCATGACTCCTCGCGACAGATTGGGAAATCGTTACATGGTTAATTTTGTGGATCATCGCACGAACTACTGCAGAGTTTTCCTGGCGAAGAGCAAAGACGTGGCGGCCCAAAAGTTTAAACACTTCATGGCATTTTTCGAGAGGCAATTTAATTGTCGCATTCACGTGCTGCGAACGGACGGCGGAGGAGAATATCGTACTCTGGACCTCTTTTGCAAGGAAACAGGAATTGCGAGGCAAATTAGTGAGCCAAGCAACCAAGCCAGCAATGGGAAGGCCGAGAGGATGCATCGCACCATTATGAATATGGTGCGTAGCATGGTGTTTGCGTGCGGACTGCCGCTGAGCTTCTGGGGGGACGCGGCGGAGTATGCGGCCTACATACTGAATCGAAGCCCAAGTAAAGCCAACGCTGGTCGCCTATCACCTCTACAGATGTTGACCAAGAAGGTACCTGTTTTAAGTGATATTGTGGTTTTTGGGTCACCGTGCACTGTGCACCAGGACGCGAAGAACAAGTCACTAGGAGCTCGTGGCAAGCAAGGCGTGATCATAGGCAAGAGCGATGAAGTGAAAGGGTACCGTGTGTACATTCCAAGGGACAAGGTCGTGGTCGTAACTCAACATGTTAAGAACGTTGAAACCCTTACGAAGGAACAAAACGATCAACTACGGCGTGTGCATCTGAAGGAGATTGATGAAGTTGCGTGCGATGGCTCGACGCAGAAAGAGAAGACGCAAGCGACTGTTCATGATGCGATGAGAAGAAACCACTCGAAAGTTGGTGGCTGGACGCGAGAGGCGCATGTGACGAGGGCGACTTCGAGAAAGTCACGCGAAGACAATGCAGAACAAAAAGAGGAGGAGGTTTCGGATGTGGTGAATGTCATTCGTGAGAGCGACCCAAAATCCTACGGTCAGGCCATGAAGAGCGGCTTAAAAGATAAGTGGGTGGCAGCAATGGATGAGGAGCTGCGAGCTTTGGAAGACAACGATGTGTGGAAGGTGGAAGTGCCGCCCAAGGGAAGCCATGTCCTACACACCAAATGGGTGTTCAAAACCAAGTTGAACGCAGAGGGAGAGATCGATCGTTTCAAAGCGAGGCTTGTGGCATGCGGGAACGAGCAGGTCTACGGTGTCGAATACGGGTTGACGTTTTCTGCGGTGATGGAATTGAGCACGGTGAAGGTCATACTGGTACTTGCCCTACGTTGGGGAGTACCAGCAAGACATGGTGACATACCTAACGCCTACGTGAAGGCGAACAAAGAGGAACATTTGGAGATTTTTCTTGCCATACCTCAAGGCATGACTGTACCTGATGTGATTTTGAAGCAATTTGGAACACAAGGCAGCGACAAACTGGCGCTCAGGCTTAAAAAGTCGCTTTACGGCCTTAAACAGGCGGGTCGTCTTTGGAGCAAATTGCTGGACACGAAACTGGTCGAGGCTGGTTTTAGTCGATGCGTGTCTGACGCATGTCTGTATTTCAGACACGATGGAGGCGAGCTGACAATTGTCGGGGTATATGTTGATGATTTGTTGGTGACAGCGACAAGTCAGGACAAGGTGGAAGAATTCTTTAAAGCGATGAGTGTCCTCTCTATTAAGGATTTGGGTCAAGTTAACAAGTTCCTGGGCATGAGGATGGCTCTAAAGGACTCGAAGACTTACACTGTCGATCAGACTACGGCGATCGATGAGATGCTAAATCAACATGGTCTGGATGCAGCAAACGGCGTGAGGGCGCCCATCGGTGACGACAGCAACGACGATGTGTCAGAAGGTGTGTACCTGTCGGCAAATCGGGGCAAGAAAGGCGAGCCTACTGTCCGAAACTTTCAGTCTTTAGTGGGTAGCCTTCTATGGATTGCCCGGTGTTCAAGGCCTGACATTAGCTTCGCGGTTCACAGAGCCACAAGACGTACGCACCAGCCCACTGTCAGCGACTGGAAGCTGGCAAAACGCGTCGCGAGATACCTGAAGACAACAAAAGACATGAAACTCAAGATGAGCCTCGAAGATGAGAAAGATGTTATCACGGTGATATGTTGGAGTGACTCAGACTTCGCGGCAGATAAGTCCGACCGCAAGTCAATAACCGGTGGAGTACTTACGGTGAGTGGAGTCATCGTGCATTGGATCTGCAAAAAGCAGACCGGAGTATCCTTGTCTACCATGGAGGCCGAGTTTACCTCGGCGTCGCACGTTGGACGAGAGCTGCTGGGATTGCGAGAATTGCTGAAGGAGATTGGACTTCCTGTGACGGAGCCAATGAGCATGCTAATGGACAATCAAGAAGCAATCAAGATGTTAGAGTCTGAAGGAAGCATGGCGAGTGCGAAGCACGTGGATGTGCGGATGAAATTCATCTGCGATTATGCTAAAAAGGGTATCGTCAAACCTGAATTCGTCGAGTCGAAGTTGATGAAAGCAGACCTGTTGACGAAGACTGTAACGGGGCACCCTGAAGCTTGTACTGGTGACAGTACAAGCTACTTATTCTGATAACAGAATAAGGCGGTGCCTCGTAACTTCACGTACACTCGTACGTGCAGAGGAAGACGGTAAGAAGAAGCGAGTACTCGGTTAGAGTAAAAAGTAGAACTGTATTTATAATAGTTAATGTCTGCAATAAATCACTATTTATCTTCATCTAACTATGTCTAAATACAAATGTGTAAATCAGTTATCTGCTCACCACTCATTGCGTGCGTCTGTCGTGGCGCGTCTTCGTTGGTTGATATAATGGCCTATATCAACCAATTAGGGACTACTCGTAAGTGCTACAGAATATTGTCCTTATGACAATATTCTGAGAATATAACTCTTATAGTTATATTCTATTAACAATTTCTTATAAATTGTTATGTAACGATTCACCCCCGTTACATCACCCCCCTTAACCATCAGTCACTTTAGTGACTGATTGACTAAATGGATACTCGTCCCAAATCATTTGGGACGGGGTTTGCACTTGTTGGTCCGCGTCCACTTTCCAACATCTCATCGCATGGTAAACAAGCCCATGCGATGCGCGAGCAAGGCCGCCGAGAGCGCGTCTGCACGTCTCTGTGCGGACGCCGAAGCAGAAACTACAGCAACTGATGTCCCATCGGTTGCTGAATCGACTCAGCCTGTATCACCTGGTGATGCAGGCGCTGGTCATGAAGACACTCGTGTCTTCACAGAGTACGAGCTCGGTGTCTCGTACTCTCCTGATACGGATGACGGATCCGTATCGACGGCAATTGAATCCAAGCCGCCTGCCAAGCGTGGCATGGACGATGCTTTGCGTCGCAGCATCTTTGGTTCATCTGATGAGTCAGATGAACCATCGCCGAAGCGAAGGCGCTCGAGGTCGCGAGACTCGGGCGCTAATAGTGGTGTCGTTTCTCCAATGGACACCACTTCACAGCGAGGTGCCAGTACTTCTGTCGGCACGTCGCAGGAAGAGCGGGACCGCAATGTGTTGCGTCTCGCTCCAGAAAAGAAGGCATGGATGCCTCCTAAATCCGTCATGGATCACTTGTCGGCGACGACGAGTGATCGTTATCGAACACGATTGTTCGATTCGTCAAGGATTCATCACCTTGACCCCAGCACGAAAGACTATCGCGCTGAACATGAGTTCTTCATCGATGCTTTCTTCAGACATCGATGGTACAGTGGGAATCACAAACGTGATGGTCCCTCACTACTTCAGGCGTGGAACGCCTACATCCATAATCTCGAGGATGTAGGTCGTGACGCTTGGAACGACAAACTTATCAAAGCTCGTGATAAGTTTGAAAAGCGAACCCCGACAGGTGCACGCTACAAGCTGCATCGTCTGTCAAGGGAGAAAGGATTACCCTGCCTCTCTTGGGGAGACTCGTGCCCATGTTGTGTGAACAACTCTGCACGAGCACCTAAGGAGGCTTACCTCCTTACCAGCCCGTGGTGGCGCGTACGTGTCTCTACTGAGATGTACGAAGGGATTGACAACCTGAAATCCCTTTACGACCGTGCCGGGAATACTTTCTCCGGCGGTCCTTCTGCGGCACAGGATGTGTCGCGTCGTACTGCTCGACCAGACCCAGTACGTCAACCATCAATTGGGAGCGGGGCTCCCAAGAATCCCAGGACGGGGGATAGCCGCGCCACCGGACGAGGTAACTCGTCCGACGTCCGTTCACGTCGCGGTGGTTCAACAGCTGCTCTACTAGATAGCGCTGGCCACCGCGAGAGTCCTCTAATGGAGGTGGAGGAGGAGGAAAGACGCTCTCCACACGATCATGTGGATCGGTGTGTTCCCGAGAGCTTCTTTGATCGCGTAACGCAAGGGTTACGCGACGATCTCGAGCATGAGCGGAATAGGCGTCTCCAGATGGTGGACACTGCCTCGAAGCATCGAGCTGAGTTTGCCTTTGCTCAGCTTGAGAACGAGAGATCTCTGACATCTCTTCGTGACGAGCTAAGGGTAGCTCGTGGGATTGTTGATCGGTCTCGGGATGAGATAACTGCTCTTCAGACCCTTGTTGATGCCCACCATCGGGAGCACAAGGCTCTCTGCGAGATGCTTGAGCGCAAGGGCGTTCTTCATCGGAAGAAGCAGCATACTGATGGTACGGCTTAAGCCGACCAACGTAAAACGTGGGATGCGTTCGCATCTTACGTGGTAACTCGATCGTGTATGCATTGCCTAGGCGGTGCAATACACGAAATGGGCCAATGTACTTGGGTAGTAGTTTACTGCTACCCAAGTTAGTCACTACATGTTTTGGTAGATTAACCGTAGACAGTAGGACTAAGTCACCTTTATTAAATAAAAGAGTGTTTGCCCTTCCATTCTTGTCAGCGTTTTGCTTTTGCTTATCCACCGCTTCGGCGATGGAGTCTTGCACAAAACGGACTACCGTTTCACGAGCCAGTATGAACTCATCTGATGACTCGTTAGCTTCAGTGTGCTGTGAGCGCACTGCAGCGACAACAACCTTTTCTTCAGTGAGGGCTTCCGCACTCTCACTGGGATAATTGTCTTCAGTGAGGGCTTCCGCACTCTCACTGGCATCATCTTCTTCGATATCGATGTTATCGATATCGGCATCAAACGCAATGACTTCTTCGTCAGAGCGTGATGAGCGTGAACCAAATCGGTTTTTGCTCGCGCGAGTCCCTCCCCCCTTAAACCAGAGTTACACTCTAGTAAGGTGGGTACACGCGGATGGCGCAAGCCATTCACGTAAAACGGTGTATGTGTCGTGGACGCATGCACCGAGTTGTTGATGGCAAACTCTACCATCGGCAAAAACTCACTCCAACTCTTAAAGGAGTGTACGTATCCTCGAAGTATCTCTTCAAGGACACGATTGGCACGTTCCGTCTGACCATCTGACTCTGGATGATCAGATGTTGACATCTTCAAGCGCGTTCCGAGTGATTTGAACACGGAACGCCAGAAATCAGCAGTGAATCGTGGATCTCTGTCTGATACGAGTTCACGGGGCAACCCATGAAGTCGGAAGATGGTGTCAATAAAGACACAAGCACAGCCACTTGCCGTGATTGTCTCTGGTACGGCCACAAGGTGTACCATTTTGCTGAATCTGTCAACAAATACGAGAATACCCGTATTCCCGCGTGCGTCTTTGGGTAACCCGAAGACGAAATCCATTGAGATGGATTCCCAGCACTCAGCCGGAACCGGTAGAGGCTGTAAAGGTGCACGCAGTGAAGGACTTGACTTCACTCGTTGGCAGACTTCGCATGCGCGAACATACTTTCGCACAAACTGATACTGGCGGGGCCAGTAAAAGTCTCGACTTACCGTGAGATATGTTTTCTCTCGGCCACGATGTCCTCCTATAGGAGCATCGTGATACTCGAACATGATCCGCAAACGCAGATCAGTATCATCTGGAATGACAACACGTGGTGTGTCACCAGAAACGGCTGTATAGTACAGTAAACCGTTACGAGTAGTGTATCGATCCGATGCAGATCGATACGCAGACGACAATCGTTTCAACGATTCTCGAGATGGTTGGGAGAGATGTGACAACAACTTCACTATCTCACCATCTTGGGCGTATGCCCGCCTCACATCATCATACAACGTTGTAGATGGAACTGAGGACGTCATAACCGCAACAGTGACTGTCTCACTGTTGGGTTTCGCGACTGTTTCAAAGTCGGGACGACGTGAGAGTGCATCAGCGACGACATTAAGTCGTCCTGGTTTGTACTCGACCGTAAAGTTGTATTCTGCAAAGAATGACAACCACCGCGCCATTCGTTGTGAAAGGTGCGGGCTGTTCACTGCCGTGCGTAAGGACGCATGGTCAGTGTAAACAACGAAGGGTCTATCTCCTAATAGATAGACTCTGAACTTCGCGAGTGCATACTTCATGGCAAGGAGTTCCTTGTCATGCACTGGATAGTTCCGCTCAGCTGGTTGCAGCTGACGCGACTGATAGCAGACGACGCGTTCAACGCCTTCAAGGTCGTACTGCATTAATGCACAGCCGATTGCGAAATCGCTGGCATCACAGACCACATGAAATGGCCTGTCCTGATCGGCTATTGCTAGGACTGGGGATTGTATCAAGCTCTGCTTGATACCCTCAAAGGAGCGTTGACATTCAGCGTTCCATAACCACCTCTCGTTCTTTTTCAACAAACGAGAGAGGTGTACAGTCATCTCGGCGTAATTGCGTGAATACTTATGCAAATACGCCGCTAGCCCAAGGAATTTTCGAAGACCTTTGACATCGACCGGCACGGGCCAGTCGGTGATCGCCTTGATCTTTTCGGGATCAGGACGTACACCGTTCTTACCAACGATGCACCCAAGAAGTGGTATTTCGCTTGCTGCAAATATACACTTCTTGAGGTTTGCATACAATTGATGCTTTCGCATGATTGTAAGAACTTGTCGGACGTGGTACTTGTGAACCTCAACGTCCGACTTTCCATCCATAGCTCGACTATGGATGAATACGTCATCGAAATAACTCGGCGCGAATTCTCGTACTGGCCTCAACAGATGTGATACACACCTGTTGAACGTGGCAGGGGCATTACTGAGCCCTTGTGGCATTACTAGCCATTCCCAGAGCATGCCGCTAGGCGTGCTAACTGCGGTATAGGGTATATCCCGTTCCGCATTAGGATTTGATAGAAGCCATCCATCAAATCCATGGACGAAAAGATGGTACTCTTTGACATACCATCAATAATTACGTCCTTCCTCGGTATCGGCGTCTGAGCCGGTACCGTTGCAGCGTTCAATTTGTTAAACGCGTGCACTATCCGCCACCCTCCTGTTGCTTTTCGCACACAGAAGGTCGGAGAGCTATGTGGGGAAGTTGATTCCCTCACATGGCCCGCTGCTAAACGATCGGCAAAGAACTTGTCGATCGCAAGTACTTGTTCACGAGGCAGTGGCCACTGCTTCATGACACAGTGCTTCGAGCCTGGTTTAAGCTCGACTTCGTGTCGAATACCTTTATCCTTCGGTAATTCGCACGGAACAGTTTCAGGGAATACATCCTTGAATTCAACCAAATCTTCATAGAGAGGATTTTCCTTGAGCGATTCCCATGATTGGGACTCATATCGCTCAATTCGTGTCTTTTCATCTAGGACACTCTCGTCCATAGATGAACTACTGAGAACTCTCTCGTTCTCAGTAAACACTGTTGCTGACCTTATGTCGGTTACATACTCGTCGTCAGCGACGAGTATGCAGATCTTCTTGACTTTGCCACTACGCAGATCACGCAAGAACCTTTTATGTTCGAGCGTTGGCAACTGAGTGATCTCCGAAGTTAACTTCGGAGGCGCAATCAGATCAAGTGTATAAGCGCCTACACATGATCCGTTATTGACTATGACATTCAATGTCTCTGTCATTTCCTGGGGACTTATTCCCTCAGGCTTCGAAGGACTTATTCCTTCGTCTTCCCGGGGACTTATTCCCGCGGGTTTCGGGGAACTTATTTCCGCCGTATTTGTAATCTTGGGACTTATTCCCTTTACTTCCTCTAGCTGGGGTTGCGCAACCACAGCGAGATCCTCTACGAAAGACTCTCCAGTCGATCTAGGATTATCGTTTCGCTTAACCTGAGCGATCGATTGTTTCTCTTCTAGATGTTCCCCTCTAGGGATACATCTTTGTCCCAGTCCACCCGACTTATTCGAGTGGTGGACCTTCGGCGCAGCCTGTGTTTCCTCACAGCCGCCGGAACTTTGCTCCGAAGTGTAACCGTTTGGTACACTAAGGTTTTGTGCAGTCGTACTAACGACCGTACCACAAGTGAGGCCATCGCACTCACTCGTAGTACATCCACACGCTTGTGGACGCTCCAAAACGTTCATCAGATGGCCATCTGATGAACAAGCGGCAGGCATCGTTACTGTCCGATGTTGCCAGTTTACCCGTGGTTCGTACCTTCTGAGCCACGGTATTCCAAGGATGACATCAAATTTGTCATCCAAATCCAATACGATAAAGTCATCGTCGTATTGGGTATCTTCTAGCGTATAGTGAATCTTCACTATACGCTTCATGACGGTTACGGATGCGCCTGTCGCAAGACGTACGGTCATCCTCGCAGGAGGTGTGTCACATTCACTGAATTTAAAGTGACCATCTTCTAGCGATTGGCGTCGCACAAAATTGTTGGACGCCCCACAATCGACTAGAGCTCGAAGGGACAACTTATTCGTCACTTCGAGTTTCAAGGTAATGAGTGAGATCTCATTACCTAGAGCAGCAACGCACAATGTCTGTGTGTTGGGAGCAACCTTCATCAAGAGGCCTACAAATTCTCTTGACGTTGCTGGATCAGTAGGGTGCTCCGCACCTACTGATCCTGTCCGTTTTTTGACGGTCCATCCCGTTGTTGCGTCTTTGCACCAACTGCGGACCCTCGTCCCTGCCCCTTTCTCATGGGTGGACGGTCACTACGCCCAGTGTCGCGAGACACTGGACGAGGGGCACTACACTCGTAAGCGTAGTGTCCTGTCTTTTGACATCTGTTGCATCTCTGCAACTTCTTGTAGCCTGTAGAGCGAGCCTTCTCGCTCTCTACATAACAGAGTTCCATCGGCTCTGGACCTCCGTTGTCATATCGTCTCGGTTGACGATATGATGTCGAGCTGGCGCGAGCCTGTCTCAGACTGAAGTCTTCCTGCTCCACAATGGAAATGGCTTGTTCTAGTGAATCTAGTTCAAGCCGGAACAGGTGAGTCTTGACGGGACCATCCGCAAGACCCTGCATGAACACCGAAACCAACGTGTGTTCATCCACCGGATTGGAACTTATACAACTCGTGAGATGTCGTATATGTTGAGCGTAAGCGTGCACATCACGCTTACCCTGCTTGAGCTTCAAGAGTTCGGTTCGAGCTCTGAACTCAGCTCTAGGCGGTTCAAACGTTTGTCTGAGCCGCGACTTGAAGACTTCCAACGACCCAAACGCATATGGGTCGTGCAGCTTGAGCCCCAGTGCCCAAGTCTTGGCACGTCCTGCCAGATTTGACTGGGCAAATGCAACTTGCATATCCCCGTCGTCGATGCGACGCGCCCTTATGGCGTCATCCAATTCGACGAACCATCTCAAGAGGGAGTCTTCTTCGACCCCCTATACTTTGAGATGTCAATCTTCAAAGTCTCGGGCCGACGCGAGTGCATCGACCCGCCAGCAGCAGCCTGCTGCTGTCTCAACAGTTCAAACTGTTGAGCACCTTGTTCTCTCAACAACTCTGCTTGTTGAGAACCTTGTTGGTGAAGCAAGGCTACTTTCTCGCGTTCTGCGTCAAGTTCATTTTGAATGAACTTGGCGATAGTAGCATGTTGGGCATCTCTATTGAGAGCCTCTAGCATGACGCTAACAGCATGGATGCCCATGGTCGAACCCATTCGTTCAACCGCATCCCATTCGACATCGCTCAAATGGGAGTAGCCGTCACGCGTAGCGTGAAAGCTTTGGTCATCTTCATCATCCAACATATTCATGTTGGATGTGAACGCGGTCCTTGGACGGACTACGAAGTGCTACCAGGTGTAACGGGGCACCCTGAAGCTTGTACTGGTGACAGTACAAGCTACTTATTCTGATAACAGAATAAGGCGGTGCCTCGTAACTTCACGTACACTCGTACGTGCAGAGGAAGACGGTAAGAAGAAGCGAGTACTCGGTTAGAGTAAAAAGTAGAACTGTATTTATAATAGTTAATGTCTGCAATAAATCACTATTTATCTTCATCTAACTATGTCTAAATACAAATGTGTAAATCAGTTATCTGCTCACCACTCATTGCGTGCGTCTGTCGTGGCGCGTCTTCGTTGGTTGATATAATGGCCTATATCAACCAATTAGGGACTACTCGTAAGTGCTACAGAATATTGTCCTTATGACAATATTCTGAGAATATAACTCTTATAGTTATATTCTATTAACAATTTCTTATAAATTGTTATGTAACGATTCACCCCGTTACAAAGACACTGCCGGCGCCAAGGGTCGCGGAGCTACGCGAATTGTTTAACCTTGTTTGAATGTTGCAGGTGGACCGGATGAAGCGCGTCGTCCGAGGAGGAGTATTGAAGAAGCAGTAGTCGCTGCAAAAACGTGGCAGTCGGCCGACCACTTCAGTTGAATGGCAGTTTCTATCCTGGGATGGTGTAGTAAAATCAGGGCGAAAATGGTTGGTGTCGAAGAGATGGAAGCATGGTAGAAACTTGGTAACGACAATAACACTTCTACATTTTGCATTGGCATCTTCCTATTCTAACATGTGGCACATCAGCTAGTATCGCGTCCAGCACTTTGTACACTCCTCATAGCGTCAAGTTGAAGCTGCTCCACTCGGATGGATCACAATCTAATCAAATTGTGACAAAATGGCTACAGATGGACAAAATGGCTACAGATGGGACTTTTAAAATGGTCAAAATACGTTGATCATGTCGTCCGAGTGTGACGACCACGATCACGTCAGCCAACTTCAACTTGAGTCACAACATAACACCTTACAAACGAAAAGGTCTCAAGTAAAAAGCACCGAGTACTGCAGCAACATCCTAACCACGTACAACAGCGCGACTACTGATGTCTGGTGATCCACCTGTTGCCACGACTGTAAAGATCATCAAGAGGGGACCGTGGTTGGTGGCAGGCAAAAAGAGCTGGACAAAAGCTTCTGGTCACATTTCCATGAGCTTTTGGGGATATCTTCCATCGAAGTCGACGGACAACTCCAGCCAAGTTTTTGTTCCAAGTAAACTCAAGTTTCGCACTGTGTCGGCGTCTGCTCAAGTGTCGAAGGCCATCCACACCAAACACTTTGCGGATGCGACGCGGCGTGAAAATCAAACAACAACGTGTTGTGTCGTTGCCCCCTTGCGCTCTGTGCCAGCCATTGATGTCGCACTTCCCAAATTGCTTCGCCGCAAACCTTCTCAACGACCGGTATGTTGTGCTCCAAAATTGTCGCCGTCTGCTTTGTCACGGCCACATTGATGGTAGCCAAAGCAAACGCGTCACACGAAGGCAATGCCAGAAGCAGCAACAGCAACTACGATGACGATGGTGGTAGCAGCTTACTGCCAGCCTATGTCTATACTTTCGACCCCAAGTACTCTGGTGGCGTGAGCGGCACCATTCGCGTCCAGTACGCCGGTGCCCTCTCCACCTTTGCGATCATCAGATCATCCCTCGACTTCAACGACGTGAACCAGAGCGAGATCATGGTATTCGATAGCAATTGCACCAACGAAGTGAGCGAGTACAAGTGGCACATTCATGTCAAATGGCCCCACGATCGCGACTCCGAGTCCTTCGAGCAGTGTGGATTGGCCATCACTGGTAATCACTACGACCCATTGAAGGCGTGCGGTCCCAATTCCGAGTTTGCCAGAACGGAAGAGTGTCTGCACAAGACCCCAGGATACAGCTGCAATCCCAACACGTACGCTGCGAACCCACTGGTTTGCGAAAAAGGCGACTTGTCGGGCAAGTTTGGAGGCATCAAGCTGGACGACAGCAAACAAGTTAGCAAACTGGACTACGATTTCAACTACCCGCTGCCAGAAGAGAACACGCCCGAGTGGAACATGATTCTCCACGCAGTCTGTGGCCAAGCCACTCCTCGCATCGCATGCGCTGTCGGCAAACTATCGGCTCAATCTGGAGCCCCGTCTCAAACTACGAGCAATAGTCCGCCGCTGTAGTCGACAATCCTTCTCGAGATCTCTGGTCATGCATACAAGTGTCCTGGGACGACCACGTACTGCTAGCTTGATTGACCGTCTCCATACTGAGCAGACTCAATTCCTCCAGACTTTGGAGCAGTCCCAGTCATTTTAATCTGTTGTGTTTTTGTGCACGTTATGCCCTAGCTGTACTCGTCTTCAGCCTCGGGTCTTGGCTGACGTTCACACGTATTACCGACGCAGCTTGTTTGACACCATCTACAATAAAGCGTGGGTGGGCCAAGAGAAGCTGGTGCCGAACGCAATGTAAGAAGCAAGAGCTCCTCCCTCGTTTCATTTTTCCCACTCACATTACAACGGCTTGGCTCATCAGCTGCAGTCACGAGCTCTCTAGTTCCGCCGCTGTCATGACTGTGGATTACCATAGGCTGTAGCAGGACCATTTGTACATTGGCGAGGCTACACGAGTCGGTTCATTGCAATTCCCCTGGATAGCTTAACGTTCCTGCATGTGCCATTCGATCATTTCTAGACCAGCTGAGACTGCAATACTTCATGGATGAAGCACATGTGAGTCGTTGTGAGCATAGTCAGCGCAACAACTTATTCAACAAACTTACCTCAAATGACTCCATAGCCGTGGAGCTCATCCAGTACGCTGTCATCATCCGCTAGACCACGCTACGTTCTTGCTTAACACGAGAACGTTTCGTCTTCTGGCGGCTCGAACGAATGGTGCCGTATTTGCTCGCTCGCCCCCGTTTGAACGACGACGACGACGACTGTACAGTCTCCTCAACCCGATAGTACTCGCTACGGTCTCGACTGTAACTTCGGCTGGAACTGCGACTCCGACTTTCCGAGTGACCACGACTTTCGTACTTTCGTTGACGCTTGCTGCTGCTCCGTGTAAAATTGCGAGGGCTTCGAGACTGGCTGCTGCTACGGCTAGTGCTGCGGCTGTCGCTCTCATGATAGCCACGACGATCTTTCTTACGATCGCGACGGTCGAAGTAGGATGGATCACGACGGTAGTCAAGGTCTTGACTGCTGTATCGGTCGTGACCCCGATGATCCCTGTCCGAGTAATATGATCTGTCTCGAGATTCGTACTTGTCCTCTCCTCGCCTGTGCTCACGATATCGGTCTCTGTCGTTGTAATCGTCGTAGTCATCGTAGTCATATCGATCACGATCACGACGATCTCCACTGCGCGCGCGACTGTGGTCACGAGCATACTTGACCGTATACCCACTTGCACTTTTATAGCGCGAACCACTGCCGCTGCGACTCCGGCTACGGCTCGATGGCTGATAACGATCCCGGTCGCGATCATTGCTGTACTCGTACCGATCCTTATCTTCTTGTTTACTCGCGAGTGGCAAGGTTTCGACCTTGATCCGCGGTTCATCATCATCTCTGTATCGTTTCGCGTAGCTTTCAGTTCGATTGCACCGTCTTGATACTTGTTGCTTGCTTGACCATGCACCGCTGCCATTCCTCTTATCGCTTTTTGCCCACGCTTTCGAGTCCTCCTCTGTCTTCTTCGTATACTCCGCCTCGTTCAGAATAAGAGAAGGGTCCAGACGGAGACCACCTAGCTGATGCTCAAACGCATTCTTGAGATTTACCACTTTGTCGCCTTCCAATGAAGCTGACGATTTGACCAGTGCATCGAACTCTGCCTGTTGACGGTCCTTCCACCTCTGAAGTGATCGATAATACCGAAGTACATTCTCTGTTAACATGCAAAATATGGCGATGAGCACAAACCTTCGATTGCAGGTACGTCAAGAGAAGTACGTACTCGCTGTCCGCTCGTTGAAAAGCTCGCCTTCCTGATCCGAGCTACACCATTTGAACTTAAAATCTTTGCCCTTCGCCCAGGTTGCGATGTAAGCTGCACTCTCGCCGAGCAGCCGCGGCGACATATCGATACATGCTGGCAGGAAAAACCTACAGATGTCACAGAATTAGCGCTGGTCTTCATCATCTTGCATTGTTAGAGCTACGCACAATTCTTCTAGGACTGTTTGTGCGTCGTCGTCGACATGGAGACGGACTGCATGACGACAATGGATCAGAGCACACCACGTTAGCCACGCTTGGCGATATACCCCGGTACAAAAAGACGTACACTTCTCAGTCATCTTGTCCAGCACGCGGCGCAAATCGTAGAATGGCATTTCGATTGTCAGCTCGAAGTCAATTCCTTGCAACACTTCCATCTCGTAGTACAGCAGTTGCAACCGCTCGATCTCCAACAACTCCTCATCGCCAGCAAATAGCGGGGTCTCCAAAATGTCGTACATGACACGTACCATACGCAACAGCTTCATACGCTTACTCGATGCCTTGGCTGATAGAAAGAGACAAGCTGCTGCAAATTTGTACCGCTCTCGGGCGTAAATGCCTCGATCGAATACGCGGTGGAAGAAGGTGCACGCAGTAAGCGAAATATCACTGCCCAGGCCAAGACACCGCGACAAAATATCGATGAAAGCAATCGCGGTGCAGCGCCAGTGCTGTCTCTCTTCAAGCTTGCTCTCGAAGCTGTAACGCTCGAAGACCAGTGGGCAGTTCGATCGATCTAGCTGTGGCTGATGTGTGTTTGGAGGTGCTAGTTCGAACGACTGAAGCTGGTCGGGGGCCTCCGCCTGTCGTTCTGTTTCGCTGCGCGGCAGGGACATGGGGGCTCTGCGTGGCTTGCATTCTCCCATTACTACGCTTTTCCACGCCTTGATTTTCCTTGGATACAGCTTCAGCTCTTCCCACCGCGCAAGTGTCTGGACACGAGTAAAGCAACGACAGCGTGTGAGCACCCACGCAGCAGCAGCAGAAAAACAGCACTAGTGCAGGCCCACATCCTGAGCATCCATCCATCCGACTGACCTTAAACACTCGTTTCCGGTTCTCCTCCATGCTTCGCTTGTCCCCACAACGAATCTCTCTTGCACAGGCATTCAGCACTTCGTCTACTGTCTGGAACCACTCACGCTGCACCTGCTCCAGTCGATCTCCATCAAATGACTTAAGGAATTCATGCAGCACGTAAAACAGCATCAACTTGGCTTGGAATCCCCGTGCTTTCTCGGCATGAGCTCGCTACACAGATCAATAGACAGACAGACGACAGGTCAGTTAATTAGTTCAGTGAATACAGCAGTATGTAGTAGCAAGCAAAGAAAAGATAGACTACGACGAGACACCGATTCTATTACACTCGCCACCGCCGCTACAACCACCACCACAGCACCTCAGTTTCCCAATATAAATAACAAAAAATATGCAACCACCCAATACACATAAAGACAAAAAACATAGATACAACTCCCTACGACGTCGCCTCTCCTACCCATGAGAGACATCCTCCAGTTGTAGAGATGATGGTAGCTGGTGCGGTAGCACTAATACGTGAGTAGCTGCGTGAGTGATAGTGACTAAATGGCACCGGGTGGGTGTGGGTGTGTGGGTTTTAAAGTAGCGGCCGTGGCGGTTTAACACAAAATGAGGGGAGGGAGTAGCTTTAGCTTCTGCCGGTCCTTTATTGGTACCTGCTTCATCTTGATCTGGAACCGCCGCGCGTGATGAGGGAACGCCGCCATGTACTCGGCCGTCTTGGCCACGAGCTCCCGATTGGTCACACAGTGGAGCACGTTGTTGAGCACGGCGCCAAAGCCCGCGATCTCTCTTTCCCACTGCGAATCCGATAGTAAAGGACGCTCTAGAGACATTGGTAGTGTCTCAGACGGCGACTGGCCGCTACTTTGACGGTGCTTTCGGGCCATAGAGTGGACTGGCGATGTCAGTGACCTGTGGTCCGTTCTATCGGCTCGTGGCAGGCGCTGGGGCGCGGGTATGTCGACGGCAGATGTGCCCGTGTCGCTCGACGGTGATAGGTCGAGGAGTGAAGCTTCTACTGGAGCAACGAGGCCGCTGTTGCGTGTCGGAAAAGACGTGTTCGACGCACCAGACGCAGACGCGTCAACGGGGGTACGTGGCAGTGGTAGTGGTGAGTCCGTTGCGCGCTCCTCATCGCTCAAAGTCGACGCTTGGTCACGTCCAGTGTCGTCCATGAAGTGGTTGTTGTGTTTTGTAATGCTGGGGTAGAAAGCGTACTTTAGCGGAGAGGTAGGGTTCGACTCCGATGCGAAACCCAGGAGAAGGTCGAAGATATGGCTACATTTAATTGAATACATGGCTACGTCTAGCGACATCGTGGCTGTCTGACGTTTGGTAGAAAAAGAGACCGAGCATCTTGTACGTGAGGCACCGGTCTCATTTGGTAAATCATTGCAATTGAAACGCAGTGAGTGATGGAATGGCCATGAATGGGCAAAGACCAATTGCTTGTCCACCATCAATGCAGTCGATCGATGTTGTGACATCAAAATTGCGCCCCATCAAACGCGTGAGCGATCAAGCTTTAAATCGCAATGAACGACAAGTGTTGCAGCTACGATTGTGTAATTAGGATGTAGGATACTCACTACGATCGTAGCTCTTCCGAAAATGTGCAATGGGAGTCAAGACGACTCTGAAGCTAGTCAACTCTTGAATCTCGGGATGCTTCGAAAGGATCGCGGTGAGTGGAGTCTTGGTTATCGATTGGGCTACAGTGTTACATGTAGCTCTTGACGTGGAGGAGGAAGGAGCGTTGTTATCGAATGGTAGCTTCACAAATGCGTAAAAACTATCAATCAAGAAAAGAGCACGTGCTACCACATGTATCGCGAGTGATGGAAGACACTGAAGCTCGAGTTACAGCACGCATCTCGCGTGTCGTATTGTCGATTTCATCAGCTAAGGTGTCTGACTGATACCAATCGACGATCCACATCGATTTCAGATTGTTTGTAGAGATCATATCAGTATTTCCAGCAGAGTGTCCCGTGTTTACTTGAAACCAATCGGGAACTGTAGCAGCATCATGGTCGTCAATTCGACTAGCACTTCTTGTGGACACACGTTTGTCCGAAAAAGACCAAAGAAGATGAATAAGCTTACCTTGTGGGCGGACGGGAGCTGTTCCGGTCGGGTATTTATTTATCTGATTTGCTAGTTTGAACATACAAATAAAAAGCGCGTAATATGGCATCCTTGAAGTCCACTGCTACCTTCTTTGTTACGACGAACAACGAGCATGTAGCTGGTCTAAGCTGAACAAGTCGAAAGAAACGTCGATGGTTCGATCCCGTCTTTCATGTGAACGTCTGCCCATTACGTCGATTTCTAGAGTACTTTGAATAGATCCACGGTATTCTGAACAGGCCTTTACAATCCCGTGTTGGTAAGTGAGTGAGACGTTTCTCTAACGGCATTTCACGTGCGACGTGGTTTGCCTCATTGCTGAAAATGGCCTCAACTGTCACTCAGTCGATCCGGAATGCCGCTGCAATACCGACGCGGAGCTTTATCGCGTACAGTTGCATACAATAATTTACACATCCTACAACCAAGCATTCAAAGTAGTTGTACTGAAGAGTAATTGGCTTGTATGTGTTAGGATGCCAACGGAATACGCTGGAGCTTCATGTTGAACCTGACGAATATTTCATACGGCTCTTATGGGTAAGCAAGCACAGTCCATAGACTCTTGACTTTACTTGATAAGGGATGCATATACATCCTCTATGAAGCAACAACAAGTTCTACATGGGACAGCTCATTCTTGACCGAGGAAGCTTTCGGGTATTTCGTAAATGGGGTCGAGTTGGTGCTACGTCGCCACAATCGCAGACGGAATACTTTGATAGCCTCCAAGATGCCGAGCGATCGTTTCAAAAGGTCTTTAAGGCCAAGAGTGGCAACAAGTGGCCGCTCACAGAACCATTTGTCCACAAAAACGGCAAATACTTTCTTGTTGGTAAGACTCTTGTCGCTGGTTAAACCTTGTGATAAGATGAAGCATGACGCCTTTGCTGCTGTGTTAACAGAGCTCGACGATGGAGCAATGGAAGCGGATGTTAAGGAAGCAAGTGAAGCGAATGAGGAGGTGGCATCCAAGTTACCAAAGCAAGTTCAGGAGATTATTCAGGTAGGAGAAGCAAGAGACTGCCTGTTGAAGTGCTGCTCTGTGCTCAATTGCATCCTCATTTTTCAACAGCTCATCTGCGACCCCGAAGCCGTTGCTCAAGAAATGGCTAGGTTGAATGTGGATCTCACGCGCTTCCCGCTAGGTGAGTTACCTCATTGATAACGACAGCGTGTGACGACAATCTGTCGCTCATTGTTTGAATGCCATGCCTTGTAATGAGTGTTGCAGGCAAGTTGTCAAAGGCACAGATATCGCAAGGCTATGAGATTCTGCAGCGTATTTCAGCTGTCGTCGAAGAGATTGAAGAGTTGACGACAACACCTGTGCAGGTCAAGGCAACCAAAGCCGGCTCAAAGAGTCGGCGAAAACGAAAAGCCAAGGCGAAGGGACCCGTTGCGACTACTAGGCAAAGTCTGACGCGTCTTCGAGATGATCTCAAGGCACTGTCAAGCGAGTTTTACTCGCTCATCCCGCAAGATTTCGGACGTGCGCTGCCGTCAGTGATTGCAACGATGGCGGATGTCAAGGTGAAGCTCGAGTTATTAGAAGTGCTGTCGAACCTGGAAATCTCGCAGATGCTGCGGAAAGAATCGAGCTCGAAAGCTTTGGCTGAAGCTGCGATGCATCCTCTTGATCGCCACTACAACAAGCTGAACACCCACATGGAGCCACTGAGCAAACACGAAAGGGAGTTTCAACTCATTGAAAAGTAGGCCATGCGTTGCAGAAGATGAAGGACCTCACGTACTGAACGATCGTGTTCATGGCATAAGCAGGTTTGTCAACAAGACGAATGCTGGGAGCAAGACAAGTATCCGCAGTATACTCCGGATTGCTCGACCGGATGAAGACTCACACAAAGAAGTACTCAGGTCTCTCGACAATCACAAGGTGAAGTAAGGTTGTCCATTGTGCTCTTTGCTACTTGTACATGACGCAGTGTTTGCGGCTATGGTGACTGTCCTCAGCTCTTGTGGCACGGATCCCGTTTGTTAAACTACGTCGGTATTCTATCGCAAGGACTGCGCATTGCCCCGCTGGAGGCTCCGAAGAATGGGTATTAGTTTGGCAAAGGGGTACGGCTTGTGTTGTCGAAGCGAGTGTCAACCTCTATGATGGATGGCCAACAGCTTGGATGTGCTTGACCTAGCTCTACTTTGCTGACACGTTGGCGAAATCGGCAACCTATTGCTGTACATCATCTCGAAATCCCACGGTAGAGTCGACTTGAGACAGCACGTGTGTGTTGCTGTAACTAGTACCGTTTTGCTTTGTTTTGCAGGCGATCCTGCTGCTCGCTGACGTCGCTCTGGGCACGCCGTACCCGGTCAGGTCTGGAGAGTTGTTGGACTACGAACGCGTCAAGTATGAGCTCGGGTGCGACAGTACGCACGGTCTTGGACGCATAACACCAGCAGAGCACGAATTTGAGACTTTGAAGGACGGAGTAGTCGTGCCAGCGGGCACACTGACGCCAGCGAATGGCAAGCAGCAGTTGCTGTACAATGAGTTTATCGTGTACCGCCGCGAGCAGGTTCAGTTACGCTACCTCGTCGCTCTTAACTATCACCACGTAGTATAGATGAGAGTGACAAGAAGGTGGTTGTGGATTGAGTGTACGGGTAACGATTGAGTGACCAACCGAAACGTCCGTCTATTCCTCGAGTGTCTGTCCGTACCATTGATGAACTGAAGAAGCCACAGCCAACCGTCTTGCTAGGACGTTGGTCACGGAATTAGTAATGGGACCTTCTCCGAATGTCGCAAAAAGCGTGGACCCGCTCAGTGGCTGCAGTAACGACTCCGCCGCTGTTTACCAGGTGCTATTGTAGCTGAGCGTCATACTTCAACTTGGTGGAGACGGGCCAGCCTGTTCTATATTTTTTCTGACGTGTCGAGTTTGCGGATCGAGTAGGACGCTAATGGAGTGCCCTGGAGTTTTATGCTCAATTATACCAACATCTCGTTCGGCACATATGGGTACGGCCTTGGTGCATTTTATTTTGGCTATGATTCCTAGTCGACATACCTCATTCGTGAGTCACGAGCTGGTAATATACAGCAACAACAAGTTTTACATGATGCAGCTGATTGAGGACGGCTCAAACTACACGGTCTTTCGCAAATGGGGACGCGTAGGAGCTAAAAAGCCGCAGGTTCGTGGACTTTAAATTGCTTACACTGCGTCTAGTATGTCGTTCGAATGAGTGGCTGAGCAAATCTGGACTATTAGTTGACGCTATCGGCGTGTTTGTTATCGACAGCGAGCTCTGGAACATTACAACTCGTCGTTGAACAAAGCACAAGCTTCATTTACGAAGAAGTTCTTGGAGAAGAGCGGTAATGAATGGCCGCTATGTGGACCTTTTAAGATTGTGGAAGGAAAATATGTGCTAGTGGGTGCGTGTTGATGCATGGCAGTCACGATTGTTTCATTGAGTCGCTGGAAGAGTCATGAGGTGCTGTGGTGATTTCCAGAGCTTGACGATGAAGCGCTAGAAGAAGAAAAGGACGAGCGAGTGAACGAGGAGGAAAAGGAGGAAGAAGTGCTGTCAACATTGCATGAGACCATGCAAGACGTGCTAAAGGTGTGTCGAGTAACCGTTCTCCAAGATGCACTTCGCTTCTGTTTGACGTGGTGTCTAAACTCGTTGTGTCTCCAGCTTATTTGTGATGCCGATTTGATCGCAAAAGAAGTGGCAAACATGAACCTCGACTTGGAGCGACTCCCCTTAGGTTGATGCAGTAGATCACTCCGTTGTGCCATAGGTTTTCGATCGTACTGACACTGGACAACTTGTTTATTTGACTAGGCAAGCTTTCAAAACGTCAGATCTCACAGGGGTATGCTTTACTGCAACAGCTATCAGCGGCGCTCAAGGAGATTGAAGACCTAAGCAAGACCGTTGCAGACACAGTGAAAGATGTTCCGAAAACGCGCCGATCCACTCGAGTCAAGCAGCCGGCCAACCCGCATGCTGCCCAACTCTGTCGCTTGAAAACCAGTCTCAAAGCGCTCTCAAGCGACTTTTACACGCTCATTCCACACGATTTCGGTCGGAGGTTGCCGCCTTTAATTGATTCCTTGGATGAAGTGAAGCTGAAGCTTGACTTGCTAGAGGTGTTAGCGGACATTGAAATTTCGCAAAAGCTGCAGGCTGAAAAGAAGAAGAACGCAAAGACTCGCGATGGTACCAAGTTAAACTCCCTCGATGTGCAGTACAACCTTTTGAACATCAGAATGGACACTCTGCCGGAATCGACGGACGAATTCAAGATCATTGAAAGGTACGTGGTGCTTTTCGGTATCATCATGAAGTTGTTGATTTCTGCTGATGTCGTTCGACTGTAGATACGTCAAGACTACACATGCTCCGACCCATGTGCAGTATAAACTTCGCATCAAATCGGTTGTTCAGATTGCTCGTCCTGATGAAGAGAAGTATTCAGACGTTTTCAAGTCTGTTGATAACCACAAGGTTCGTTTACACTGCAGCAGAATGAATTTCAGGTACTTGGTCCCGTACGACCTCAACTTGTGCTTGATACTTTCTAGTTGCTATGGCACGGATCACGCTTGTCAAACGTTGCGGGTATTTTGTCGAAAGGGCTTCGTGTTGCCCCGCCTGAAGCTCCCAACAATGGGTACATGTTCGGTAAAGGTGTACGTAAAGATGATTGATGGCTAGCTGCCTTTGCTACAAAAGCACGCACGATGGATGGACAAATGCAGTGACGATGTTGTGAACTGCTATCAGATCTACTTTGCTGACTCGGTGTCCAAGTCTGCAAACTATTGCTGGACATCGCCACAGAATCCAAAGGTACCTACACTTTGGATATGATTTTTCGTGCTACAGGGTAAGTTCACCTGAGCTATTGCTGCAGGGTGTGCTCATTTTAGCTGAAGTGGCTTTGGGAACTACTTACGAAGCGCGAGAAGCGGAAGATTTGACATACACCACGTTGAAGACGACTAAAGGATGTGATAGCACGTTAGGAGTCGGTCGAATGGCGGCTCCTGTCGAAAACTACGAGACCATGTACGTTCTCATCCAGCAAGCAAACTCGTTGCACTGCCAACCTTTTCACTTGCTCAACGCTTTGTTTCGTTCCAGTGATCATGACGTGATAGTTCCTGTCGGCGAGTTTGTGCCCTCCGAAAAAGACGGCGCACTGCTGTACAACGAGTTTATTGTGTATTGCCAGGAGCAAGTGAAGTTGCGCTATCTTGTCAGCCTTGACTTTCTCTACGAGCAGGAGGACGAGGACTAAAAATAGCACACAACACGCGTTGGCAACCGGTGCGAGAATACATTTGATCAGCAAGACACAGCTGCAGTCCATTCATACCGCGTTGTCCTGTTTTCTAACTTTATCCATTACGTGCATTTGCCTACCTCAATGAATCCAAGACACAGCTGCGACTTCGCCCTTGCCATGAACAAGCAAGCAAGTGGAATCATGCAATCGCTTCCCACGAGTCTAATACTCCACCACGCTTTTTCATCCGCAAATATACTTCGTCCACAGCATTGAGGGGGTGAAGCAATCACCACACACCACCATCTCACTAGCTTTCGCTGTAAACTTGCGTAACCAAATACGCGATCACGTCTTGTGCATAGCGGTCGACGTCGCTGTCGCCGTCAAAGCTGCGCTGCAATTCCTCGCGACATTCTGCCAGCGGTAAGCTAAATAGCGGGATGACCTTGTCTGCTAGCTCCTGAAGATATCGGCACACCTGCTTTTCGCCTCGGATGAAGAATAGAGCCTGAATGCGGTTAGAGAACAGCGGGTACTGCTTTGAGGCCAGCAGTTCGTTGTCTTCTTCGATCGTAGTGTCGTAGAGACTTAGCTGGTGAGTCATAAGGGTGCGCAAGTACTGAAGTACACGAATCTCGTTCTCGAACGAAACGGGCGGAGACGAGTGCGCCGGACTCTTTTTCTTCATCAAAGAAAACTCCTCCTCAGTAGCAACAATCAAACGGGCAAAGCTAAAGCCCTCACGTGTGTTGAATTCCGAGTGCGAGCAGCTCAGGCGTGCGTCCATCGTAAAGATGCCGCTCTCGTGCAAGTATGCTCGCTTATCGTAGAAAAGCTGTCCGTCAGCAGGTGAGAGCTGGAAGTCAATGAGCACCTCGTTCGGGTTACGGCCATCTTCTTCAGTGTTGTCCTCGACTGCAAAGCCATAGTTGAGCAAAAAGCGATGGTTACACTTCTTGCCGTACGAGTCATAAACCTGCGCACCGGCGCCAATCGTGCCGAGCGATGTGATCGTGAACGCGTCAATGCTCTGGTCAAACGTCCAGCTCGTTTCACGTGGACGGTAATGATTGAGCATATCAGCAAACGGCACGAGTGCTGCTGTCCTGACACCGTCAATGGTCAAGCCAAAGTTACGACTGCACACGATCATCCGTGCCCAACTGAAGCGGTCGAGCGAGAACCTAGCGAACAACGGATCGACACGACAGATCACGTCATAGTCTTTTCGGATCGCAGCCTTGCGTTCCTGAATTTGCTGAATAATGTACGACCCTTTCAGCCAATTGAGCTCTTCGTCCGACCAGAAAATCGGCATGTTCCGAAGCGTACTGGGCAACGTGCTATAGTAGTTGCGAAAAAACGACGTCTCGAGGTTCTCCATGTCCGTCAGTAGAAACAGCATCAGATAAATGTGCTTTGGCGCAACAAATTCGACGTTCCGAGCGAGTAATTGGCGTCCAATTGCCGTCTGTTTGCCCATTTCGACCGTGATCAGACATTTCTTAGGGATCACAAGGATGCGTTCGCCCGGCACGAGCACTTTCCGGCTATGGACGCCACGCACTTCAGGCGCGTACTCTTTCAGTACCAGTTTCTTGGAATCCGCCGCATTCGCGTCGAGCCAGTGGATTAATTCCTGCCCCACGACGTCTTCAACCTCGCTCTTGAGTCCGTTACGAGGCGAAGAAGACGCAGACGGGGCCGTGGATACAGACGGGGCACTGGACGATGTCGGGTCCGGGCTTGGAGGCGCGGCAGCGCTTGCGGCCGACGATTCAGGAGCGCTCATGGCCAAGCGTCTCCGCAGCGGATAGTTAGTGCCTGCCAGTCACTCGAGCGGGTACTTTCACGACTCGAGTGACAGTCAGTAAAATGAGGGAGTGACGGCACCGGGTCACGCGAGCGTATAAAAAGGGAGGACGCTCGTTCGCTGTGTTGTAAAATTGCATTCGGTGCGGCCGCAAGCGCTGGATGTCCCGGTTTTATGGCTGGGGAGGTGCCTGAGCTGGATGCTTCGTGCTTGACTGGGCTTTGTGCATGGTAGCGATTGGCTATTCGGTCAGCAGCTTGGCATGACTGGCTCGTTGGGAAACACGCTATGGATGATGCACTGACGGGCCAGCACCGGAATTCGGATACGAGGAGCTCATCACGACGGTGACGACGCGTATGACGGTTACGGGGTCGTGTGTCAACAGACGCTACAAGTTGCGGCTTCCTGGCATGGACCAGTGAAGCCATCAGAGCTACGTGCGACTCGTAGTTGCCTTTTTCTGCACTTGCGCAGCTGCCCTAGTTCAACACCGTCTGTCCCGTCTCTAGCACATCCACACATCACGTGAAGTGCCGCTAGTCCCTGTCAAATATGAACCCCTGTCCAATCCATTTGCACATCATCCGGGAATTTGCTCGGTTTATTATCCACAAAACGAATACTTCACCGGCCCCAGCTGTCGACGCCGTGCAGTCGTGCGTCGGTCGCGCGCGAGAGGTCCTGAGCGTGACGCGTCTCCCCCTGTCGCTCCGCGCGTCTCGTCTCGTACCCCCATTTCCTTTCCGAGCGCTGTGCGCGCGCGCGCTGAGCCCCTCTCCAAGTCGTTCGTTTCCCTTTCGCACTTGGTTTCTCTATACAATTAGACCGACGGCCAAACTGCGTGCGCACATGTTGGCAATGAATGCGCCACAGCTCTTCAACGACGCGCGCCAGCGGCCCCCAGACCGCATGTCGCACAGCTCCCACATCAGCAGCAGTAGCAGCAGCCAAGACACGACGACCACGAAAGACAGGGACGAAGACGACGACGTTGACGTGGTCGAGCTCGACCCGGTGGACGGTTTCCCGAGTCCGCCCGTGCGCGTGCGGCCGCGGCGTCGCTTTGTCAAGGCCGGCAAGACCACGTACGAGCTGTCGTTCTCGCGACGCCACGTGACGAACGCGCGGCGCGGCGCTGCAGTCGTTGAGACTGCCACAGCCGATGCGGACGAGAGTGATGGTCTCTGCGACATGACGCGACCCGCGCCCGTCGTGTCGTCGTTGTCGCACGTTCTGACTGAAGTCCTGAGCGGCCAGACCAAGGCGCTGAACAACATTGTGGACACGACGCCGGTCCAGCCGAACGTGACGTACGTCGTAGAGCACGCGGCCGACGGCACGCCGTACGTCGCGGCTTCGGACGGGACCAAGTACTTTGAAAACTCGGCGATTGGTCAGATTTTTCTCCAATCGGCGCGCGCGAAAGGGCACGTGCGTGGCCGACGGTCGGACCAGAGCGTCGGGTTGCGGCCACCGCAGCCGCAAGAGACGAGGCGATCGGACGGGGAATTGACACCGTCTGGGACTTTGAGTACTTGTACAGCAGCAGCAGACGGAGCAGGTACGGGCGAGACGGCGGCGGTTGGACTCGATGGAGACGTGAAGCGAGGACTTGAGACGCGGTTGGCGTTCCGTGGCTTTCACGTGCGCAAGTGGAAAGAGCAGAAAAAGGGCGCGGTAGCAGATACCACGACGGTGTCAACAGATGGTGCCGCTGCTGCTGCTGCTACTGGAGCTGGTCAAGACGCTGCAGGTGTTTGTATGGAACGAGAACGAGCGAGGTCGAGTCTGGACAAATTGGATCGAGATCGCGCGGACGCAAGTTGCGACGTGCCGCCCACTGTGAGTCAAGCAGGATACGAAGCGACAGCTTCTGGGACGACGGGACGACGAGTTGTTGACGTAAATAGCAGCAGTGACGGCGGCGGTGGTAGCGTCTCGACGACGAAAACACTTCCTCGACTTCAGCCGAAGAAGGAAGTGCCGGCGCCACCGCTGGCACCTGATGCCTATGATGAACAGGACAATCCCTTGTGTCGGTCGTTCCAAAACGTGCGGAATGTGGATTTAGTGCGGGCCAAAGCACGTACGTCTGACGATGACGATGAGCACGATCGTGAAAGTGACGATAGAGGGCACGAGCACGATGACGAGCATGAGGATGTTGCCACGGCTGGAGATGACGATGTTCCGGATGCGGACTCGCCTGACTTTGCTGGTCGTGTGCGTGTCTCATCAGGTGCAACGAGCGTGGCGGACTTTGTGGGTGGGTTTAAGGGTCAGCTTTGCCGACGATCAGGGGCAAGTGGCTTGGTGAATCGCAAGCGCGCGGTGCGACATGCGCGTCTCTCAGCAGAAGAACAGAAGGCCGCAGATTTGGCGCGGAAGATTCGGGAAGCGCACAATCGTGTTCCGCTCGAGTTCAGGGACGAACACATGTCCTTTGCCGCGCTAATGGAGATACAAAAGAAGAGGAAAGAAAACCAGGCTCGCGGTCGGCATGTTTCGTTCAACCCGGATGTGCTGTGTCGCGAGTTTGAAGTCGTGTCTGAGGATGAGGACGACGGCTATGATAGTCCAGATGAGATCGTCGATGCTGTTCAATTAGTGAGTAAGCGCGACGTTGTCCGTGCTGAGGATGTCGTTGCGACGTTTCCGATGGAGCAATTGGGGTTGCCCTCTGAAGCTCTTGCTCATGATGTCGAAGCATCTGCATCTCCAGGGTCAGACGGAGATGCTGCAAGTGTACAGAAAGACCCGCTGACCTTCTCGGCGGTCGAGAATGACAAGCGAATGTCGTTTTCCGAACTCTGAGAAGGAATAAGGTGGAGAGAGCACTCGAGGTGGATCGAGGGGCAAGCAGCGTATCTATTCGAAGGAGAGCAACATGGAGATCGAGAGCTGGAATGTGCTTCCTTCGCTGCCCGTTATTACGAAAACATTAATTTCTTGTACCACTCGCTTTGTGATGCAGCCAGTGAGCCTGCTACTCGTTGATATTGTGGTGTATTTGGTTTACATCATCGTCCTCGTTCAGAGCATCAACGAGCTTGTCAAAGGTCTCCCGTTGCTCCGTTTCGAGATCCAAGAACTCCTTCGGGTTGTAAACAAGTTCGCAGATGGTGGGCTCAAGTCCGGCCTCGGTAAAACATTTGCGCACAGAAGACAAGCCACAAGGATCACACACGACTTGTGCCAAGCCGTCATGCATCTCCACGTCGTCCGCCCCCGCGTCAAGCTGACCAGCCCCACAACGGTCCAAGAACGTTAGTAGCAAGTCACAATACAAGAAAGTAACACAACAATTTGTCGTAACGCACCGCAATCTCCATAAGAGCATCCTCGTCCATCTCCGGCTGATCTCCGTTACCCACCGGCAGCTCAATCTACAAAGCAAAGACAAGTTAAACCGCATTACCCACTGTGACCATGCCAAGCGACAGTCGTACCTCCAGGTAGCCCTTACGCTCGAACATCCACGAAACAGAGCCATTGGTACCCAAAACGCCACCAAACTTGCTCAAAATATGACGCAGTGCAGGCGCCGTCCTGCGCTTGTTGTCGGTCAATGTCTCGATCTACGAGTTTGCACCAAGAGAGAACACAAAAAAGCATGAGTGCTATCGGCTGCCACACATCGTCCCACCGTTTAATTACGACGTACCATCAGTGCACTACCAGCCGGCCCCGAAGCTTCATAGAGCACAGCTTCAGCGTTGCTGCCTTCACATGCTCAGCACGGACCATCAGTACTGCATTGTCACCACAGCCAATCGATCTATATGACGCTTTTTTGTCCAAAAGTTACCGTCTTTGCCCTCAACGCCACGCTTGATCGCCGCCTCGATCTTGTCTTTTGGCATATTGACCGCTTTGGCCTTGTTTACTACGGCCAGCAGCCTCTGCTCCACATCGGCGCGAGATGTCAGAAAAGTAGCGCTTAAGTAGCAACAACACTACCGTCCGCAGCTCTAACTAAATCGAGTTTGAGATGTTGCTGCCCACGTACGACATTGTTCACGTCTCCTGCCACCGCTGCAACAGCAAAAACAGCACCGTCCCGTCAGCACATACCACAACAACACAAGCCGTCTACTTCCGTCGCACTGACATTTAGAAATGACCATAATCTCGCGCGCTAATTTAGCGTTCGTGGCCGTGCGTTTCTATCATCGTTTCCATCAGTCCGTTATTTTGCCCAATCAAAACGTCAAAACAATTACAGCCAATCGCAGCAAAGGAGGATGCTGCCACATACGTACCGCGTCTGTGGCGGTTTTCTTGCCTTGGATAGTAGGACCACGACCCATCCAGCGCACACTCTGTAGCCACATGCTATTAGCAGCAGCACAGTCGTGCATTGCCACCGTTACGACTGCACGGGACATACGAGCGAGTATACGCGCTTGCTCGTATCTTGTATACGTGCGATCGGATTCGTTGCGTATACGAACAAATGGGTGTGGCATTCGTGTGTCCGTGTATCTACGTTAAGTGCGAAAACGGTGCTCATTGCGACATTGGAATCAGGCGGACAAGTCCAAGACGACTTCTGATTGGCTATAATCGTTTACGTCACCTCCTGTCAACACTTCGAGCAATAACATGGTCCGATGACTAGCAACTGCCGACGGTCGCGAACGCAACGGGATCGCATGGGCACAGGCGCTGGAGCTCGCTGCAACGGCATCCCGTTATACCATCGAGAGAAGCAGCATTCGATGCCGTTGCTCTACTAACTCTCAGTTGTGCATTTACCTCCTGGACCACAGACAAAGAGCGGATAAAAGACTATTTGAAAATGGACGAGCAGCTCTTGAACTGCGTGTTTCGCTTTAAACACAAGGCTCCAAGTGATAACCAAGAGGCAGCAACGTGTGTTGCCCTAGCCACGTACGTGGCTGCGTTCGTAGCGGAATTGCAGCCCACAGAAGCCTATGAACTGCCGTGCGGTCGCGTCGAACCTCTTGCAGACGATCGCGTTGTTCCTGCGTCGGCATTTGCAGCTCATGAAGTGCAAGTGCTGAAGAAAGTGGGTGAGTGTCTTGTTCGGGCGTCACCACGGAGAGGTGCAAAGAGTGGGAGAGGCGACGTGTGGTGTGATCCGTGGCTGCCGAAGTACGGATGTGCGGTCCAGCGTACGCAGTTGAATGCTGTGACGGTGCGGATTGAAGTGGTGTTTGCTGATGGGTGGGAGCAGACGCTGCACTTTGTACCGTCAGGTGAGTGTATTCACAGTGCTGTTGCTACGACACACCATGTTGTGCACTGTGCAGACCTGGACATGGAGCTGGCAGTGAAATTCTCGGTAGCTTTTGATTCGGAGCTACGCAATGCACAGACGAGTAAGGGATCAAAGAGAAGTGCAGCGAGGAATGAATTGGGGCATCAAAAGACTCCACAGTTTATTGCTGCCGTTGTGAGACGGGCTGTAACGCTATTGACAAAAGAAGCTAATTCTGTTGGTATTGCTCCAAGAGGAGGCACGACAGACGTGGGGCTGCATACTGGAGGTCGGGCGCGCGATACGTGCTGGGCGATTGTCCAAGCAGTGATTAAATGCAACCTCTGTTGTGGACCGGGTTTGTTTCGAAAAACGATGGTCGCAATGAAGTTGAAACTGCTCTACGCTGCAGTGACCAATGCAAAGAGCATTTTTATCTGCATCAGCGTGAAAGGTGGATGCGCCTTAGTGGACGATCTGTTTTACATGTTGCAAGTCATCATCTTAGGCACGGCTGAACTTGTGAAGGGTGGCTACAAGGTCTCGATGTTTGAAAAACAATGTGCTTCTCTTCGCTCTAGCATTGATGAACATGTTGACGATATGAACTGCCGGGCTGCAACAAGAAGTACACTTTGCCGGGTAGTACACGGCTACAGCAGCTAAATGATGTAAGTTGCGTGATGAAAATGACTTCGCCAACGTGGAACACGGATGGCAAATGTAGTGAGAGCAACGATGAACGTCACCGACGAGCGTGGACCAATTTACAAGGATGCTACCTTTTGAATGGTAAATCGGGCACATTAGACGAAGTGCTGCGGTGGCACAAGACAAACGACTCTCCAGCATCGTACAAATGTATTTTGACGCTGAGGACGTTCGAAGCGTTTATGTTTGAGAAGGCTTTGGTACTAAACGAAGAAGGATCGTGCAACAAACAAACTGGCGATGGTATTTTGAGCTTGGAACAGATGCAAACACTCGTTGGTCAATACCAGCAAGTTGTATGGTCGTGGCGTCAGCTTCCACGAATGACGTCCGTGCTGGACGTGGAGCAGCGCAGTCACGAAATGCTTGTTATGTGGACTGCATTTTGCCTCGTTCATCAGAGATGCGTGGGTGAGTTTACATTATGCGCGCAGTACAACATCGCTCTGAATTGGAAAGATCTACGAGTGGCTGTACTCAATAATCGAGCAGCCATTTCTGCTCTTCGATGTGTCGCACGATACATTCGCAGGTGGAATGTTACTACTATGCGACCTCCGCTATTTCACTTGAGTAACCAAGCACCAACATTTGACTTTGGCAGGAGGTTCGGTTTGAGTAGTACCAGCATGCTTACCGTGTACAATCGCGAAGTTGAGACATGGGAATCTTACGAAGTGAAACAGTGGGAGAAGATTGAAAAGAAGAAGAGTGACGTTATAAAATATCGAAGAGAGATTGCAGATTTAAACGAGAATCTAGCGTTAAAACAGGCCTCGCTCACAACTGAGAGGTCCCGTTTACAGACAAGTTACGACTCGGATGGAGATAGACGATACACCAGTCGTCTCATGCGGCGTTTGAATTCCGAGATCGATTACATTTGCTCCACTATCAAGAAAACCAATGCAAATTTGGAAGCAGCTCTTTTGGCCCCTCCATATCTGGTACGCCCACTTCCGCCCTCGCGGGACGACGCGATTCAAGTGATCTTTATGCTGACCATGCCGCGCCATCTTGAAATTATGGGTAGCTTGTGCTTGACTGCTCAACGGTCCCTTGCTCCTTCCACTGTGACGTCTGAAATGACAACTTTGCCGAAGCAAAACTCCACCACATGGCAACAATTCTACTACGAACGTGCACAAAAACGGATGATGACTGTGACCAGTGTGGTGTTCACAGCGAGTCCGAGTCCGTTCACGCTTCCAAGGACATGGGGACCTACCAGTGTGGACGATTTGTACAACCTCGCACAGTACAGAATAGTCTGTGTATGGAATCCTACCTTAGGTGGCACAGTTCTATCTTGGAGTGACGCGTTCGGTGCCAAAGTTGACCCTTTTGCTGCCACTGCATCGAGCATTATCGATAGCTATATCGAGAAGATGCCGCAGTCACTCAGGCATTTTCAGTGGATGAATGCTTGGCCTGGTATGGAACATACTCGAGGAAACATGGTATACGCCAAGTTTAATCGCCAACCCAAGAATTCTGATAAGATGTCGTATATTGCGCTCGGTTCATTGCGCGCGTTTCCTAATCAGCAGTATCGAAAACTGCAGTGGGCTTTACTTGATGATGTTTTGCCGTGGTCGAACTGCTGCGCGGCGATCATCGTGCGGCAGTCAATTTACCAAGTAGGTGCGCTTACTGACGAATTGCTCCCTCGGCTGCTTTGGAAGTCTGACATGTTCGATGGACACAACGGCCTGACCACGTTCTGCGCGACGCTAATGAACATTGCACGGAAGTTGAAACAGACTCCTCGCGACTTTGAATCTGTCCCGCTTCTGAGTGAGCTGGCAGGGTTTGCAGCGCAGTTTACGGATGAGGCAAGAGGAATTGTAAAAATGTTTGCTGGAATGGCGAGAATCTGGGCGGAAAACGCCTGTTCAGAATGCAGAGAGAAATCGGCACCCAGCCGTATGGCTGAGATTCGTCAAAAAGAGTGTGTGCTGTATGGTATTGCACTGCTAGCCCGCAGCCTTGGACCGTGGGACAACGCATCAGCTCAAGCAGTGTGCGAAATAATTGTGCTTTTCCGCACGTCATTTCTTTGTGCCAGCATTGATCTGGAGTGTACTGAGCAGATGCGTCGTACAGAGAATATGATTGCAGAAGTAATGTCTCGCAGAATATTTGAGATTGTGGCTTACGTAAAAGCTCATGGTATTGACCATGCGCTTACCGACTTAGTGCGTTTGGTAAGCGCGACGGCCCCTGGACGATTGGAATGGAAGGAGTTTTGTGAGCTCTCGCTTGCGAAGGGGCAATTTGGCAGCTGCTTCGAAGCAACTGATGGGGAGACAAATGTGCATTATTCAATCAACCTTTTCACGGGTCTCGTTCTAACCGATGGTCACGCTCCTGGAGGTCTTCCATCCGACATTCGTCAGCACGAGAGCTTCCGGACTTTGTTCGGCCACTGCAATTTCAAAGTCCTCACTTCGAATGGCGTGTTTCGAAGCGAGCGGAAGTATCATGATCGTTTATACGACTTCGCACTCGAAGATGGAGAGTTGCATGTTCAAGAGCTGACATCTGATACTTCGGGTGACATTATCATGACGCTACAGTTGTGTTCCAGTAGTTGGGTGAAAACTCTGACCAATCAGTTTCCAGCTCGTTTGCAGAGTCTGTATTCGCACTGGTATTGGGCGGAAAAGCACTGTGTTCTCTTTTGTCCGAAAGAGGCAAAGTGTCGAGACGTGTTATTCATTGCCAAAGTTGACGAAGATGGTTTAATGCAATGCTATAGAGTACCGGTCAGCGACACGACGCGGCCTTATGGCGAACTGATGGAAAATCTCGATGTGTACGACCGTTTTCTCCGCAAAGAGAAATTGCTTCTCACCGTGTTTGACGTGCTGGTGAAGTTCGAAGAAGCACGGTTTCTTCATCCGCTAAAATCACCTGATGGAGTAGTACGCATTGAGCTGCCTCGATTCAAGCTGTCATTCTATCTGAATGGCATCTCGCAGTTTGAATCGGTGGAGCACAAAGGCTATATTCTAGCGACAAATCAGCAGTTTGACGATTTTCTGCCAAGGTTTCAGCGATACTTGGTGTTAATGTTGAAAGACAGCTCCGACACATCTCGACCAGAACTTCGCTTGCTACTTCCGGTAGGTGTTGTGAAGGAAGCAGCTGATGGCGTGGTCGATATCACAATTTGTGGCGAGGCAAGTAGGGTTATGGACGTGGCATGCTACGACATCCACCGCCGATTGAAGACATTTGAGACCGAGACCATTTATGCAAGACTACAGTTTGCTGCTATCTGTGCCCGAGCTGGAACGGACGTGCCGAGCAAGCGATTGGGTATGACCGGATCAGAGGCAGCGATACAAATTTTACGAGCATGCAGGTCGAGTCGACCATTTTCGGGCGCGGAAAACGAAGCTTTATTGTCGATATACAGGTTGAGCTACCGTGAGCCAGCGGTAAAGATCTTGGTTTTGGCGTTACGCACAGACGCTAACCGCCTCGCGTTTCTCTTCGGGCAAACGCATACAATCGCTCCGGCGATGGAAAGTACCGATGAGAAAACGGAGTATGCGAACATGTGTTCGAACCAAGTCCAGCGTAATCCTTTGCGATCGCAATTGCGAAGCAATGAAGAGGGGCGCATTCTTGGTCATGTGCAACACTCGTCGGTATCTTTTTCAGTAGAAGAAGCAATCACGTGTGACTCATCCTCAGTAGCTGACGACTACGTTAGGTCTATCGAAAAACGCCTTGGACTTTTTCTTCGGAAGGACACTAGCAAAGTGAAACATATTCCAACATTTCCACTGGATTGCAATTCCGCAAACGCCATGGGCACAGGGATGTTGGATGAATTGAAATCGAGCTGGGATAGCTACCACTCGCAAAGCGAAGCACGGCTGAAGGCTGAGCCAGCTGTGTTACTTGACGCATTTGAGACGGTTCTGCAAGAAGTATCATCTCATCGTATCGAGATGGAAACTTGTGTACGGGACTGCGTTACGAAAGCGAGAAGCAGCACCTATGACCGCCTTTTGAGGCTTGCAAACTTCTTGCCGTTGCTTACTGTAAGTGATATTGTCCGCTGTGGGTTTGATGGAGCTACTCTGCACACACTGGCGCCGAAGTTGAGTGAAACATCGAGAGAACTGGTAACGAAAGATGTATTCAATTACATGGAATTATGCGTACTCGAAGATAAGGTGAAGAGGCTTATCTGGATGGCGAGGCGTAGTGGTGAGGTCTCGAACATCATCATGATTGATGAGCTAATGAACACGCGCCAGTGGCGGTCGGCGGAACATCCATACTGGTTGGCGTTCGAAGTGGAAGGTAGACTCCAGATTCGACATGAGCAATTTGTGATCGCTCGCCACCTCATCGATCGCCCAGGGACAGTTTGCCAGCTCAACATGGGGCGTGGTAAGACCCGAGTGATCCTACCCATGCTTTTTCTGTATTTCGCTCAAAATCGCTCTTCACGTGTCATCCGTGCCCATTTCCTAAGTCCATTGCTGAGCGAAGCTCGGCAATTCATGCATCGGTATTTGTCGGCAACTGGCGCTTGCCTAGACGTGTTTGAACAGCCGTTCCACCGAAAGGTTGACCTGGATCTGCGTAGGCTTGAGTTTGTCCGTGACACACTTGCAGAATTAAAGCGTTCGGGTGGTATTCAAGTGGTAGCTCCGGAACATCGCATGTCACTTGAGCTCAAACGCCTGGAATTGGGTAATGATGGTCCTGCGGTGGAGGTACTCGATGCAATCCTTGATAGTAACCAATTTGTCGATGTTCTTGATGAGTGTGATGCAATACTCCATCACAAGTATCATTTGGTGTATGCGGTCGGTACACCGATTCCTCTTGGTAGTGGAATAGAACGGTGGACGGTCACAGAAGCTGTACTGCGAGTTGTGGCGAACCAAACAGCCAGTTCTCGCGTCCGTAAGGTGCTACAAGCTGCACATGTTTCCTGCTTTTCCCCAGACTACGTCACCCGCTTGGGTTCATACGACGGTACTCGGCTGAACACTCTTGTGGAAAGCACGAAACTCATGCGCCATAAACTCAAAGAGGCCTTAGTGCTGGATCTCATCGACGAAGCTCCATTTGAACTGATGTGGCTAAATACTTTTGGTGGCAATGCTGCACGACCACCAATTGTCACGGCTATTACTGATTCGACCGTAAGTCTACAGGAAGCTCTTGGCGACGGCTTGGCAAAAATTACGCCTTTCGTAGCTCAATTACTGGCGATGAGAGGACTCGTGGCATTCGGAGTGCTCGAGCATTGCTTGGAGAAACGCTATCGAGTCGACTTTGGACTTCCAGTTTGTGGTACACGGCAAAAAAAGGTTGCCATTCCGTTTCGTGCTGCGGATGTTCCATCGGAACGGTCAGAATTCAGCCACCCTGACGTTTGTATCGTGCTCACTCTGCTTGGATATTACCACGGCGGCCTGACAAAGGAGGAGGTCCGAGATGCGTTCAAGGTGCTGTTGCGCTTGGACATCTCGGAGCAAGAGCATCAGTACGATCGATGGTTTGTCAGCGTCGAGCCGGGATTGACTGACACTGATCGGATGGCTCTGTGCAACGTGCGCCATATTAGTCTTGCCGACAGCCGACAATTCGAGACGTTGTGTCGAGTCTACAAGTACTGCATGGAGGCGATAAATTTCTATTTGAACACATGTGTGTTTCCCAACGATACGCAGCAGTATCCGCAACGATTGTCCCGAACAGCGTGGAATCTTGCAGCAGGAGACAGTACGATCGGATTCTCCGGCACGAACGATAATCACCGTTTGCTCCCACTTTCGGTGGCGCAACGAGAGCCAAATGAGCCGTCATTGCTGGGCACGAACGGAAAGATGATCGACACGATCATGCGGGTGACACACAGTTACGAGGTGATCAATCCCAGTCCGAGACGCGGACTAATACCATGGCAGAGTGTGCTTTTATTCGCCATCGACAAGACAGCACAAGCTCTTATCGATACTGGCGCGCTTCTTGCAGGCGTTGTAAACAGTGATGCAGCAAAATTTCTTCTGGAACAACCTGACTTTGCGTTTGCTGGCGTAACATTCTATGACAGCAGGAAAGAGCACAACTGCTGGATGATCGCTGAGAAGACTCGACAAATCGTCATGCCATTGGAGCAAGCGCCGATGCATGAGAAGGAAACGTTTGTCATTTTTGACGAAGCGCGCTCGCGAGGGTCGGATCGAAAACTAAGTCACAACGCTTCCGCATTAATAACTTTGGGGCCGAAACTTGCAAAAGATAAACTGATGCAAGGTGCAGGACGAATGAGGCAACTTGGATGCAATCAGACGCTGTGGATCGCTAGTTTTGATGAAGTCGCGCAGAGCGTCCTTCAAACGAGTGGAAAACGAGCACTTTCACGTGTGTCTGTAATCGATGTGCTGAATTGGGTGATGGACAACACGAAAGCGGAGGCAGTGCGTGGATTGCTTGACTGGGCAGGAAATGGTATCCATTTTCGGAAGACGCAGCTAAACCCGAACAAAGAGTTGGTTGATGAGAACTGGTCGTTGGAGACGATGTACCAAGAAAAGCTACATGTGGATAAAATTGCGAAGATCATTGACTCGAAGGCGCACCTCGATTCCAAGCTCTCTGCGGATGCGGTGGTCGACGAAATTTGTTGCAGGGGATTTGTGTACGGACTCGACGATGAAGTGTGTGTGACTTCACACACCGACGAGTGCGAACGAGAGCTCCAGATCGAGGAAGAGATAATTCAGGAGCGAGAAGTTGAAGTGATGAAGTGCGTTCCGGTCGAGGAGAAGGTTTGGAAGTACGAGAAGATTTTGTGTGCCAGGTCAGTGAAAGACCTTAACGGAGTTGTGCAGGTGGTGGAGATGACAGATTTTATCCGTCAATCGGTCATACCGAAGGAGATGGCGAGTCTGGCTTGGTCGAGTTCGCGGATCTTTGGCACTGTGAACTTTTTTACAACAATCGGAACGTGTAACACACAGACGAGCGTGAAGCAAATGAACGCATTTCTGCGGATGATTGATGTCGTACTGGTGTTTCGAAACGGTCAAGTTCTCTTGTTGTCTGAGTGTGAAGCTGATCACATACTTGAGCTGCTCTGGTCTGCCCGTGGAAGAAAGCACTGTGACTTCAGGTTTATCAATCTCGCTTTTGCACGCGAAAGCCTTGCTCGTGGCGGGACAATCACCAAGTTCCGTGATGTTCACCTGGCACTTGGACAGCAACTGGACCAAGAACTACCGCTACTGTCGACGATTGCTTGTCACGTGTTCAATGGCGAAACGATGATGGCAAAGGAACAGCGAGCGAAAGTGGAGCAAGCATTCCGCGACCTGCTTCGTCCACTGGCGCAGCGAGAAACGACGCTGAGCAATTTCGTGACGTCGCGAGGTAATAGCCACAAGTGGATGCGTTCGTTTCTGCACGAACTTTGCCGCCGGATGGATCTCGAGTATTGCACCCAAGGATGAGCGATTGTGCTGTGGTTCTACTTGGAGCAAGATTGAATGTCTTGGATGTAGTCAATGTGAAGCTCAAATGCCACACATGAGTCAATTTCAGAACATATTGCCAATTTTGTTGGTCTGTCCTTGAAGCACTGCTTCGTCGTTTGTGCTTCGCATATAGATAATTCAAGTGTGGCTCCTGGATTGCACCCCATTGCTGTTCCTGATGCGGTCGAAATAACAAGACAATAACTGTTTCGCATCATAACTCAGCTAAATCATGAATAGCTAAATGTTCGGGTACAAATGAGGATGCATCTAGGCAGCTTGACCACTGCGAATATTTGGCTACCAAACTCCCTCGCCGATGATGAAATGCCTGCACTACCTGGTACATCGAATCGTACGAGTAAGAGATTGCTCTTAGCTGAGATAGGTTCTCGATCGGTACTTGTCACCAACTCTGATCATATTGTTCATGATAGCATTTCTGTACTGATACGTTTGAATTGCAACTTTTATTTTATAATGCTCGAATTTACATGTATGCAGGTAAAGCTATCGGTGCTTAGAAACGGGCACTCTCCTGGTTTATCGATAGTCATCTAGTTGAGCTCGTCCAAGAAATCACTCAAGTATTCGGTCGAGGATCACATCTGATCCCGTGCCGCAATCTGATTCATCACTCGTCCTCCTTTCAATCACCTTTTGAAGGTTACCGTCCGACAAAAACAAGTTTCGAAAAAGCTGTCGTCGTCAGTTACCGAAATAGTTGACGCGTTTAATTTACTTGCACTAAAGTGGTCGTCATTTATCGTGATAGTTGACGCATTGTAGTTTACTTGCACTCAAGTGTCTTGATGAACGGGTCTTAATCGGTCGCGAGCGCTTCTATTTGTCCTGCTTTGACTCTTAGTCTTCTTTAGCAACCGGACACTTGGTGCATTTACACGAACATTCATACTACAATTATCGCCCATACAATAAATATAACTACGGCAGCAACACAATTTGTAATTATGACTTTGACGTACACCTGGACATCGAAGTCATAAATACAAATCATGTTGCTGCCATGTTGATATTGTAAGGGCGACTGGAGGGGTATCTCCAAAATTGGGTACGATGTGGCTGCCGTTAATGGATGTTACGAATGTACAGATGCACAAGTGGCACGACAGAACGTGACTTGGCTGTTGTTTCTCGAGTTTTACAGAAGGAAGTTGCGTGACAAGTTTGTTTTTCCTTAAAGTTGTGATGGTTAGGGACCACGGCCGGTACCTATCTCCCCCAGGCCTTTCGAGCTCACTTTCAATTCACGAGCTATGAAGCACGCTCGGGATGTCGATGACTTGGATGAGTTTGCGCCGAGCAAGTGGTTTAAGACGAATCATGACGAGCTGCTCAATGTGGTTTTCCGCTTCAAGCACAAGGCTCCGAGTGACCGGCAAGACGAAAGTCTGTGCCGGACTTTAGTGGAGCAATTTGCAGCATTTGTAGCAACACTCAGACCTGCTGTGACCGAGTCTAGTCACCGTTGTGCCCTGGCTAACCCTGTCATCGACGACCGGATCGTTCCAGTTGGAGACTTTACGGTCCACGAAGTTGAGACCTTACGAAATGCTTGTCGTAGCATGGAATCCTTGGCAGATGATATACATGAACGAGGAGATGTGTGGTACCATCCATGGCTACCGGCTTATGGATGTGCATTGCAATGGACAAAGGTTAACGCCGGAGTGGTAAAATTAGACGTGATCTGTGTCGATGGATGGGAACGAACGTTACACTTTTTGTCAACGGGGGTATGCGTGCACAGCGCCGTTTCCAAGACCTTCAGTGAAATAGCTTGTGCAAATTTGGATTGTAGCTTGGAGCAGAAATTCGGCAAAGTGTTTGAGTCAAAGTTACAGAAAGCGCAACAAAGTAGGGGATCGAAACGAAGTGCTGCATCTCAAAGTCTAGGACACCAAAAGACACCACAGTTTATTGCTGCGGTGGTTCGTCGTGCTGTTGCAGCAGTTGCTGGAAGGTTGGACAGCATAGGAGACGAAGACGAAAGCGAAGGCGACAGTGACACGGACGAAAGCATTGTTCCTCATGGAGGAACGACAGACGTGGGACAGCACACAGGAGGACGACCACGTGATACTTGCTGGCCGATTGTTCAGGCTGCAATTGCAAAACAAATTTGCTGTGGTCGAGGGTTGTACCAAAAGACAATGGTGATGTTTCGGCTACATTTGCTTCATGCATCTATGCACGATGTACAGAGCGACTTTAATCGTGGTGTTGGTGTAAAAGACGGATGTGACGCGATCGATGACTTGTTTTTTATGCTTCAAGTGGTGGTTGAAAACACTGTTAAGCTGTTAGAGCTTGGATACAACATCGCAGCTCTCGAGTGTCAATGCAGCTCTGTGAGAGCTAGTATCGATAGATTACTTGGATCTTTGAACCACAGGTCACAAACACGATTTTGTCTACCAGAGCGTGAAAAGTTGCAGCAGCTCCAAAGTTTTCAAGGCCGTGTTCAAGTAGACTGGCTTGAACACGAAAAGTTTACGAGTGTTGAAGCCAGCGAGGAAGAGCGCCATCTTCGTGCATTGACAAACCTGAAAGGATGCTGGTACCTTGATGGAACCACATGCAGTCTGAGCACTTTGATCGACTGGGAAAGATCCACCAACGCCTCAAAATCGTGCAAGTGTTTATTGGCAATGCGGACGGTTGAGTCTTTCATGTTTGCAAGATCGATCCACTTGAACAAAGACAATATCGACCAGCTGTCTAACGATGACGATGACAACGATTTATTCGCTGCAAACATCAAGGTGCTCGTCACTACGTACAAGAAGAACGTCGATGAACAGCACCAACTTCCTCAATTGACGTCCGTTCTACAAGTCGAGCAACGCAGTCGAGAGATGCTGGTCATGTGGATTGCATTTTGTCTCGTTCATCAGCGATGCGTACGTCAATTCCCTCTGTGCAGAGAGTATAGTATCGCACTCGCGTGGCAGGATTTAAAAGTGGCTGTACTAAGAGATCAGACTGCCATTAGTGCTCTGAAAGACGTGTGCAAATACATTCGTGGTTGGAACAAGAGGGCACAAGGACCTCCGCTCTTCCACTTGACCACACAGAGCCCAACGTTCGAGTTTGGGCGGAGATACGCGCTGAGCAGCGAAAGTATGATCGATACTTATAACTCTGAGGTCGAAAGCTGGGATCGGCATGTGCAGAGCAAATGGAAAGAGGTGGAAGAAAAGAGAAGCAGGGCAGCAGATATTCGTGCAGAGCTTTCGACAGCGACTGAAAAGCTACAGTCAAAGCAACGTGAGCTGGCAAATGAACGTTCATGCGGATCAAGTGGGCGTGGGGAAAGCAAAGCAGTGATACAACTAAATTGCAAAATCTCGTCGTTAAAGTCCAAGATCAAGTCAGCAAAATGTTCGTTAAAAAGAGCTCTCGGTGCTCCTCCTCCTCTAGTCCGACCATTACCAAATGCGAAAGATGATGCCATGCAACTCATCTTCATGCTGGCCATGCCAAGAAGCCTTGAAATACTTGGAAGCCTGTGTTGTACAGCTCAACGCACTCTTGCACCAACGGAACCGACAGATGATATAGCGACGTATTCCGGTCTAAGCAACACCACATGGAAGGATTTCTACGTTAAACATCGACGATGTCAAGCATTGTGTCCGACCACTACTGAACTTGTAGCAACTGCCGGCACATTTTTTCTTCCAGCATCTAGTGGAGCACCATCCGTGGACAGTTTGTGCAGCATCGCTCACTTTAAATCACAGCATGTAGTGAGCCCGATACTGCAGCATACGAAACTCACGTGGAAAGACTCAGCTGGTGATGTGCTGAATCCATTCAATGCTACTCAGGCGAGTATAACGGACAGCTTTATCGAGAGGCTTCCGCGTTCATATGAAAACTTCCAGTGGATGAATGTGTGGCCAGGTGGAAACGCTGCACGAGGAAACTTAGTCTACTCTCGGTTGAACCACGTTCCAGATGCGTTTGAGAAAGTATCATTTATTGCTCTCGGATCGCTGCGATCCTTCCCAAACCAGCAGTTTAGAAAACTTCAATGTGCCTTACTAAGTGATACCTTGCCGTGGTCAAACTCGTTGGTTTGTACCATTGTGCGGCAGTCGCTTTATCAAATTGGGGACATGTCGGATGTGGACGAGCCAAAGCTGGTATGGAAGACGGATATGTTGCAATACGAAAATGGCCTAAACACATTTTGCACCACACTACGTGCTATTGCTGACAAGTTAGGGCAAACGCCACGGTGCTATGAGAACATTCCGCTACTCAGTGAACTAGCTGGATACCTGTGTCAGTTCAGCAGCGCCGCAAATCCTGTCGTGAAGCTGTTTTCCAGAATGGCGAGAACCTGGGCCGATAATTCACGTGTGGAAGGCGAAAGTGATCGCACTACTGATCGTACTGCCACGCTCCACCAGAACCAATGTATTTTGTACGGTTACGCGCTTTTAGCCTATACACTCGGACCGTTGGACAATGCAGCGTCCCAGGATGTGTGCGAGCTAATCGTTTTATTCCGCACCTCATTTATGTGTGCAAGCATTAGCACTGCCTCCACGACAAATATGCTTTGCGTTGAAAGCAGAGTTACTGAGATGATGACTCGTCGAATCGCACAGCTGATCTACTTCGTCGAAAAGAGCGGCACTAGTGCCGTCCTTACGTCGTTGGTAAAATTGGTATGTCCGCGATCTCCTCGTCAACTCGAGTGGACGCAAGTCAATGAAGAACCAATAAACGAGAACTGCTTGGGAAGCTGCTTCGAATCCTCTGGAGCTCACTATGCTATCAACCTTTTCACAGGAGTTGTCTTGACTGATGGCAATACTCCTGGGGGGCTGCCGCCTACTATTCGTGAGCACCAGCGATTTCAGACTCTATTTGGACGCTGTGATTTCGAAGTGTTTTACGTGAACGGCGTGTTTCAGACCAAAAGCTTGTACTGCGACCGATTGTACGAGTTCGCGATTCAGGGAGATGACGTGCATATTCAAGAGCTCGTCGTTGAGACATCGGAAAATGCTGGAAGTACCTTTCGGTTATGCCCTCTTGCCTGGATCGAGTCGATCAGTGACCACTTGCCAACTCGGCTGTGGGAATTATATTCACATTGGCACTGGGTGGAGAAAAATTGTATACTTTTTCGACCCAAGGAAGCCAAAGATAGGGAAGTCTTCTTTATCACAACAATCGATGAACACGATGGTCTACAATGTTTCCGGGTGCCATATAGTGACACGCACAATGCCAACGTCCTCATCTTACAGCAGTGCAGAGCCTACGACCGGTTTGATAAGCAGAATGAAATTTTGCAGAGCGTTTTTAGTGTGCTGACAAAATTCGAGGAGAACCGATTTTTGCATGTGATGAGGTCTCCTGAGGGTGTGTTGAAAATTGAGCTGCCACGATTCAAGCTGGGTTTTTTTCTTAATAGTCGAATGCAGTTCGAATCGGTCGAACACATCGGATACGTGTTGGCAACACAGCAGCAGTTTGACGATTTTCTACCGCGATTTGAGAGGTATCTGCTGCTTGAATTGCAAGACAAATTTGACACAACACGACCAGAGCTTCGCATGCTACTGCCGTCTGGCTCTGTCAAGGAGATTCCGAATGGGATGGTTGATATTGAGATCCCTTATACAGCACAGAGTCGCATCGATGTGGCATGCTTTGATGTTCATCGCCGCTTAAGGACATTTGAAGCCGAGACGATTGGTGCTAGACTTCTGCTTGCTGCGGTGTGTGTTCGTGCTGGAACAAACATACCAAGCAAGCGGTTAATGATGACAGGATCAGAGGCAGCTGTGCAAATTTTACGGTCGTGCCACTCGAGCCAATCGTGCTCACCAGAAGAAAGGGAACTTTTGGTGTCGATCTGCGAGCTGAGCTTTCGCATACCGGCAGTCAAAATTTTGGCGGTGGCTTTGCTGACGAAATCTAAACAACTAGACTTTATTCGTGGTAAAGAAGGACAAACGACAGACATGTCAATGTGGGGAATCGATGAACAAACCGAGTATGACGACTTGTGCTCAGGGAGGGTTCATTATAACTGTTTGCGTTCGTACTTCCAAAACAAAGAGGAGCGGACTCTGTTTGGCCGTGCTCGACGTGTACTACATGCCCCGTTTTCTCCTGAGTTCGTGTCACATATTCCACTTCCTGAAGCTAGAAACTATGCTAAAGTGGTTGAAGAGAAGCTGCAATGTTTTGTGCACTTTACAACGCATTCCAGAGCCGACAATAAATTGCCGCTTAACAGGCGACCAACGGCTGGTGTGATGAGCGGAACTATGTCGGACGACCTGGAATTTAGCTGGAAGTGGTACCAATCGCAAGCTCAAGCACGATTGAAGGTCCCACCTGGCGTGCTGATTGATGAATTGATGTTATTGCTCAGTGGTGTTGCATCCTGTCGTAGCGAGATGGAAAAGTACTTGAGGAATGTACATGCTATGGCTGGAAGCAACGCTCGTGATCGTCTCCTTTCACTGGCTAACGTTTTGCCCACAATGACCATCAGCGATATTGTAAAGTGTTCGTTCGACGACGAGATGCTGTACGCGCTGACGCAGAAGCTAGCAAAGACGTCGAGACAGGAGTTCAAAGAGGTTGTTCTTCAATATATGGAGCTTTGTGTTTTGGAAGACAAGGTCGAGAGACTGATCTGGAAGGCAAAGCGTAGTAGCGAATTGTCCGAGTCCGAACTGGTGAACGAATTACTGAACGTGCGTCAGTGGGAATCGACCGAGTATCCGTACTGGCTAGCGTTTGAAGTGGAAGGGAGACTCCAGATTCGGCATGAGCAGTTTGTGGTAGCAAGCCACCTGATAAAAAAGAGTGGGACGGTTTGCCAGCTCAACATGGGTTGCGGCAAGACTCGGGTAATTTTGCCAATGCTGTTTCTGCATTATACTCTACGAACAAATCGTCCACGAGTTGTTCGTGCACACTTTTTGGGGACTTTGCTTAGCGAAACGCGGCAATTCATGCACCGATATTTGTCAGCTTCCGTCGCCCAACTCAACATTTTTGAACAGCCGTTTGATCGTGGTAGTGCCTTGGACGCCCGGAGACTCGAACTTGTTCATGATGCACTTCAAGAGACTAAGCTCTTTGGCGGCATACAAATGGTATCTCCTGAACATCGCATGTCGCTGGAGCTGAAGGCTCTGGAGTTGGGCGACAAACACGCCCTCACACCAAAGTTAAATGAAATTCTGAGCAAGACCGAATTTATTGATGTTTTGGACGAGTGTGATGCACTTCTTCACCACAAGTACCATTTGGTGTATGCTGTGGGTACGCCAAAGTCGCTGTGCAACGGAGTCGAAAGGTGGACTATCGCAGAGGCTTTGTTGCGCATTGTGGCAGATTCATCGATAACCTCTCGAGTGAAGAGTGTGCTCCAGACACCACGTGTGTCATGTAATTCTCCTGACTACGAAAATCGATTAGGTGCTTACCCAGGAACTCGACTCAATACGGTGGTAGAATGCACCGAGCATCATCGGGACGAGCTGAAAAGAGCTTTGGTTCTAGACCTGATTGATAATGCACCTTTTGAGTTGATGTTTATGAAGGCACTGGGAAATGGAACGGCAGTTGATGCACTAATGACAGCCATAACGGACCCAACGATAAGTTTGCAAATTGCCCTTGCGGACCACGTTCAAAGGTTTTCATCTTACATGTGTCATCTGCTTACTATGCGGGGACTCCTGGCGTTCGGAGTGCTCGAGCATTGCTTGGAGAAACGCTATCGAGTTGACTTTGGACTTCCAGTTTGGGGTACACGGCAAAAAAAGGTTGCCATTCCGTTCTCTGCTGCGGATGTTCCATCGGAACGGTCAGAATTCAGCCACCCTGACGTTTGTATCGTGCTCACTCTGCTTGGATATTACCACGGCGGTCTGACGAAGGAGGAGGTCCGAAATGCGTTCAAGATGCTGTTGCGCTTGGACATCTCGGAGCAAGAGCATCAGTACGATCGATGGTTTGTCAGCGTCGAGCCGGGATTGACTGACACTGATCGGATGGCTCTGTGCAACGTGCGCCATATTAGTCTTGCCGATAGCCGACAATTCGAGACGTTGTGTCGAGTCTACAAGTACTGCATGGAAGCGATAAACTTCTTCTTGAACACGTGTGTGTTTCCCAACGATACGCAGCAGTATCCGCAACGATTGTCCCGAACAGCGTGGAATCTTGCAGCAGGAGACTGTACGATCGGATTCTCCGGCACGAACGATAATCACCGTTTGCTCCCACTTCCGGTGGCGCAACGAGAGCCAAATGAGCCGTCATTGCTGGGCACGAATGGAAAGATGATCGACAAGATCATACGGGTGACACACAGTTACGAGGTGATCAATGCCAGTCCGAGACGCGGACTAATACCATGGCAGAGTGTGCTTTTATTCGCCATCGACAAGAAAGCGCAAGCTCTTATCGATACTGGTGCGCTTCTTGCAGGCGTTGTAAACAATGATGCAGCAAAATTTCTTCTGGAACAACCTGACTTTGCGTTTGCTGGCGTAACATTCTATGACAGCCGGAAAGAGCACAACTGCTGGATGATCGCTGAGAAGACTCGACAAATTGTCATGCCATTGGAACAAGCGCCGATGCATGAGAAGGAAACGTTTGTCATTTTTGACGAAGCGCGCTCGCGAGGGTCAGATCGAAAGCTAAGTCACAACGCTTCCGCATTAATAACTTTGGGGCCAAAACTTGCAAAAGATAAACTGATGCAAGGTGCGGGACGAATGAGGCAACTTGGATGCAATCAAACGCTGTGGATCGCAAGTTTCGATGAAGTTGCGCAGAGTATCTTGCAGTCAAGTGCTCACCGGGAGATTCCGATGTTGACTGCAGTCGACGTGTTGAACTGGGTGATGGACAACACAAGAGATGAGTGTATTCGGGGCCTACTAGAATGGTCAAAAAGTGGTCTTCAGTATCAAAAAACACGGCTCGATCCCAAGTCCGAGCTGGTCGATGAAGATTGGTCTTTGGAGTTTCTGTACCAGGAAAAGCTAGTCACGGACAAGATTGCCCGAATTGTTGAGTCGCAGGCCCACCGTGTGTTTGGAGACTTTGATAATGCCTTCGTCGCTCAAATATGTCGTAGAAGCCGTACGTACGGACTTGACGACGAAGTTTGCTGCATTTCACACACAGGCGAGTGTGAGCGTGAAATACGTGTGACGCAAGAGAAAAATCAAGTGGACGACAATGAGGTGGCTGAACGCACGCCATCGGAAGAGACGACGTGGAACTATCGAAAGGTTTTACAAGCTCGGTCGGTCGAGGAGCTCCACCGCGAAGTTGAAGTGATGACCCTGGAAGGCTACACTCGAAAATGGATCTCCCCTGCCAATTTCGCGGACTTTTCTTGGGCCAACACACGCGTCTTCGGGACTAAAAATTTCTTCACTACAATCATGGCGCGAAATGCCATGGATCGTATGAACGAGTTTCTACGCGTGATTGATGTTGTGCTGATGTTTGATAATGGCCAAGTGCTACTCGTATCCGAGTGCGAAGCAGATCACATTCTAGCGCTTCTCTGGTCAAGCAGTGTCAAGTCTTCGAATTTTCCATTCAGCTCAATTGGAAAGGAATTGCCTGAGTGTTCCTTCCGCTTTGTGAATTTTGCCTTTGCTTGCGAGAGTGTTAATGGGGTTGAAGCCCCTTCCAAGTTTCGTAACGTGCACATGGTTCTCGGCACCAAATCGGATCATCGAGATCAAGATCTTCCACTATCGCCAATCGTAGCTTGTTATTTATACAATGGCGAGACAATGCTCACGAATCACCAGGAAATTGTCATGGAGCCCATTTTGCGTGATTTGCTCCGTCCGGGTGTTCAACGAGAAACAACATTGAGCAACTTTGTCAAGTCACGAGGGAACGGCCATAAGTGGATGCGCTCGTTTCTGCATCAACTATGCTGCCTCATAGACTTGGAAGAGTGTAATCGATAAGGTGCTGTCAGAAGTGTGGTAGTCTATTTGGTCGGTAATTATTCGTTTGCTATTGTTGTCAATAATGATGCAAAACTGTGGACACTGTGATAGTTAAAGCTCGTAAGTGATGTTGACGGCATAGATAGGAAACAGCAGAGAAGCTGAAAATCCGACGAGAATGTTCTAGTGACCAGAATGGTCCATTACATAAGAGCTCACTTCCACCACCACGCATAAGTGTGTTTGCTATTGCTGGATATGGTAGAGAGGCGGTTTTCTCTCTAGCTTGAATGACTAAAAAATCGGGCTCTGTATCGAGATACTCTCATTAATTGTTTTTTTGTGGGTGCAGTGGGTACATTTAGTACTTCTGACGATCGACGTCTACCCTCTTCGGCGAGGCTTACGCATCCGCAACCGGATGGACAATACTTACTAACTTCTCCAGGAGCCAGCGAGTCCAGGGCCCTCAAGTATTCGATGTTGGGGGTTTATGCTTCTACGAAAGGCCGAGATCAGTCGTACCGGGCGGTACAGCTGAGACTTTTGCGTCACACATTTTCAACGACCTTGGGTTGGTCGTACGGGGGACCGAACCTTCATTGGAACGGTGGTGCTTACCCAACGCACCGAGAGGGAACCCCATTTTCATAAATGAAAAAAATCCCACTCACAAATGAGAATGGAATTTTTTAGCCATTTTAAATTTCTTCTGAGTGGTCGTACCTTCATTCACTATTCAAGGTTTCAAACGTTAGGGTGTTCGGCAGAGTCGCAGTACTAACGAAAGATGACCGTGATAAAATTTGCAACAATGTCTGCGTTAAGCGGTTCATACCCTCACTGAGATTGTGTCCAAGTCGTTAGTTGGTAGGCAAAACTCGAATAGATATTGATACTATTGTGCTCACAATTTTGCCTACAACATTTTATTCCGTCTGAAACATGCCTACGTGTCTACTACGCACCAATTTTTGCTTTTCATGCTATCTGCCGTCAGAAACCTGATCATTTTAATAAACCTTCCAATTCTAGCGGCCTCGTATAATGAAGTTCTCACACCGACTAACCCTGCTGGACTATTGTAGACATTTGATGCATCAAATTGATGCCTTGGGACTTGGCCTCTATGCAAAAACTGCTGCAAGGGTCCTTGCCAGTAGCAAAATCGAGACTGGTCTTTTTAGTGTGCTTGTTTATCATTCAACTACGAACAATGATCAAACTTTTGTTTTGTGTCACATTTGTTGCTAAATATCGCACGCGAGGGATAGGCATACTGCCTTATGTGTAGGCTACGTCTCGGTGTACTGTATTCCTTAGCACGTCTTAACATTCTTTTTTGCACAGACAACTCGCAGTTTAAACGCGTACATGTGTATTACAGTCACATTTGATTTACACAGAGAAAGTAGCAAAAGCGTCACACATTTTTTTGGCAATTGCTAAACGGCTGGGTTCATTTTTTTAATTTGGCTGGGTCATCCTGATTCGTTATTAGAGGTAACTCAGCTATACGCCCAAAATTCGTCAGAGTAAATTCTAAATGTTCAATTCACCATTACTTTTCGTCTGTGAAAGCCCAAAATGACGGTATCAGTGCATTTTGCAGCTGCAAACATATCTCAGCTCTTTCCTGGTTCGCGTTCTCAGACGAGAATTTATCGTTTTTCGAGGCAATTTTTACGCAATCGCTCAATCTCACATCATTACCTCACAGTTAACTACGTCTATTAAAACACGGTGCGTCATCACAAAACTGAGGCTCATGTGTCGCATAGTATTACGAAAGTTCTGGTTATAGTTGATATTATACTGCCAAGTTACGGTTCAGGCTGGCATTGATATTTGTGTATATGACATTTTGAATGTAGTAGTATACCCTCATGTGACGGAATACCAGGAAAGGCTGTCCTTTCCATGCGAATGAATATAGCGACATGTTGCTACAAAGTTGTAAATCACGAGGTGCACGCATTGATGCAGCGCCGAGGTCTGGCTGATCTCCACACCGTTAACATCAAACACAATGCGTCATGCAACAAGGATGCAACTAAAGGTTGATTGCCGACTTTGCAGCATCAAATTATTCGTCTTCTCCTCTCTCAAAGTATCATCTACGGCTTCGTCACTTGCGTGCAATAATCAAAGGAGTGTCAAGCAAGCGGCCTCCAATTATACCAGAACGTGAATGACCGAGTCCCTTCATCGCCAAATGTTAACTCAACAACCATTTCCTTTAAATCTTGTTCGATCACTACTCCTTCGAATTCAACTACGTACCAGGTCCACGCACCTTTTTACATGTCCCTATTATAAGTAAAAGCGTACATCTTTCTCATTCAATGGGTTCCGCACAGAGACCACACTCAGCACTCCAGCACTCGGACCATTCGGTTCTCCTGGCGTCGTAGGCGCCACAGCAGCTTTACGATAAATCTATCCACGTATTTATTTTATGAGATTAAATGTGCGCACGCATCGACTTGACCCATTACTCCATATGTTTGGATGTACATGCTTGACAAACATCTTTGGTGCAGGTGTTACGACCCCGATACGATTGGCCTTGCTATTCAATTAGCTCTTCCAGAGAATGTATCCGGCATAGCTTCAAGGCCGCCTTTAATGACCTTCATGCCATATTCCCTGTAATAAAGAAATCAATACTTTCCTTGTAATTGGACAGATGTTCTTCTGCTAGTACAAATCAGGTCGTCTTCCAATTGGCAACGCGGACATACATACTGAGCCAGCCCATTCCATGTGGAAATTCTACTTACTCAAGATGAAGGTGTTTGTGACATCGTCATATAGAGACGACGAAGAGAATGTGATATGCTCAAGTGTATCGCATACGGTAGTGGTGACAAGACCGCACTTACGAATTTTTAAATATGAACGATGTTGCACTTACTAAAAAAACGCTTGTGTTGTTGTAGCTCGTGTGATTATGTTCAGCCAAAAAGTAGGGACTGTAGTAGCGTCTTAGGCGCGAATCGTACGAAAATCTTTATTGTGAGCTAGCACGGGCAAGCGATGGAAACAGTATTAGTGAATTATAGATTTGAGGTTTACTCCTGACGAAAATGGGCGTACAGCTGAACTACTTCGATTAACGAATTAGAATGACCGAGCCAAATGAAAAAAGAACCCAGCCGTTTAACATTTGCCTTGAAATGAAGTCGTTGTAAGCTCACTTGTATGTATACCATGGCTAGACTGAATCTAAGTATCCAAGAATTTTGCTACTCCACAACTCGCCACGACAAGAACGATGCCAAGAGTGCGCACGTACCTCACAGCCTAGCAGAACAACAAACTCCGTGAACACTGGGTTGCAAAACTAACTTCGCGCAGAATCAACTGACCAGCCGGATTTACATCAAATGAAGGCGGCGTGTTGAGCGCTGGACCGTGAGCGAGATCATAGACGTTGCTTGCGAGGCAACATTTAAAATCTCTTAGTAAAGCGCAAGAAGGAACAGCGACACGCAGAAATGGAAGACTTCCTGTTTGACTGTTTCCTTTTAGCTCAAGAGCGAGCAAGCATCAGCGACGCGATGATCTGGTTAAGAGCGAACGATCCGCTCTGCGCAGAGCCCTTCGAGCTTACCGTATCATTCTTCTAAGTATTTCGGCCGTAGGTGAAGCATGAAATCAAATTGCGTTACCTGCATGATAAGGTGAGCAAAGTAGACGCGAGATCGCTAATTATCCAGCACAAAAACCTGCATGAGCAGCTGTTGGAGCAAGATCAGTCAGACTTCTTTAATGTGGTAGATACGAGTCTTTATTTCGCATGCAGACGGCCGGAAAATCTCTATACACGCACCTTCAGGTTGCAAGAAGGAAGAGGCGGATCGCGGTCGAGTTCTGCGCTAACATGGCCGAAAAAGGGAAGATCAATTCGCTCGTAATCAACCATCACCATTCCCCCTGCAAAGGGCGATTTTCCTAACGCGGCTAGATCTGATTTTTCGTCCTATCAAAAAGAGTAGATTATAATTGATCATTATGATTAATTGAAATCGTTCAATCTCAGCATTGGTAGCCACAACCAAATTTGCCTACTACTCCGTGAGGATTTGGAGGAGAATCCGGTTCAGTCTTTACTAGGCCGTCTAGAGAACACCGTTCAACAGCTCACGGGGAATCCCGGTCAGCATGGAACTTACCTCAGTTAATGCTGAGGTCGGGGAAGCGCTGAAGGACCCACACCCTCCGGAATGGGGGGGGGGTGGGCCAGTCTGAAGCTCTCACAGGGCAGCGGGTGGAGGAAGAGGGGTCCCAACCCTCCCTCGATCAACATCAGTGTGGACCACACACTCATGCTCGGGCCACTCAATTTAAGAATGGAGGGGGCGGGACCCAGCCAGGCATGACGTTACTTGCGACGGGAAAGGGCAGTTGGGGGCGGGATTTCGGCTTGGAGCGGGCAGGACGTATGGGCGGGGGCGAATGTGTGGACGGATCTAGTCCGGACCACCATGGGTCATCCCTTACTTCTTCGTCGAGGGCTGCGGGTGCGCCTAATTCGTCGGGGCGATTGCAGCGTTCAGCACGCGTCGCTTCATCTACCAGCGATTCCGATACTGCACGGGGCAGGGCGGCAGCTGAGGCTCCGGTGGGGAGGTTGGACCACTCTTTGCACTCCCCCGCCCCGACTGGTACAGATCCAGTTCTTGGGGAAACTCAGCGGGGGCGGCCGGTTCCGAACGAGGATTCTGCAGAAGTAAAGGTTCAGCCTCCTCCCATTTGTGAGCGCTGAAGAGATGTTTCGGGCTGTCACGACAGAATTACGAGCCTCGCCGGAGGCGGAGCAACGCGATTCCTGGAAGGCGACTGTAGTGGCTTTATTTTCTGACGTGTTCGAGTCTGTAAAGGTCAATCCGGATCGTGTGCCACCGGCTAAGAAACGCTATCCACTACTGAAGGGAGTGGAGCCAGCGCTTCTCCTCAGTTTTTTGAGCAAGTGAGTGTCGTGGATCGCTGTACCTTCGATCAATGGTGCGGGTACGCGCGGACAATAAGTCGAGACTTGTATAATACGACGTGGTCGCTGTCGACCATTTTAGCGAGCATGACCAGCAAGGTCAAATGGGCACGTAAACCTGTTATGAACCAATGGGTTGCAACGGTAGCCGGGCAGGCTGCACCAGCCAGATCGGACGAGATTCTCCCTGCTCGAGAACATTACCAGCAGTATATGTTCAATCCGGAAAAGCATGCTGCGGCTACCGTTGCTCGGCTCCGTTCACTGTGTGAAGCGCAGGACACGCGCTCCACGGGTACCCGGCTTCGGGATGGTACGGATGAAGAGTGGGAAATCATTCAGGGGCTTGCGGAGGGTTACTTTGTGAGCCGCTCATGCCCACACTTTATCAAGAAAGTGTTAAATGCGAAAGATCGATTGCGACTCCAGTCGACCATTCAGCTGCAAGTCGAAGGAGAGCTATCATTCTCCTTGGCTGGGCAAGGAGCAATTCCATTTAGTCGACAGCATACCCAGGCACTGAAGGAAGACATACTGCTGGCGGCCGAAGGGTTGAAGGTGAATCTACAAACACTGCACACCATGCTCAGTTAGGCGAAGACAATCGGGTACAACACGATTCAGAAGTCGATTAACATTCACTTTTTTCAGCGAGCTACGGCGACAAAATTTCAGAACACACTCGTGCCGTTCCGTCGGAAAATCTACCGCCTCCACAATCGGCACGCACCTACTTCTGGTTCAGTGTGGGATCGCCAAGTCGGAGCCGATGGGACTCGCCTCACAATGCAGACTGAGTATGTTATTCGACTTTACAATGTTACGCGCTACATGGACATTGGACATTGGACGCTTTACAGCATTCTTGACGGCCCACATTAGTCATGCATTTAATCTGGAACCTTTGATCACGTGCACACCGAACTCTAGGACATCAACGGTGTGGCGACTGACGATCTAATTAGCAGGCTGCCCCGATTTTCTACGTGATGTGGTGCGCCTATTATGGTTTGGTACAGTAATTGTTCTCAAACATTCCGAAGTGGGGAAGAGGCTGCGATGTTTACGGTGCGGGAACACTAGGCCATACTATGGCAAGGTGTGGTTTTTCGACGGAGCAGCTGCGTGGCCCGGCAGTATTGTGGCTTCCGAGGAAGAGGTGTCGCAGCTGGAGGATCTGGCTGTTCCTTTCCGTAGCTTTGCCGAGATGCGCGATATCGCGGCCCAGCGTATACGCCTTCAAGACCAAGCAGATACGGTCTATGCACAGGCAGTCCAGCCCCCTCAGCGTATACGCCTTCAAGACCAAGCAGATACGGTCTATGCACAGGCAGTCCAGCCCCCTTCCTTTAAGGTGCCCACGCTTGCCGTGGACCGCGTCAACTCCGACGGTCGTGATGGTCGTATCGTAGCGGCATCCGGAATTGGTGGTCTTTCAACCGCCCAACCTGACCAGTCTGGACAAACACTACTTGCGCAGCCCACACCTAAGCCTAGGCCCCAATGGGTGACAGTCTCTATTCCTCAGGGACGGAAGGCATTAAGTGCTACGAAGACATTATCTAGCCGGCGTGCATTTTGTCATCGCGGTATGCCGTACTGGCCGACCAACATGAGGTCGATGTCGAAGAGGACGAGGCGGTTGTTTTGCACCTTTTTCTGCTCTCGAAGAACCGGATACGAGCGGTGCAGGAGCGCTCGCGGCCGTACGACACTCTGGCAAGGCCACGAATTCTACGGTCCAGCTTCGGCTGATAAAGAAAACACCACCGAAGCTTCCACTGACGCCTCAAATAGTGGTGCTAAAACAGAAGGAACGGACCGAGCTTCTCAGGAATATCGCTCAATTGGAGGGTTACTGTGGATCTCAGGTATTGCCGCGGCTGCCAGATGGCGTTGATCTGGGGTCCGGGTCGTACGATATTATCCAACAGCAGTTGGATATTCTGCCTGTTCAGACTCCGGCGAACGGGAATTGTTTGGCCATGGCATTGGTCCAGGCGCTCGCTAACAACGATTTGCGCCACCGAGATAAGATACTCCTCTCCGCTACATCTAGCTTAAAAAGAGGCATCAAATACACGAGACAGATGCACATGATGGATCAATTCAGCCACCAAGCCCGAGTGACCACTTTGGTGAACGTTGCCAGAGGCTGGATGGGTATGCCGAGGAGTGGAGCTACCAAACAGTTTAAATGGTACCTCGAAGAATACGCGTCCAGTCTCACTAACCCGACTACAATGTTGTACCGATACTCTTGGGGAGGCTGTGAGACGCGGACTATGGCAGCAAACTTCCCTTGACAAACAATCTATGTTTTTTGTCAAGCGACTGATGGGTCGCAGTGTTGGCACTGCGGGTTTTATCGGCCTAATTCAATGACCAAGGCACGTCGGGTTATTGAAACGGGAGAGCAAATTATTATCACCGTTCAAGAGTGTGTTAAGGAAAAGGGCAGTCAAAGGTGATAGGTCAAGCCCACCACCGTTGATCCTTAAGTACGAGGATGGCCACTACTCTGCCTTTGTCCACCGGCTGCCGAATTCGGACAAGGCTACGAGGGATGAGCGCAACGTCGACCGTAGTGTTTCCTGCGGTGAAGACATGAGTGATATCGTAAGTGATAGTGATGAGAAAATGAAGGAAGCAGCGGAATTGATTGAGGCGACCGACCAATTTGACGATTTGGAGCGGAATGGGGCTGTTCAAGCCGCGATTTTCGCCCCGCCGTCACCACTTCAGCAGTCACATGTACCACGCACCTCAACCAGCGCTGACCCGGCGACTGGAAGGGGCGTTATCGGGAATTCCACAGCTCTTGCGTTGCGGGTATCTCCACGAGCATCTCAATCGAGCGCTCCTACAACGAGGAATCATGTCTTGGCACCAGATGAACGCGAAAAGAAGGCTGTGATTGTTCGAAACCAACCCACTGCTCTGGTAATAAAAAATGGCAGCAGCAACAACGACAGGCTGCTCCTCGAAGCAGGTCCGGCCAAGGTATTGCAACTCGAGAGCAGCAAGACGTGGCAGGAAATTGGGCTAGATTTAGCGAAGGTCGTTTTTCACAGTTTACAGTTCGCCTGCGCAGTGGGTTCAAGCGGCGAAAGTGGAATCGAGACTCCTTCTCCGGATGATTCAACGATTTCCGCATAAAAGTGCATTTTTGACGATCTTGAGTGATGAAACCGTACAGACATGGACCGCGACCTGGCGACAAGAGTGTATGTACTCCTGTTTATGGCTTACCGCAGCCGTTCAACAGATAAAGATACTCAGATCTGGCTTGACGATTGGAAGGGGCGGACGTCACGGCGCTTAGCGGGTTCCATGCTGTCTCCTCTAATTGACAAAAGTGATGACTGGCGCCGTTTACGTGACAGGGGCTATGCCAGCGATGAATTATTACGCCGTTGCAATGTGCATCACAAGACGCAGTTAGCGCGTCACATTTTATGTGTGCTGATCTATCACGACGAAATTATAGCACTAACGGGCAGCGACGAGGAGCCTGATAACGGCGTTACGACGCGGTTGCGACGGCATTTTGCCGGGCTGAAGAGTAATAAACCGTATCGGGAGGCATACGCAGCCATGGTCGCCTCTGCGGACTGGTCGATATTAGAGACGTTTTATGAGCAAGCGCTCGCCCAGATGAGTCCTCAGCGGACTCTTCACTACTAAGGGAATCCACCACCGTCAACGCCAAGCTCGCCGGCATCTACTGCTAGCCAGTGCCCCGGCGGACGTTGATGTCTATGGCACACACTATCGCCTCAAAGGCGGTTTTATGGGCCAAACGGTCGCCCATGATGTCATTTGTCGAAGTAAGCGGGTGGTGTGTGTCGACACACAAAATGTCCGCGGTTTCAAGGACACGACTCGTGATCAGTGGATGGAGGCATGGAAAAGAGGTCCGACTAACAATGGACCCATCGTGCGCTGTTTGCAAAAAACACATGTCGATAGCGTGAAATTAGCGGAGAAGCTTCGATATGATTGGGGGCGGCGGTGGGGGTGCACTTCACGTTTTGACGTGTCCCCTCTATCTTACTGGAGTGTCGGGAATGGAAAAAGCGGAGGGGTGGCTTTCTTACTGGATCCTAGCCGTGCCTCAGATGCAACTCCTTGGCACCCAGAACTCTGGACGGAACGCGCTGCAGGTTTGATGCTAGCGGGGGTCTTGTTAGTTAACATTTATTCCCTTATACCCCCAACGAGCGCGAATAATGTTTTCCCCGGATGCTGCACTGGCCATGGCCGTCATGCGCAGTAGTCCTGGCGGGCGACTTCAACTCCGTTCAAAGTCCAGTATTGGATCGGCTCGGGGGTCGCAGGTCGGGGCGCCCGGAAAGTGCAGCGCTTGCTGACCTCATCACCAGGTTGGGACTCACCGATGCGCGCATTTTAGCGGCACCACTCGACGATGTGGATACTCCCGACCCAACCGAATATTTCACTTACTGGACTCAATCCACAGCAAGCAAATTGACAGGTTTTACGTTCCGCACCAGTGGACATCGAGGGTGCAATGGGTTGTGGTTTCAGCTCCTCCTGTCGACTCTGATCATCAGCAGGGTTCGCTCCAACTAACGCAGAGTATGTGGAATATTCCGATCACTAACAAGAGGCCCGTGGTCACTTACCCCATTAGATCTTCCCAAGCGACGAGAGTCAAGGCGGATCTATTGGCGGAGATGATCAATAACGAAGTAAGGCGGTCAGTCACAGCGATTACCTGGGACCATATGATCACCACGTGCGTCGCGGCGATTCGGACCATCCGGAAGCAACATAAACAGCGTAGTACACGGTATGCTAACCGATTACAAGCTCAAGCGCGTGCCGGACTCTATTCCAGAAAGCAGCTTATCCAAGCCAATCAGGACTCTTTACGAGCTAAATATTTAATTGCGGCGGGGAATCGACTGGAGAGAACGACTGATCGACTGCGGTGGAATTTTAAGCGGGTCTCCGACTAAGAGGCGGACCAGACGGTAACTGGCTTACGACATCTTCACAGGGTACCATTTGCCCGTCAAGCCTGTACTGCTGACCGCTTTGCGACGGATTGGCAGCCTATACTTGGGTGCAGTCATAACACAATCCCAACGAGCTCACTGGACCACGCATTTACGGCTTTTGTGACGATACCAGCGGACCGACACATGACACAATCGGAAATTATCACCTTGTCCAACCAATTCAATTACCTAAGATGATCGCGACTTTTGCTGGTCTTAGCAGACACAAAGCGACGGGGCCTGATGGTCTTATATGATTTCTATATCGACAACCAAGCTCTGTTAGCACCGGTCATGGTAACAATTGGTAACGAACTTCTGGCAGGTAAATGCCCACCCTCTTCATTTCTGGATGGACTCATCATCCCACTTCGTAAGAAAGGTGACTCCGCCGATGCCATGGATTATCGGCCGATTTCGTTGCTACAAACAGGGTATAAGCTCTTTGCAAAAGTCTTGGCTACACGAATGCAACGCGTTCTGACGAAACCAATAGGCGATACACAGCAAGGATTCGTCCATGATCGCCACATGATGAAAACAGTGATGATGATGTTGGCAGTCTTAGCTACTGCCCAGAATGAACAAGATGTCACCGCGCAGGAAGGCCGGGTAATTTTATTATTAGATTTTCGAAAGGCGTACGACACGGTCGCTCGCGATTTTCTATTTCTTGTTCTGGACCGCTTCGGGTTCTCGCCGGCCTTCGTTTCGATGATCCGCAAGCTTCATGACAACACGACAGCACGATTTCTGGTCAATGGGCAATTATCTGAGTCCATGGAGCTCAACACGGGAATTCGTCAGGGCTGCCCTCTCGCGCCGTTATTATTTATGCTAGCGGTGGAGGTCTTGGCACTAGCGATTACACAGGATCCCGGCCTTACGGGAGTCATGGTGCCCGGGTCGTCATCAGAGCGTCATGTATTTTCAGCGTTTGTGGATGATTCGACGGTCTTCCTCCAGGAAGTCCGACAGCTTCCACGAGTGCTCGACCTCGTGGCTACTTTTGGGAAGTTGTCAGGTCTTACAGTACAGCCATCCAAAAGTCAAGTGATCTTCTTGAACACGGCGGTGTCAGTTACCAGCTATGAAGGTATACCTGTTTTACGATCGGGTGCCACGACTCGATACCTCGGGCACCAAGTCGGAACTGGTGATCTGGCAGACGCCAATTGGGCTGTCCGGATCCGAACGGTGCAGAGGCGGCTTGCTACGGCGACCCGTCTGGCGACTAGTGTGACGTTCCGGGCGCAGATTCTGAATGTCATTCTGTTGCCTGGAATACTATTCACTGCGGCAGTGTTTGACACGCCTGCTTGGGCAGACCTAGAGCTCCGTAATCACCAGAACCCAAATTCTCTGGAGTCAGTCGTTATCAACGGAAACAAGTCGGCACAAAGTCAATCTGGGACTACTATACACGCCGCGAGCAGCGGGCGGCATTGGATTAATCTCGATTCCAGTGGCGGTGAAAGCGCAACGCATTAAACATGCACTTCTGTGGTTGACACAGCGGTCCGATCGGTACGCAGTGGCCTGAAAATATTGGGCATTTCGGGGATCTCTCTCACAAGGTGAGCCGATCATTACACCGAGAGACCCGGGGCCTTCCCAACACACGAAACACCATATCCCATGGGCTCAAATATGGGTCGAGTTAGAGACATGGCTTCGCCCGCAACCCTTAGAGCTTTCGGTCCTAATGGACCATCAGGCCACACAAATGCCACTCCTCATCGCTCAGACGTTAGGCTGGCGAGACGGGGATCGGCTGACAATTTCGTTGAATGCCCCGTTGCCTCCGCCACCCTGTCCATTTCCAGCCGAAACACGACGTTTTTGGCCAACCTTCCAGTGGGCGGACAACCCCTGGATACGGGATGGTACCGGAAACAAATTGACGCAGCGCAAATATGATCGAATTTGGTCATGTGCGCTGGCCGACTTGGAAATCGAGCGGACGGTACCTGGCGTGTACTCGTTTAGAGTCCCTTTGTCTACAGGGGCGCCGGCTCATCACTCGGATCGGAAACTAATGCGCTGGGCGCGCGCGTTTGTTTTCGGTAGCCCGACGTAACACATAGCTGAAAAATGCTAGGTGCAGAGGGCAGTTACCCTCCGGCAGCAGCCGGAGCTCAGGGTGCCGTATAGCTGGTTCGTGATGGATGACGGGACGGTGCACGGGGTGTCGACCCTATTAACGGGTCTCACACAGGGGACAATAGTCATACATCGGCAGCCATTCGGCTTCCACTGGACGATAGCCTAGACGTCGGTAACCTACTCGGACGGCTGGTCGGATATAAAGGTCCTCCACCAAGCTCAACGGGACACTGGCCTCGTCGTAGCGGCACATCCCGCCATCCACGGTATTCCGTGGGTAGTTCCTGACGCTATATCGAATCGTCAAGCGCTATGTCATCTGAAAAGACAACCCTACCAGCGGGTTAAAGGGGACCTTGGAAAAGGGCTCAATGGTGTTCTCCTCCGGTTACAGCGCTCGCCGGAACGCAATGAAAGATACTGTGCGGCTCTCAATCAGACACCGAGAGAGTTGTGGCGCCACCGCAACGCGATCTTCGAGTATCAAGTGTGGGTTTACTACCGAATGGCGCTGCATCAGCTCAATTTATATAGCCCAGGTCGGGAGCTAAATAACTGCTGTCGAAAACTTTTGGTCTGTCAAGGGCAGAGAGAGACTCTGGATCACATCTTTTGGAATTGTCCAGTAGCCCAGGGTTGCTGGCAGGCACTCATTACCTACTGGAACGGATGCTCGGGGATGCCGGTCAGCGTGCAGAATTATGCGAGCTTTTGCATGTCACGAAAGTCTCCGCCGTTACATCCGATCATTTCTCGGCGGCTGCTAAGCGCGTTTGGACATTCGATGGAGGCATATTTATGTCAATGGAAGCGGATGTGGTGGGTATTCTGTTCTGTATGTATCACGACGTTATGGGTGCAACGCAATCGGGTCGTTCACGAAGGGCATTCCGTCACTTTGGCGGGATGTATCCACGAATGCACAGTTTAAAGTTTTCGGCAATTACACGCGCTAGCGCTGCGAGAGCGTAGACAGCTACACACCCAGGTGGCCGGGACTCGTTTGATGCAATGCATTTGACTGCTCACCATGGCCCCATCTAGAGCACCGCACACAGCGGTGAGTCACGTACAACCACCGGATCATTCGACACCGGCATTGCTATCCTGGCTTTGGTCTTTCCAGACGTCTTGTTCACCATAATATCGTATAATAGACGGTCTGTTCCTCTCTCTATCAGCATTGGTAGCCGCAAGATCCTTCTCCTGGTCAATAACGCGACATAACATGTAGCGCTCGAACTATCGATAAACGTTTCCATTTCCTGACGCCCAAAACAACCTTGCACTTGCATACTATATACGCCAGAGTGATCTGCTATTAAAGCAGGAATATCTGTGCGAGCTCGTTCAGTGGTCCTTCGACCAGCTCGAGAGAGCCAAGAAATGAATGTGCAAGTGCACTTTGCAAGATAGTGACGGCGTGGACGCAGAGACATTGGACACTATCCAGAAGTGCTGCCTCCACGCGGTCAATATGGATGCGGTAACACCGGCGACTATGACAGCATAATGAGCCATAGCGCGTCTTTGCGACGTAACACCTCGACGCGCTCATCGAGAAGCTGTCCCTGGCCACCCGTTTCTCATGACGAGTACATCGCGTATAACGCATATGCTGATGAATAACGATGAGCTCTTCACTACCAGCCCATGAGAAAAGGCTGGACCATGACCTTGCCCAGCTCTTTCTTATTGATCGAATCCTTCTTTTAGATGTCGCAGCAGCGGCAAATACTAGATTGACGAACCGCTCACTACGATTTGGTCGCCATTTACACGTTTTCCCAAGGTCTCATGAAATGAAATGTACGTTTAATTGCAAATCAATCATAAGAAATCATAGCCGGCAGTTACGGCAGACTTGCATCACTAACTACTTTAAACGGTAAGTGACATGTGTTAATATCACTCCCCAATCTGCGAAGCAGTGATCAGTTGGTCAATAGGATTATATAATCAGGTCCCTTTTGGTATAATACAACCTATACAGGAACGCGATGTCGCCCTCTCCTGCTCCCTCCCGAGGGAAGACATGAAATGGAGGTGATAGAGCCACACGTATCGGCCCTGGTGGGGGCTTAAGCATGCTCAGACGGCTTAAGTGATGACGGCATCTACGAAGTGCGGGTGACGCAGACGGAGACAAGAATTGCCATTGGTAGTATCACCCAAGCGATATAGAGGAGAAACGGGTCAAAATCAGTGATCCAATCGCCATATCCGAGCAGTTTATCGGCGATACCGCGGGTTTTTACTTCTCCTGAGCCTTATCAGGCCGGTCGCTTAAACCCTGACGGCACCGTACAAGAGGGGGTGAAGGTCAACCTGGAGAAAGTGGTGAGGACAGGGCAACAACAAGAGACGGTACGGCTGTCAAGGCTACTTTAATTCCGCCGTCCCCTGGAAGACAGCGAAGCCAGCGCACTATATCATCGGTAGATATGTTTGAAGCGCTGATGGAGGACATGGCTGAATTATCGAACGTGGGAGAAGCGTGGCGCACCACTATTAAGGCATAATTCGCTGAAGCCTGTAGTGCGGTGATATTCCAGTTGGAGGATTTACCGTCGGACAGGAAGCGCTTCCCGGCTCTGACCGCAGAGGGAGCTGCAGCTTTAGTCGGGCTATTTGGGCAAGTCTTCGTACAAGGGCGAGGGACATTTTTAGACTGGCAAGATATGGAGACGGCGATATCGCGTGAACTGCTAGCGACATCGTGGGCATTTAAAGAGATAGTTTGTCGTCTCTCCAGCCAACACAAATGGGCCCAAGCTCCAGATATAAATCAGTGATCTCGAGTGGTCTCAACCGGAGCGACGGCTTCACGTCAGGCCACGCCGCGAGTTGGCAACCTCAACCATCGTTTTGAAGATTTCACGTTCAACCCCTCTAGATTAACTGGGAAACATTTCTTGTCTTAGATCACTGTTTGCGGCACCGGCTGCTCGTGCAGGGCGGCACCAAGTATGAGAAGGCACAGATGACGAGTGGGCGATCATGGGCTTGTCGAAGGTACAGTGGCATGCAGGCGCAAGCCTGACTTTATCCAGCAAGTACTGAAAAGTAAAGATGGATGCGCTTATATAGTACAATCCAAGCACAAGTCGAAGGGGGATTAATTTTGCAGTTGGATCGAGCTCGCGTTATACGAATAAGTCGACGGAACACAAAGGCCATAACGGAGGCAATCCTGGAATCAGTGGAGCTTGAGCGAATTGATTTCACTGATCTCCATATTATGCTGAGCCAGACCAAGACTATTGGATACGATCACGTAACCAAAATCGTACGCTTTAAATTCTTCACTAGAGCTACAGCTGAACGCCACAAGGAGGTCTTATTGCCGTTCTATGTAAAAGTGTATCGGCTTCAGAACGCCTACATCCCAGACAAAGTGTCTATCTAGCAACGACAGCAAGGGCTGAATGGAAAGCCACAAGGGAGACGTGTAGAATACACTGAACACCTACATAGCCTCAGCAGATTTAGTGAAGGTGGCAGGATCGCAGCATATCTAAGGGCAAAAATACCGACCGAATTTGAGATGGAAGACCCTGACATCAATACTTTGGAATCAAGGAAGTCCACAATTTGGAGTTACATTCAAGCTGGCGGGTTGTCCTAATTACTTCGATGGTGAGGTGCGAATTCTCTGGTTTGTCGCTAACATCATTGTGAAGCACCCGAATGTTGGACATAGGCTTCAATGTCTACAATGTGGTGATCTTGGAAACGCAATAGCCCGGTATAGCTTCACCGATACCTTATTACGAGGTCCAGGAGGATTAGTCGTGACAGAAGACGACGAGCGCGAGCTCGAGGACCTAGCCAAACATTTTTCTAGTCTGGATGAAATCAGATCTATGGAGGCGAGCCAGTTCAACGCCTTAGGATGCAGCTGAAATAGATGCTCAAGAAGCTGCCAAATTATCGCGGCAGCGGGAAGCAGCATGTACATCTCAAGAGAGGGAGCTCAACGCCTCTCTCGCAGGGAGTAGCGCACCACAAGCTGAACAAGGGACGAAATTCGAGCACTTAAAGCCTCGAATAAAACCGTTGGAACAACATTCTTGGTTGAACCGGATTTATTAGAATGTGCGCTCAAAAAACTTGACTTCCCGCGCAATTGCGGCCAGACCAAGCACTGGAACGAGAGCTGATCACGCAGAGGACGAAGATAATAAAAACTAGCAAACAAGGAAGATGAGAAGCAACAGGCATAGGATGAGACAAAGACGCAGTTTGGGGAAAGGACACCATCCTCCCGATGATCGACTTAAAATCAGACAACGGAGAGGACGAGAAGCAGAATGAAAAAACTTCTCATATCACCGTGACTTCCCGGAATTCACACCACAAAAGGGTCAAACGTGAGCGAATGTTTGCTCCAATTTTACCAGTTCCAATAATTAGGACTCATAAGCGGAGTGAGAAGAAAACTTTTCGCCAGCTGGTCCAGCGTCTGGAAAAGCGGCGAAAAAAGGCTCTATCGATCAGAGCCAGGTCAGTCCACCCCCAGCAACACTATCCGAGATGGAAATGCAAATGGGGCTTAGAGCAGTTGTTACACCTGCTACCAGGAACTGCATTGCTATGTCGATCGTTCAAGCGGTGGTGGAAGCCAACTAAGATGATCCAGGAAGGTCGCTTGAACACCTGACGGCCTGCCGGAAAAGGGGTATCAAATTTTCGGGCCTATTAAATCTTGAAGACAGCTTGCCCACGGTCAACGAGTGCGCCTTTTCGACAATTTCTGTCAAGGGTAAAAGGGAATGACATGCTGAGTCAGCGTCGCAGGTACGGTAGTACTTGGAAGATTAAGCTTGGAGCTCGTCGGTCAGAACGGACATAGTACCCGAGGATACATAGGGAGGGAATGTTACTGTTGGAACGGCATTAAACTTCTTGAAACGGTCTATTAATGCGATTGATTGCATCGATGGCGACTCGCATGGCTGGAGGTGTGTCAAGTATGTTTCAACCACAGTCACACGTCATCACAGAGTGGTCGAGACAGCAGCGGAATATCCGCTTTCAATTGGGAAATTTATGGATGAATCGGTGGCCGGGAAGTAGGCACACCATCGAGTCCACCTCTCGTACTACAGTATCACGAGCGCCATTATTCAGCTTTTATGCACTTCGGGTACACGAGCCGGCTACAAGATTTTGAATTGGAAGAGACCAAGTAACCAACTAACGCGCAAAATGGACTAGGATTAAAATCGGGCGTTGCTGGGGTCCTCGCAGTGAGATGAGACGCGCAGCAGATTTCACCTCAGCAAATTCTGTCACAGCTTGCTCTCTGGAAGTGCGGGCACAGTTCTGACTCTGAGGGCAAAAACCCCGCGGCAAGAACATAGTCGCGCGCAAGTAACGATGGAACGGCAATCAGTTCTTCAAGCACTACTAACGACGCCACCGAGTCGTCTACGGGAAGCCCCGCCGATGGACTGGAAAAGAGGGCATGAGTCTTCTTCTGAGCAAGTAGAGACATGGAATGCTGACGTGTCGCACAAGCACAACACGACAGACTTTAAGCGGGGCCGCGCCGAGCCGATACCGATGCTTATGCTTGCAAATGACGAGCGCTGGGATCGTATAGATCGGGATGACTAGGATGATGCGTGGGAGCAGCAAGAACCAGCGTGGCTCAAACCACAGCAACTGAATCTTCCCACAGTCAACAGCTCCACTGCGAGTGGGAGCGTGTAGGCCGACTCGCACCAGACCATCTTCTGTGGCTGGTGAAAAGCTTTGTATTTACGGGCGAGTTTCTGATGAAAAATACTAGACAACTCGGTCGTCGATCAATGGCTGACGGACAGTAGGCGGGACTGCGTGGAGGATGCGTTACAGTGTTACAGCGATACACCACTGGATCAGCAAACAACATTATGGGTGGATCGATGGCTCGAACACGTGAGACGTAGACCATATTACACGATGCTGTCGCCATTGATGGACAATATCAACGACTGGACTCAACTAGAGGTTCTTATTTACACCGGGATGATTTACTTAAACCATGCGATCCGTGACGGCAATTTAGATTAAGTCACCATTTGTTGTTTGTGCTCCTTTACGATCAAGAGATTGCTGCGCTAGTGCACGAATTTGCACCGGAGACTAGGGCGCCGGAAAAAATCGGATCACACTTAAAGCTGATTGCAACCAGGTACAAGGAGGCTTACTACTCTTTGTTTAACGTGGCGGATCAAGCCAGTTTTGTGGTGAAAGGGTGCGAGTCCTTAGCCTTACCGGTGCGGTCCGGAATTTGACAAGGCTACTTGCTCGCGCCCTCCTTTTTTTTGTGGTGGAGGTGCTAAGTCTAGCACCCACGCAATATCCAGTGCTCAGATGATTGCAAACTCTGGGTCTTTCAGGGCACAGGCATTTATTTCCAGCATTTGTTGATGACTTAACACTCTTCCTCGAGCAGGCAGAGCAGCTTCCACATGCTCTCAGTATTGTTAAAGTCCTTGGGGCTTTATCGCGTTTTCATGTTCAACCAGACAAGAGCAAAATCGCGTATTTAAAAGGGTCAGTGCTTTTAACAAGCTACATGAGCAGTGATGCTATACCGCCAGGCGATACGAACCGATACCTAGGCTATGAAATCGGAACGGTGGATTTAACGAATAAGAATTGGGTGGTGAGGATCCAGAAGATTCAACGTCGCCTCCTCACGGCATCACAGGTAGCGACAAGTGTGGCGAATCGAGTTCTTATCGTACTACCCTCATTGCTTTATACAGCAAGTTAAATTTCGACATACCTCAGTGGGCGATGACAGAAGTTGCGAATTTATACAAGCAATTTTAATGGGTACACGCTACGACGAGGGATAAAAGTCGGCAGAAAGTCAATTCGGGTCTGCTCGTGACACCAGCAAAAGCTGGGGGCATCGGGCTTGTCGATGTGTCAGTAGCCGTCAAGATCCAACGAAAGAAGCACGCTATTCTCTAGATAACTCAACGTCCTGGCAGGTATTCGCGGCATGGTGTCAATGGGCATACCGTGGACTGTCACGCGCAACAGAGATAACAATTTGCCAATGATGGGGGAAGCCGACAAACTCCTCACATGAATCGAACTCCCGGGAGATAATCACAGCGGACGCTAGACGAATAACTCGCCCCAACACCGGAACAGGTGAAACGTGTCACATCGCATGTGGTTGCACAATCAGAGCGGTTACTGGGGAGCGCAGCCAGCTGATGGAAGAAAGACGAATTTGTTGTATTCTACTCCTCCCCATTTCCAACACGCGGGTCCAGTGCGGGTGATTTGCCTGAGGAGATCAGGCGATTTTGGTTCACGTTCAACTGGTCAGCGAACCCCTGGATTCGGGATCACCTCTGCAACATGTTATCTAGACCTGCATACGACAGAATCGAAGACTTCACCCTGGCAAGACTCAACAGTTCACGAACTGGACCTGCGGAATTTGTCATCACGATACCCAGACCCCCACACCATCCCCGAGCTCATACTATGGCGAAATTAAGGCGGTGGGCTACAGCTCTTCTTCTTTCTTCGCCAGACATACCTATTGGATCAATCCTGGGAGCGAATCCACCGCTGCGACCCCGACATGCACCAACGCGTCTTGCACCATACGTCTGGAGTTACCAGAGCGGTGGAGGTATCGTGGGTGAACCACTGGGCAGTGTTCACAATCCAACACAGCGAACGAATCTGCTCCAGCAGGAAGATGGAATACGTTGGAAATGTATGGAGACGCTTCTGGTAATCGAGGTGTACTCCACTGCAGACTAGCAGCCAGTCCGACTCGAATTACAGTCGAGTGGCTTCTTCTTTGAGTCGTACCCTCAGCTCCACAGATTTCCTTGGTCGATATTTGAATCAACGCCAAACAAGTCCGTCTCTGCTGCGCTGAAATGGCAAGATTCCAAATTTTACAAAAAAGGCTTGGCCAGACCTCTGGGAGTATTTCTGGACCGTTTGGCAGCATGTGCAACCACGGATGAATGGCAACGTGCAGAGCTCACCCAAACACCTCGGAAAGCATAGGATCATAATAATGGCTGACTGATTTCCAAGTATGGACTGGGTATCGGATAGCAACCAGGCAACTTGACCTCCACGATGCTGGGAGAGCCGAGAACAACGACTGTCGGAAGCGACCGGGCTGCCCGGGGGGCAAGTAGACACCCGCTCATATATTCTGGGAGTGCCCGTACGCTAATGCACTACAGGACAAAATATTGGTGTAATGGACAGGTGAGCGTATGTTCAGACAGCGAACTCAGCATTTCTTCAATGCGTGTGCTAGTCGACAAGTATACAACGTACCACCGCTCCGAAGAGCAAGTCTGGAGGACCGCTTCCAAGACGATCAGAAAGTGGCCGAACGAGTTTGGAAAAGAATGTGGCACATTCTAGCGACAATGTGTCACACAAAGCTGTGGACCGACAGGAACGAAGCCGTCTGCAAAGCTGCAGTTACTGAACTATCTGCAACCACGCAGAGCTTTTGGGCATCTTGCGTCTGCCAGCTACGTGCAATAGCAACCCGAGAGCACCGAAAAGAGTCATCTGCCATAACGGGCGCTGTGCTGTTTGTCTGCATTAAGTGGCTTAAACGGGCCCAGAAGGGTCATCAGGCCTGTCTGGGCACAGTCAGGGTCTACCGCCGGAAACACTGGATCTAACTCATGGCTCCGCATTTACCAGATATCTTTTACATAGTTTAAACCGTTCTGATAGACCTTCTGATCACAAAACAAAACATGTGTGAATATCAGGTACACTTCGTGTGCTTCAATGTGCAAATGGTCTGTACATTATTTACTATTTAGTTAAACCAGGTATCAGGTACAGTTCTTAAGATTTAATGTGCAAATGGTCTGTATATTATTTACTATTACTTGCATCTTGTAGTACATCTAAAAATTTCCACCGCATGATAACGTATATTTGCTAACTCTCTTTTGCTCATAATAATTAAGCATGCAAAAAAAAGTTTATTAAACTTGCCGGTCACATTTCAGTCGTTTTTTAATCGCTAACTCTGGGTTCAAAGATCCACAACTGACAACAGCATGCCTTGCTCACTCACGAAAGTTGAATTAGATGAAAATGTCTTACCTCGAGACGGCAACCTTCAAGCAGCAATTAGCAAAAGCATTGAAAAAGAAATTGCTTAAGGACTATTGACCAGAGATACCGAACTCAGTGTCTCGTACTTCCATCCTTTATATGCAGGAGAGACCATCTTAACCAGGTTTCGAAATCGCAGCTTCAAATGACGCTCTCATTAGATATCTCAGTAAGACCTGAGCTAGATATTTGCGCGATCATTGAGCGTCTCAAAGTTAAAAGTCGGCTATGTTGATGTGCGGTATCGCAACTGTCATCAAATCCGCAAATTGCAAGCTTTTCGCATGAATAGTGAGAGTGGCTCAGCAGATATGACCGCAACGGATGATACACTTCCACACCTCGAAACCGAGGCAGATAATACTACTCCGCGTGACGTGTACAAAATGAAAAATAAGTTAATGCCTGAGAATACAGTGCTGTCCTCATTGCACAGTATAGATTCATATCAAAGGCTTAAGGTTTGCTCAAAATGAATATGATGCTATTAGTTTAACAGCTTGAAGTTATCTACGGGACTTCGCGCTACATAACCCGCAGTACGCGACTTCTTGCTAAATGACCTCGCGCTACATGACTTGGCGCTGTAAGTTTTCTCGCTACTGAATCCGCTTTATGAGATTCCACGATACGAAAAGTAGTGTTATAAGTGTGATGTAGGGAATTCATCTGAGTAGATTACCATCCATATAAACAGGAGGGATTAGCCTTTGCCGATGGAGTTTGACTAGACTGGCCCTGGAGAACATTAGGTCCGAATCTTACAAGGTCGAGTACTATTGGTTCGAATGCCATTTGACTCGGCGGAAAGAGTCATAGAATACTAGTTCCTTATATTTTGTAGTCGGCTGATGGTAGGGCGGCGATTATTGAAATTAGGCAGATGATAGGCCATAAAATATTCGTTCGACAAAATGTTTTTTTAGCATAAAATACCCCAGAGAATGCAGACATATGGGTGCGTGTATCTCGTCCACGATGGTGCTTGAATATTCGACTTACGCTACATTGAGTATATCAATAAGAGACACTGAAGAAAATATGGGAAGACACACCAAACAGCTCCGCTATATATCAATGAAGTTTTTATTACAGTACAGAATTTTCGAAGTCCGTAGCGAGTCATTCATCTGATGGAGTCCTTTTTCGGGTCAGCACATGTCTACCGTCGATCCACGAGATGTATAGCTTCTTGGGTTTAGGATGAAAACTGTAAGAGGATAAATTGGTTTTGGTGGGCCTAACTAGCTTCCAGCAAAATCATGTAGGCTTGCCGAGCAGCAATACGGTCAATCCAATAAATTTGACGCTAAATCCCTGTCACACGGCAAGTCGATTAATCCAATAGATGATACCATCAAAGATTTGTCAAGTGACAATACAGACGACCTCGTTAAGAAACCGTAACTCTTAGAGTCGGTGTACACTGCGCCGGCACTTTGTTTAAGCAAACCATTGTTTACATTTACCTATTGAAGTAAATCCAAAGGATT